TCAACACACTCCATGAAAATACACTTTTCAATGTTCAAGAATCAATGAAATAAATGAGATTTGCATCTGTACCTTCTAACTTGCTTTAAATAATGTTTGAGTTTTATTGTGGGATAATAGAAAAAATCCATGAGTAGGTGACAGTAGAAAAAGGATTTTCTTAACCTAAACTTTCTTAACAATATTCTGCTGAATCACATGGTGAATGTTATCATTCCTGAAGTTACTTAGCAGTCAATCTTACACCTGAATGCCAAAATAAAGGCAGCTGAGAGCTCCTGATCACAGACTGACTTTCCATTTTTGCCTATAAGAGAGAAATGTCCCCTTGAACATGTATTGCGTCCAGTGTATAAACTGATAAAAGATAGTTGTGGTTTAAAGATAGGCCCATGAAAGCAGGGATTCAAACAGCAACAACTTTTGGGTGCAAGTCATTCCCTCAATGGCCAGAAGCTCTGGAAGTCAGATGCTTATGAGCATCCTCTGTAGAACGGGTAAAATGACAGAGACAAGCTCCACCTCTCCATGCCTCCCGCTCTGCAAGCCAGCTAGACCGCTGAATTCAGCTTTCTATCTGTGGTGCTTCAGACAGGGAGGGATTCCTGGTGGCCCTATCTGGTCTCCTTCCAGCTCCCAGATTCCTTACACCCCTTCTCTGAAGTCCCTTTCTCAAAGCAGGTAGCATTGGGCTCTCCACACCAGCCAGGGGGATGGGAATCCAAGGACAGATTCCTGGTTCCAAGGACAGTTCTCTGTCTTCAATCCCAAATCTGGGAAACTGGGAAATCCTTTGGCTCCCTGGACACTGTCTAGGAAGGCATAGGATTGGCTCTTGGTAAATTAAGTAGAGACAAATTAGCTACCCATACGTTACTTTTCTCTCTATCTACTACATCTCCTCAGAAATCTTCGTGAATTTGTAGGTCAAATTTTCCATATTGTCCCATGTCAAGCAAAGATATGTGATGTCAGAGTTGATGTTTGACAGTGTGTGGTAGCTGATATGCAAATGATGTGCCTGCACCGCTATCTCTTTTGCAGTGCCATAGCACAGAGATTTGCAGACTTGCAGGAAACATTTTCTAAAACAGTGTGTCAAATTACTTTTGTATGTCTGCTCTTCAACCACAGTTTGATGGGGGAGTTTCTAAGTAAGGGCCTCACCATCTCATACGGTGAAGGTAGAGTGCATCAACTTACACTCTGGTGTGCAAGCAATTAACATCAGTAGCCTGTCTGTCATTATCGATCATCTTCAGGGAATTCAGATAAGCTTCCTTGGATAGAGCTTGCAAACTTCCTTGCATATTATATTTGACAGTATTAGATGTTTGCCATATGATGGTCAGCATGTATTTGGTGGTTGATATTTAATGTCAGTCTGCATTTTGAATGCAATGGCACATTTAAAAATTTCAGGATATGCCAGGTTAATTAGTATTTACCAGTTCATACAAACACCAATGACAAACATGGGAAGAGATGCCCCCAATAACCTGTAATATTTAAATTCAAGTCTTGAAGTCAAGCATTCTTGTACTGAAAATTTCTTGCTTAGAAACTAAATTGCAGAATTGTACCACTCAGCACATTTCCTATGCTTGAATTTCAATTTGTGTATGTAGGCCCAAGGTTCACCTAAACACGTGACAGTGTAAGGTGTGTAGGGAGAGGCAGAAGGCCTGTCTCCAGGGTTCCTATGCATGCCAGCCCCACCTCAGCAGTAGAACCCTGTGCCTGATTGGGGAGTCTTATTTCATCCAGTCCTTAAGGACATGAAGAGTCCAGTAGAAAATTCCAGGTATTTGCATGAGGCCAGTACATTCGGCCCTGTACCAATACACAGTTTACCTGTGCATTCAGGTAAACACCTCTAAAGGGCTACAGGACACGTGCAAAAAAGGACATTGTGCTTACAGATGACACATGCAATCGTTCAACAGATCATATGGTAAGTACAAATTTCAGAGATTCAATTTGTTCCTCACTAGAATACAAAGTGGATTACTTGTATATCCCAAATGTCATTTTCCTCATTTTCCTTCACAGATTTCAGGTTTAGCAGATGTATGTACAGGATCTATTCTTCTCAATTAGAACACAAATTGAGTATAATACAAATTCAGAGAGGAGGTAGATTGTTTGCTACTTTATGAGAAGTTTAGCTGTTGGGACATCCTAAACTATACAATTTCTGCAAGAAGCGGCATCAATGTTAACTTTTGAAAGGATCTTAAGTAAATATACACTAGGGAGTTGTAGTTTTCTTTTGTCTATGTTACTTTAAATTCATTTCAATAAAAGATCAAAATATAAATAAAATAATAATTTTATGCTATCTACTACAACATCAGGAAGTTTCAATAATTAACTTATATTAATTCAGAGAAGGAACTGCATAATGTATATTTTTAATAACCTGGTACAAAAATGTTGTGTATGTGTACTGAATATGTTCAGGTCTTAATCACATGTGCAAACTAGCTTCATTGTGTCATATTTCACAATGTATGTCCATGAATGAGTGTTTCATTAAATTCAGTTTCTTTCCTAGAGGGGCAACAAGAGAATATGAAGATGATTATTTTCTGATAATTTCCCAACATATAGCCAAAGCAAGAACTGAAATCATTTCCTCTCAAGTGGGAGGATGTTACTGAAGCATAGCATATGAAAGCCAAATTCTCTCGTGCATTTTTCATAGTTGCTCTGAGCAGCCCTTGGGGTTCAAAGCACAGTAAACATACATGTCAATAATGAGCATTCTTGTGCTTTTTCTGTCATAACTGTGGACCAGAAAACCCACACACTGGGACTACTTTGGCCATTATATTAAACTTCATTCACAGCTTAAACTGTTGAAATGAAATGTTTATCAGACAAACCTTAGCATCAGATTTCTTCTTCCTGAATTCTATAACTAAGACTGTTGTGCCATGTATATTGTTATTATTATTTACCCCAGAGCAATCTATTTGGATTAAAAAGATGGTAGAGATGTAGAATATTATATATTACACACACACGCACACACACACACACATATAATTTTCAAATGGCTCAATTGTGGCTTGCTCAGATAGTATCGGGTAGCACTGTGTCAAGTCTTCTCCATACCTAGTTTTGCAGAACTGTTTGTTCTCTGTGAAAGGCAGCTGATTTTTGGTAACTTTAAAAGGAATAGCTGAATTTTACTAATTCCTGAGAGAGGTGGGCTTACTGTGATAGGCAATGTCACTATGGAGCACTGTTCCCAGGGGGCTGTTCTCCCATAAATTAGAAAACAATTATGACATGAGGTTTTCCTCTGCCTTCTTGTCTGTAATGGCAAAACATCCTTTCTTTCCCAAACTCAAAGGTTATTAGAATTCCTCATTTTAGCTGAATGAGTGAATTTTGTTCCTGCACAGGAAACAGGCCCCCAAATCTGCATCCAAATATCCACATGTTTATTCTGCATTGTCACATAGAGAAGTTTCTGCCCAGTGTCATTTTTCTGGTGACCTGGAGTGGAGGAAGGAAGCAGATGAAGAATGAGCAGGGTTGGGTATTCTGGCCCATGCCTATGTTCTTCCAGGCTGCCATGTGCTGAGGTGCCTTAAATGCCACTGCTGTGCAATCCAGAGCGACTTGGTCTCCATCCTGCATTTCCAGGAGCCCGAGGTCATAGACATCACAGCAGGAGAATCATTTGGCACAAGACAGAACATACCCACAAAGGCAGCAGATGTCATAGAAAAGCAGAGGTCAGCCAGTTCCTCTGCAAACCATTTAAACTAGCCTGCATAGATGCTGATGCACCTGCAGTTAATTTACATCCAAACATTCTGCATTAGTGGTTCACGAAGCCACTACATGCCTCCTAGTGTCTCTGCTTCTCCAGATTCTGCTGAGCACATATTTCTGCCTCACAAAGAAAAACTTTCACTCCTTCTGCAAAGATACAACACAGCTTGTATGACACTTCCCCTAGCACAATGATCTCTTGCTGTAACATAAGCATCACTGACGCATCAGTGTCAGAACCTTAAACCCAGTGCAAACATTTGCCAAAGACTGAAGTAAGACACTAACTAGAATCAGTACTGGGATGCATCCATAATACAGAAAATATGTTTTACAAAGTATTTTCATACTGCAAAACCTAGTGTGACATAAAACCAAAACAGAACACAGTATTTGCATAGAGAATATATAACAACCTTGCTGTGCATTGATAAGTATTAAAAAGACCTAATATAATGACAAAAATACTGCAGTTCATTTCTCAAGATCCTTTATGACAAAGTAAACTGGCCCTGGTTCAGCTTTTATATGCCACTTGTCCTGAAGCAAGTATCTGAACACAAGCAGTATCTAACTCTATTTGTGGGCTTGCAGGGCCCACTGCTAGCACGGTGAGATGCTAGCAGTCCTGAAGATACTGGAAACAAGTCAAATGTGCCCTCTTTTGGTTCATTTACCAGGTAGATTTAGCTTCCTGGTGGTGGGTACTGTAGGTGGAGCCAAACAAGCAGCAGTCCAGTGGTAGTACCAGATGTTACCCATTATGCAATGTTTATAGATACCTAAATTGTGTGATGTCTATGTGGTCTATTTCAGATCATATCATGCATCGAGACACATTGAAAATAAACGCCCGTCTGAAAGAAATGACAAGATATAGTTATCTCATGGTGATTTTATCCCATCAGAAATGAACTTGAGAATTGAGGTGAGATGAAGTCAAGTGCTGAAAGCATACAACATTTTAAACTATTAAAAATTAACTGAACTACAACTATAATTCTACTTATAACTTCTGCAAAATAGGCAAAAGCAACAAATTTCTTCATAAAATTATACACTTCTTGAAAATACTAAGCATAAACCAGAAATAAATAACTGTGAACTTAAGGAGGATGGCTGGTATACATCTGGTCCAAACACAAAATTCTGCATTTGTCATGAGACTGTATTCTTAGATATGCTTGCTATTTTCCCACCCCCCGCCCTATCAAGTTGATGATGAGCTTCCATGCTGCAAAATTTTTATCAACACAGATCACATTACGTCTATGCATGCGCCAGTCAAGCAATCATTAGCCTGGTCACTACTACTGACATGTTCCTTCACAGGAAACAGGCTCCATGATTAGTCTCCCACCACAAACTATATCAAAACATTCACATGTTTATTCTGCACTGTCACATAGAGAAATTTCTCTCCCTTGTCATTTTTCCAATGACCTGGAGTGGAGGCAGGAAAAATAACTATGTGACAATAGCCCCTTGATGCTTAATGCTAGAGGTGAGGGAGATGGATGGGATATTCACCATGAGAATGACTGTTCCCATGACAAGAGTAACGTGTAGCTGGTCATCAGTTAAGAGAAGGAGTTTAACATCTGCAGCTAAATAGTCTAAACTCCCCTGCCCAACTTAACTCTAATGTTCCATTCAATCCCCTACGATAATTTCCTTTGGTTCCACCCTTGACATAGTTGTATTTGTTTAAATCTCCCTGTTTTAACAAAAATTAAGTTCTATACAAAACCCTCTTCTGTTAGTCCAGCAAAGGTCCTTAAAAGTTTAGGTTCTGGCCCATCCTTGGGGATCAGCCTAGTTAAACATGATGGATTCAGGGTCTTGATTTGCCATTTGAGCCATATGCCTTAACACGTCCTTTTTGGTTATGATGCCTAGAAGCCTCCTACGCAAAAAGGGAAGGAAAGAAACAGAAAAAGGTCATTAATCACAAGCTTGTCTCATCCATTTTTCAAGTTCTGCTGCAGGCACAACTTTGTTACAAAGAACAGAATCATTTTGAAAAATACATTTTCCCTTCTCCTTTAAAAACCAGGAAATGGGAATTTTAGAAAGTCATGGTTTTCGCTAATGAACATAAAGAAGAAGAAAACTCACTGTAGTACATTTATTATTAGAAGTACAGTGCTTTCATTCTGCTTTGTTTCACCTTTGGCAGATGATGAATGTGCCACGTTCCCTCCAGTTGCATTCCTGCATGCAGTCCATTAAGGGCGGCCTTTGGGAAGGCAAGAATTCACCCCATTTGATATCATCTCTCAGAAACCACCTGCAGGAACAGTTTGGGACCTCCAGGCCAAAGCAGACTAAGCTCAATCCAAGCCAGACCATAACAAAGGCTGATACATCAAAGGCCTCTGAACTGTGCCTTGACTGCTGATGAGTCATTTTAACGGAAAGATTTCTTAAAGCGATTAATTAGACAACCTGCCCGTCCACAAGTCAAGCTAGTAAATATGAAAAAGATACAACCTCTCAAAGATTCTTCCGTGCAACTCTTCATATGACAAATTGTATTACTTGCACCAGTAAAAGGTTTTCACAAAAAATATAAGTTTGCTGTCAACAAAGCAGCAGAAATACGTGGAAATTTATTATTAATGAAATCACAGACATGCACTCTGATAGTAAAACTATTTGAATTGTCAGTGTGAATTCCTATATCCCATTGTTGCAGTTACTTCTACACAGAGAAAATGGTCTATTTTATTAAAAATATACAAATGAATGTAAATCCAAAGTAAAATTATACTGTTTCTTACTAACATTCCAGTAAGAAAAAATAAAGTATAGCTTTCACTAACACAGTACTATAATGCATTAGTGTCTGTCAAGCCTTTCAAAATATCATTGTGTCTTCTTTAACAGCACGAGTAAAAATAATGGCCTGAATTTACTGTAAATTATTTCAAAGACCTTCAATACAAATACGGAGTGCCAGTAAGTGCCTCCATTCTCAGAGAGATGGTGTTTAGCAGAAGGAGGCATTGGTTCCTCTAAGACAGAACCTTTAGAGACCAAGTGCCCAAACTGCAACCTAAAACCCACTTATTTATCGCAAGGTGCCAACACTGCAATAAAACCTGAAAACTGAGATTTTAGTTTAGAAAAAACACCTCACAGCCAGTCCAAGCAAATATATATATATATCCTTGGCAGTGCACTGACCGGCCATGCGAAAGCTTAGACGAGTCATGGCTAATGAGTCACGGCTTGTGAAGTCATTGCCTGGCACCACTACTCCTTTCCAAGCATGCACATGGCCCTATGTACACTGTTACTGGGGCAGTGCTGGGGTGACTTGGCTTGCGTGCTGACAGAGAGGGCTCTGTGTGCCCACTGTGGCACGCATGCCATAGGTTCGCCACCAATGTTCGAAGAACAGCCTCCTTGGAAAAGTAGTTACTTGGCACCAACTTCACAATCTTTTTGGTACCAGGCAAAAGCATTTTCTTTAGCCAGGTATTTAGATTTGTTGCAAATTATTTTAAATTGATTTTACACATTTTTAGTCAAAGAGGCAGAGGTAGTATAAAAGTAGTTTCAATAAATAAATCTTCCTGAATATTCATTTCTTTATCTTAACTCTAACCTGAGATTAAATTGGTCAGAAGCTTTGAAATTCCACACCATTGTACAAAGGTATTTTGTAAAGGAAGTCTGGGATATTTAAATTAGTCAGTTGTTCTGATTTTTTCCTGACTGAATTCACTGGTTGTTCTAGAAAACTGTTTTTATAATAGACCATTGTCCAAGAGTTGCATTTGGTTTAAATAAGAATGGCAAGCTATTATGAACCCCATCAATGAGTACAGGATTATTACATTCACCACATTTTCCACACACACACACACAAGCATGGACACACGTGTCTTGTGTATTTCAATAGTTCTGAAGAATACCTAATTTTGCACCCTGGCTTATTGATGCTTTGGGGACTGAGCAATATGGCAGCAAGTGCAGACACACAGAATAATGACCGGTGTCTGCTTGATTTCAGCTGCGCCACCCACCTTGATTCTGTTTCCAGAAATGAGCATATACAAACACCCCACTTGATTTCTTACAGCATCTCCAATCATGGACTTTGCTTGCATTTTTTCAAACTGTCTGCTATAGAAGCTCTCCAAATACAGATATTCGAGTATACTGCACTTTGTACAAGAGTGCTTGTGTGCAAGCCTCTATACATGTGCACGTGCACATGCACACACTTTAATTTAGGGAGTATTTAGAATTCTCTGGCTCAAAAAGTAGACTGGTTCTAGATAAGTAAATTTCACACACTGGCAGTTTAAGATGAAAAACATTAATCTCTCAGCAGCTTCCATAGGATCAGAAAAAGGATATGCTATTCGACTTCTATATTGCTCTTTTAATACCATCATGCCTTCTACTTCAACTGTGAAATAATCATTCAACCCTGAAAAATGTTCTTTATAACAACCAGCTACATCAGTGCTTCTACCACTGAAGCTTGGCCTAAATCAAGGCTTCAGATTGTTTGGATTCCAGTCTGAGCTTCTGAGGGACATAGTCTGCATTCCTCACAAGGTCACTGTTTCACTTGAGTTAGCTCCTTACTCTTATTTTTAATTTCTCACCTTCCTGCAGATTTCTAAGTCATACGTGCTTTCAGATTCTGGAAAAATAAACCTCTACTGGTTCATTCCCTTCATCTGTCATTCACTTTGAGATTTTCATAAGCATTTAAAGATAGCAGGAAGCTCAGAGCACAAGTATTTGCTAACAGTGGCATTCTGCTGGCACTCCTCCCTAGCAGCAAAATACTCATTTCTCCACTAGATTAAAATTAATAGGTATTACTAGGTAACTACGGATTAGTTACATGTATTATGAATATGGTGTTCAACTTAGCTGGGGAAAAAGAAGTGAATGGCCATGAGCTTAAACACAAAGACACACACAATTTTGAAGGCATTAGCAACAAAGAACCTTATCTATTAGTTCAAATACTAGAGGTACTTGCCCTTGCCTATTCTTCTTTCTGTGATCATGCCAGTTGGGACCTGCACAGAATGGCCCCACATAAAACTATTTCGAGAAAGAGAGAACAACCTGGTTTGCACGTCATGCGAACACACAGTGGGCTGTTATTGGAGGTGGTTTAGCATGGTCTAAATGCAGACCACATTCTCTTGCCGGTTGTTTTTCATAAACATGAGAGTGACTTGTTCGTAGGGTGGCTTGTTGTGATGTCCAAACCACTGGGGGAATTTTATTGTGGGCTGGTATGAATGGCAGGAGAGATTCCTAGCAAGACGGACAACACTTCCTGCAGTTGTTCGTGCTACTGCCACTGCCATTCCCTTCATCCATTCTCAGAGCCTGCCAAACAAAATTGATTTGATTTGATTCAGAAACATCCTGAAAAAGGGCACTAGAGAGTGCCCCAAACATGTTTGCAATCATTTAATTTTTCTTTTGACCCTGCACAAATGCAGTAGTGAGTGTCCCCCACTAGGAATTTTGCATAATTTTCCACAGTTGTTCTGCTCTCCCTTGAAATTTGCATAATTTCCTCCTCCAAATTACTGTTTTTACAAATGATTCACATACTTTCATCCATCCAATCTGTCTGTCTGTCTGTCTGTCTTTCATTACATGTTTTCACTGCCCATTAGCTTAAAGGCTCCCTGGGCAGTTTTCGCATGTTTGTAAATGTGTGTTTCTTTCTTGCCTTAGAAGGTGTGTTTGTGTGTATCCACTCTGTCCCTGTGCTGCCTTGATCTTCATCTAGGTTAGTGATCCAGGTCACTGCTGTGTTACTCTCATGTACATCTGACAAGTAGCAATGGAGACCAGTGAAGAAACAAGCATAAAGAAGGGGAGAGTGGAAAGTGGCTGGCAGCTGCAGGAGATAAGCAGCAGATGTTAACACGATGGTGCAATATAAACGAACCTTAAGCAAAAAATGTGTGTGCTAGCAAGGAAGCCTGGAAGTGGAGGATGAAATTGACAAGGACACTGACAAGCAAGCTTCCCTGATAGAGAATAGAGGGCAGGTGGTTTTGAGGTCCAAGTCCCCTGAAATATTTCTGCAAAAGCTTGTGAATATGTTCCTGCATTCGTAACAGTCAGAAAGTAAAATTCTCCCGAGGAGCTGATGCAGTGAGGCGAAGCTTCCATTGTGCTCTGGCAACCCTGGTAGACCAAGTGCAGAAAGGGTGATGGTATAGGAGAAAGGAAAAGAGGATTTTTGCTGAAAAGGCCCCTGAGGGGGAATGAAGGGGCTGAAGAAGGAACAAGCTATGGCAAGTTACCAAACAGGTTGGGAATAACATACAAGCCACCCTCCCACAATGGGTTGGTCTCAGAGGAGCTCAGCATGATGTGCCAACTTGCCTGGAGAGGAAGGGAAGCAGCAGCAGCAGCAACCATGCAAACAGGGCATTGGCATCTTCTGGGTGGTGTAAAGATGAACCACGCACCCACTTCTCTACCATACAAGGACAGGTGGTGCTCAAAATGTTATGGACAATGCACCTTGTGTTCAGAATCTAGCTCAACAAAAGTGGCCCTCCTTCCAAAGTATTAATTTAGTCTTTCAAAGGATCATATTATGATTATATCAAGCGTTATGTTGCTCTTCTTAACATCCTCAGACTAATGAATTCACTTCTTGGTCCCCATATATTCTGATCTACCTCTTAGGAACATACAAAGCTGTTATATACGAATTCCGGCCATTAGCCCAGAGTCCGAGATTATCAGCAATGACTGCCAGTGCCTATAAAGCAGGGAAGTAGGAGAAGTTTGGTTCTGCATGCAAAACATGTGAATGTGCCCTGCTTGAATCTCCAGACATGAGCACAGGCATATATCCAGCAGAATATTTGTGCTCAACTCATTCCCAACTCCTAGTTTGCTGTGTATACATTTCCCGATTTGTGCATATTTCTTTCATAGACCAAATCAGCCCTGCTTTTGTCTATGGAGGAGATCTGCAGAAATTTTAGATCTACCCAACTCTCCCATTTAAACCCTGATCAGTTTGTACAAGTTCATACGAAGCAACCATAAATGAGAATGGACAGCGGGCCCGAGATGAATGAAGAGACAATGTTCTGAATGCTAGCAAGTTCAAATATCACTTGCTCACCCATCCCTATTCTCCAGAGATACAAGGCAGGCATTTTATCAACTTTTCCATGGAGATGCCAAGACCCAATCTGGGATCTTCTGCATGTGCAACAGGTATTCTGTCCCTGAGCTATGACCCTTCTTTTAGCCCTTCCTCCAGTATTTCTAAAAGTACATTTGTCTGTGGAAACCTGGACCTTGTGCTACTTGTCATCCCCTCTCACTAGGAAGATAAGTATTTTTACTAACAGAACAGGCATGAGCCAGCCAAAGCAAAGCACTATTAAGCCCCAGGAATTTCAAGGGCAGAAATGTAAAGACATGCTTAAATCCATCCCCAAATGCTTCCCTTGTCTGATCATGTCTGATAATATGAGACAAAGATCAGAAGTAAGCCCTTTGGACACATGTCTGTCGGTGTCATAAGGCACACAGTAGAAAAGCATCTAAGCTACGTTTCGCATACAGAAATTCAGTTTGTCTAACAGTGGAGGAAGCAGAGAAAATGTGGCTTGTCCCATCGTGGTTATAATCTCCATAGCCTCATCATTAAAAACAAAATGCATCAGATTGTTTCCTTCTTAGTCTGAAGACTCAGTTAGTTGTGTTCTGGAGGGAAATGTGTCTTTTTAGGGCAGTGTCCAACAATGTCTATGTGGCCATGGAATCCACCCATGGGAGCTGACAATTCTTAAAGGAATGGACACGAGGAAACACCTGCTTCCAGAAAGCTCTGGTCAGCACAGTTTGCAGAAGGGAGAACTGTTGACCTGTCCCACTTTGGAAATGAGTGCTTCCACCTGTTTGGGGGTCCTTTGGGGGACTGCTTGAAGAACTCCCATTATAACTCCCATTATAACAGTAGTGGGACTATGTCTCACTGGCACATCAGAATGAGCAGGAACACAGCAGGGCCATTGGATCTCCCCATCAGGCAGCAAGTAGCAGGAACCAAGTGAGGTTGTTTGAGGTTGTAGACTTACTACTTTAAGTGAATTCTACTGCAACTGCTGATTGGACAAGCTCTGAAAATCTCTTTTGTCCAATAAGCAAGTCCAGCAGGTCCACGTGGCTATGCCAGCAGCCTAGCTTCAGCCCTTTCTACTTCCCACATACATATTTCTTTCAACTCACCCGCTGCGTGTGACAAGACACTGTCGGAGTCCGAGTTTTCGAAAGATGTCCACTACAGTTTCCATTGGTGTGTGGTCTGTGACCGTGAAGGGGCTCAGATTGAGAATGCGCCGGAGCTTAAGCAGGTGAGGGCTGTTTGCAGGGACTTCAGGAGGCTCCTCAGTGAAATATACGATAGAATTGCTGACTACGCCATCCTGACGCTGCCTTGCATTTTCTGTGAGACACAGAAGTTATGCAAAACTCATTCAAATAAACCACATCACATACCTTCCTCAGGAAAGAAGCATATAGATCAGTGTCATGGACCTTTAAACTGCAATAGATGGTGCAGACCTTCACTTATTTATGTATTTAAAGTTTTTTTGTGCCATCCCAATGCTAAAAGTCTCTGGACGGCTTACAAAAAACAAAGCAATCATAATAACAACAGCACACAACATACTGCATCCAATAAATAATGATTAAAAACAAGGATAAAACAAATTAACTGTTAAAATATTGGGAGAATAAAAAGTTCATTACTAGTGCATGGTACATAGTGCTCAGCTTTTGCAGGCCAATGCCGGGACTTTGGCAGGGTCAATCCTCGAGAGCTATCATGGTTTAACTATGATATGCAGAGTATGTCTGTGTCTATTTACAGTCTGAGTCTTGCACAGTGAATAGTTTTTAACATTCACTAAATATTGTAAATTATTAACAGGGCTGAGCTGTATTAACTTCATGACCCCATTTTGGCCATGGTGCTTGCCTGACTTCTGAATTAAGCTATGCATGGAAATATCCATTACAGCTTGCTTGAATAGCTATTATTATGACCTTCCTCTTTTAATGTGTGCATAGCAGTCCTCTGAACAATTATTGCTGAAGGGCACCCAGGAGCGACTGATAGCCTTTTTGCACTCTTTCCATTTCCAGGGTACATGCACTGGGAGCTCAAGAATGCTGATAGAATCTATCGATCTATCGATCTATCGATCTATCGATCTATCTATAAAATTTGTATGCTGTCCATTACTTCCATCTCTTAGACGGCTTACAAAACTACTGTGGGTTCCAAACAATCTGAACTGATGCAAACAATTTCTCTTTCTTATTGTTCTAGATTGCTACCAATCCTTAGAAGAGGCTTGCAGCACAAAATGTCCTTAAGCTTGGAAATCATTTCCACCAGCATGGAGTGGAAGCCCTTCTTTGACTTTAATGTCCAGAAACGACCTCCAGTGCGTTTATGCTCTATCATGTTTCTCTTGGAACTCCTCTATTGCAACATCAATGGAATTAAAATTGCCAAATTGCCAAAGATACCATCACCCTCTGACCAGCTTTGCAGCCCATCTGTTATAAATTTATTGCAATTTACAGAAATATTATTAAGTTTCGTCCTGTCCTCTTGAGATAAATATGCCCTGGATTGCAACAGCAGTGTGCTTGCTCTCATCCATGCCACCTTTTCCTCCACATAAATGTGCTATGGTTCATATTAATCTTGTTAAAAATAGTTGTCTGACTTGAACTAGGAAAAATGTTTACCTGAAGAGGAAAAAGGAGGGAGAGGGAAAGAGCCATATATAAATCAAGGGAGTGTATTTCTTTCTTTGATCAGTACTCTTACTGTAATATATTGCAACGTTTCTCTTGCAATAAGATAACAACTTAAGAAAAACCATGCTGTGCTATCACTCCTATAAGAATCAATCATGCTCTGAAGGCAGAGCTTCAAAGGGATTGAGATGACGTGCTAGTTTAGCTCTTGTCCTTTCAGGTTTGAATCCTGTTTCACATGCAATGCTGTTCTTCTTTATCTAGTCTTTTCTGTGTCGGGGGTGCAAATACTCTTTTAGCCCAAAGTCAAATTCTGTTTCAGAGAAGCTCTTAGCACCAACTTCCAGTGGTAAATGGCAAAAGGGGCAGGTCCAAAAATACAAAATATGAGCACATTTTAGCTTCACTATCTTACTGCCACCAACTAAGCCTTGGGAGAGCCAATTCAGCCTTTTAGAATAAGGACAAACTGCGCAAAAGCTGGGAAGCTTCAAACAGTTAGTGGCCAGGAAAAAGCATGTGAGCCTAGGGGAAAGGGGTGTGCTCTGTGGGATGAACTGGCAGTACCAGAAGTTTGGATCTTGGCCCTGGGCCTGAAGTTCAGCACACTTGTTGTAAGTCATGTATAACAGTAAACAAACCTGCACAGTGTGATATGGGAATGACTCCTAGAGAACGCTACCTGATATAGACCCATTACTCACTTATTGCAAGAATCAGCTCCCTCCTCTGGGCAAAGCCAATAAGACGCTCAGAGTCTCTTGAAACCACCACTGGAAAGCCATTGTAATCTGTCTCCTTAATTAATGTCTCCACATCTTCCACAGTCATGCTGTCTTGGGTCAGGACAGAGAGAGGGGCCTCTCCACGTCTAGGCCTCATGACATCAGTAGCTAGCGTCCTGTGGGTAAACTCATCCTTCACGTCCAGAAATGGGTAGCCATTCAAGTGGATGTGTGCTTCATAGATACCTTCTTTACCAAACGCATCAGCTACCCATTTGCTTGTTACAGCGGCTGCCATAAGAGGCACTATGTACTCTAGGCCTCCTGTTAATTCAAACATGATTACCACGAGAGAGACAGTCATTCTGGTAACCCCACCTGTAAAAAGACAGGCAGACAGACAAAACAGAGTTAGCTGTGTGGCAAGAGTCCCTCATTAGGACAGCAGCTTGGTCTTCCACACATCTGCAGGTGGCTCCTCTTGTTCAAGTCCACCAGCCACGACCACGTTGGGATCCATGTGGGCACTTAGGGGTGCCATGTAGATAGCAGGGATGCTACCTATTAATTATTGCATTAGGGCCTCCTACCCACCTCATCCATGTAAAGTCATATTATAACTGCTCCTTTGCTCTCAAGAACGCACAATCTAAAGCTGGGCAAGAATAAAGGAGAGACGTTAGAATGGTTAGATTGCCAAGATCATGGCCAAGTACAGCTTCTGTGACTGCGAAGTTTCCTGCTATTACAACTTCTCTGCAATATGTTGGAGGCTTAAGTCCACTTTGGAATAGATGGCCACAGAATCTCTTTGTAGTATTATTTACCAACTTTGTCACATATATTAAATGCCATCCTACAAAACTGACATGATATTCATAAAAACAGTCAGCAATCTCCTGGCTGGAGCTAAGTTTATCATAGTGTAGTACTGGAAATCCAGTAATCCTTTGTATTTTGTGGACTGGTACTATTTCTAGTTACATGGTGATGTTAATAGAACCAGTTTTATCTATGAAATGGAATTGGTAATGGACAGGAATCCAAAATTTACTTCTTTTATTTATTTTATTTTAGGTATTTCTATACTGTTCGAGTAGACAAGCTCTCAGAACTTGTCACCCTTGTGTTTGTGGCTATCTCTTCCTGCTATGATGAGCATTCCTGCTCTGTTGAATTAGGAAATAACAACAAAGCACATGCTGGATTTGATGTTTAGGTCAAATATGCTAAGTGTGGAGTTACAGGGAGTAGATTGCTTGTTCAGTTATCTTATCCAAGTCAATTAATTGACACAATCTTGGATTCTACACTAAGAAAAGGGGAGTGGAAATAGAGTTGAGCTTGATTTCTCTCTTTCAGTGTGCAAACCCTTGTAGTCACAAAGAAAAAGAAAATTTCAATTTCCAAATTAAAAGGATCAACAGAGACTGAACCTTTTCCCCTCCTAGCTTATGCTAGCACTTTTACATATTAGAAGAAAATGGCAAAACATCTTTTCAGGAAGTCCAGAAGTATCTCAAAGGTGGTGGGGTGGGGGCACAAGTCAAAGCCATCAGGACATAAATCATAGCATCATACAGTTGTAAGGGCCTAGCAGGCCATCAGGTCCAACCATCTGCTCAATGCAGAATTCAACTCTCCCATCCAGATTTCAATTAGGCCTGACCTTACTCGGTTTCCAAGATAGGCAGGATCAGATACTTCAGATGAATGTGGACTATTTGTAAAGTAAAATTGATCTTAGTTAATAGTCAGATAAAGTTATAACTGATCACATTCACTATTGCTGAAATGGATTTCAATCATGCAGACACTTGAATTAGATTTAGTAACTGATTGAAGTTAAAATTGCAGAATACTGGTAGAGCATATATAAATGTGTGCATGTGCATATAAATTAGTCATCTAATTATAATATAACTTCATCACATATCAGGCACTATACACCTTACTACCATATCACAAACAATAGAATCAATTTAATATTTTAAAGCAAAGTATTCAACTCTCTTATCACATATAACAATTGCTTTAAGAATAACACATAATTTACCCAAACACGCTGCGGCTCCCACCATGGCATAAAGTCCTGGAGTAACACAATCAGCTCCTGGTCTACACCAGTTCTTGAAGATAATCCAGTCATGGTGATGGTAGGCCAATTGTTCCACTGCTATCCCGACTATTCTACCAGCTATAGCTCCAACAGCCATACTGGGTATAAAGAGACCTGAAGGGATCTCAGATAACATAAAAACAAGCAAAACATCAGATGCTTGGATGAGGAGTTTGACACCATACATGAAAGCAAGTTCAAATATTACATTAAACCTGCCACTGAATAACCAGTTATTGGAACTGATACTAACACTAAACTTTATTAAATCATCATCTGTTTTCACTGATTCCCATCTGAATATGAGGAAGCTTTGCTTTCACTTCAGGTGGAGCTTGGTTTCTTCTCACCTTGACTGTTTATGGGAACTATCCCCAGGTTTGATGCTCCTGCCCTCCCCAACTCAACACACCATGTCCTTCACAGCAGGATCATCTTGTCTCTCCCTCCTGGCTCCAGTTGCTGCCTCTTTTTATTTGTCACTTTTTTTAATTTTTCAGAGCATCAGAAAAGGGAAGGAGGTTTATTCAGTCTGAGAAAGTTCTGTAAATGTAAGTGTCACATTGTTATTGCTCTTGTCACTGTTGCCAAGCTTTCATGAGTACACTCCTAGGGTTGCCCAATATATGCAATCTTGCCTGGTCAATTTTCTTGCCTGTTTTAACTGTCAAATGCCGCATCTAAGTGGAGCAGGAAACAAACAGGGAAACTGACAGGGGGAATCTGCATATACGCTAATTTTTACACACTTGCCAGGGATCAGTTGTCAAGTTGCCAGTAAAGGGGTGGCAGAGCAGGGAGAAAAGCAAAGAAACATGCAGAAATGGTACAGGGATATCTTCTCCTTAGCAATATGATCCACTCTTGCCAGATTCACCAGCTATGCCAGAAAGGAGAGATATTGGCTCATGTTTGCACTCACACTTCTCATAGTTGAATGGGGGACAGTAGACGGAGAGGAAATTGCACCGGTATAAAGGCTGGGAAGTAAATGGAGAGGAACATTGCACACCTGCAGTAAATGTTCCAAAAAGAGCCATGGGAAAAGTTTAAGTAAGCATCTTCCTTTTCTGAAGTGAGAGGATTACATTGATAGGGAGAACTATTGTCCCTGCCGCCTTTCCATGAGCATTCTTTGGATACTTTCTCTCCTATATGGGTGCTTTCTCAATTGCCAACTTGGCAACTCTACACAAAGTAGCCTGTATACAGCATTGCCTTCTCAATCCATTACCTACTCTGTTTTGCTGCTGCATTTGAAAGTTGAAAAAACAAGGAAATTGATCAGAAAAGACCACAAGTATTAGACAGCCCTAAGAGAGCACTTGTGAAAGACTGATGGAAATAGTAGCAATAAACAAAATCACAAACAATTGCAGAACTTTCTGGAACTGAAATGAAAGTGGTGCCGAGTGACCTACACTCCAAAGTGCCTGTTGGGCATCAAGGGAGAAGCAGTCACTTGTAGCAGCCTGAATGAGATCAGAAAAAGGAGCAGTGAGGACTGCTGCTCTTGTTGAGCCGCTGAGTAGTTGATTCCTGCACCCTATGATAAGATTGCTCTCCTGAGCTTGGGTAACACAACAACCCATTATGGTACAAACAACGCCTACAGCAAGCCGTGTGTTCTCAGAGCTGCTTGTCCCTGAAAAATCAGCCACTCTGCACGTAATAGTCTAGGTGTACACGTGACAGCGCACTGCAGCTAGTTACGCATGGCAGATCGTGATATGATACAAACCAGATCAAGATGAAGAATACCAAATATATCAACACATCTGTCCTTAATTTATTCTTTTTTGTATATTCAGAATTTATCAGATTTGCCAATCTGGCTGCATTTCGTAATTCATACAACTATTCTTGTACTGCAGAAAAAAGACAAAATCACATAGTTTGTACGTGCATGACTTTTTCCCAGTACAGATCATCTCTGCATTGGAAATATATCGTAAATGAATTACGTTAGTCTCTGTGCATTCTGCCAGATCCACAAAGCAAAGAAGTTCTACAAGTTATGTAACAACAAAAGATGACACATCCAGAATAACTGATGGTCTGAACAGACTCTAAAGGTGAGATTTTATGACATGGGAAAATGTGACCCATGAAAGGATCAAGCAAACATGTGGTGGTTTTTTCCTACCACAGCTGGTCATAAAATCTCACCCTTACATTCTCCTCAGACTATCAAACATATGGAAGGTATATCATTTCACATTTTTACGTGACTAGCACATTTCTTCCAAATGTATCTCTAGCCAAAATTGTATCCACATTCTTTCTTCAAGATGTGACAAATTTCAAAGTAGTAGTCATGTTTGTTAGCACCTTAAAGGTTAACAAATTGATTGTGGCATAAGCTTTCATGGACAAGAGCTCACTTCATCAGGCTTGAAACATAAATTCAGCCACAGAATGCAGTCACATTCATGAGAAAATGGTCTCAGAATGACAAAGAAAAATCACTGGGCAGTGGCTTTTTCCTGTCATAAATTATATAAACCTAATAGCGTTTGAGTCTTCTCCCTGCATATTAGACTTCATTTCATAATTTTAAGGTTGGATATGATCAAGTCTATTTCCAGTTTAGTTCAGTTTCACACATGTTCAGTACATTTGTCTCATTATCCATATTTTAATGAATGCACACATTTAAAGTAGCTCTTTCTCTCTGAAATATACATTTTATATGCATTTTGTAAACTTTTTTTATGTTCGCTCCATCTAAACCCCTCCCCATAGTTTGCACAGCTGCTAACTACATGGCACAATCCAAAGAATATGTGTTTTCCAAAGTGCAAATCAGGTCAGTATACTTAAATATGGGAACCAAACAAAATTCTCCAGCATCTAAACATAATTGTCTTGTGGTTGCAATCTTCAGTATTTTCTTGCTCTTCAATTATACCCAAAGAGGACTGGAGTTATCCAGCTTCTAAAGTACTAAAACACAGTAGTTAAGAGTCTCATCCACATGTTTTTGTTTTGTCTTTTTTCATGTATGAGTTTGCCCTGTGCTTGTTTCTAGCTACTTGTTCAGATCACATTTTCTGGTTTTGTAAGACTCAAAAAACTCTCTCCTCCTTTGTAAAATCTGATTGTAATTTATGGATTGGGGGTAAGACAAGAATAATACGATCCGTTTGAATATCTAAAACTGAGCCCTGTCATTTGGCATACTTTACAACTCTATTACCGACCTTTTCTGTATAATTTAGATTGGATTTGAATTACATGTCACATGAACTATAAAAATGTTAACAAGGAGCCTGACTTTTCACAGGTGAAATCAGGCAGTTCATTCCTGCATCCCAGCTTGTCAGAAGCCTTGTGAATTGCTGCCTTCCTTGTGAATTATTGCCTGAAGTGCAATCAAGCCACCATTTGCTAAAGCAATAGCAGAGAAAAGGTGAAATGAAAACATCAGTCACTTCACTTGCCTACTCCAAATTGGTGAGATGTACATTGCCTGTTTATAAAATAAATTAACTTTCAGACAGAAAGGGAAAAAGTGTGGCTCCAGTGACTAGCATCAGTTTTTGAATTTGAATACTAGCCTATTGTTCTGAGGTCCCCATGAAATTGAGAAAATTAAGTTATTCCTTGAATCCTTCTCAAAAAATTAAGGACATACACTGAATAAACAATGAAGAAGTGTGAATTGTAAGGACATCAGGGCATACAAAGAAGCAAAGAAATGGAATAGACAACTTGTGACCCTCCAATGTTTTGACCTACAATTCCCATTATCCTTCATTGACTAGCCTTCACTGGCTACAGTACCAGTATGGCTACAGTACCAGTACAGTACCATTATGCTTCACAGGCTCTGCTGGGTAGGACTGAGCGGAGTTGTAGGCCATATCATACCCATCCCTGACTTGCCTTAGAAAGTTTATTGGATTTTTGCACTGATGAAATTTGCATTGGAGGAATATGGATAACATTAGTCTTCACAATACGCTTTCACTATACACCTTCAAATATCACGCTACGATGTTGACAAATGCATGTACAAGGGATGGGGAGAACACCAGAGAAGCAAAAGCAATTTTCACACTTCCTGGACTAACATGCTGGTCAGAGATAAGAAGTTCATCAGATTGCACATTCTCTGATTTTGTGAGGCAGTTTTGAAACATTTGTATAAAAGTGCATATATTCAAAAAGCTTCAGCCAATGGACAGCATAGATATGTGATAAATCAAAAGTTGCAATTCTGATTTTGAATGGAAGCTCTTTTGTAAGAGTATTTGACCCAAATAAAAATGTGTCTATGAGTACTTTGGATGAATAATAAATCCATAGTACTTTGAAATTATTCCACAAAGTTATAAAATGGAGAAGTCATTCTGGAACAGGTAATCAGCCACATACTCTTCGAGGACAATCTATGAAGACAAGATCTGGGCTGAGGGCACTAATACTTTTGACTCTGAGATTTGGATTGGTGAGCCAACAACAGCAACAATAACAACAACAAAAGAATTAAAGGCAACAATGCTGAGTAAAGCTTCCAGACCCATCAAATGTTCAGAGCATCATCTGGCAGTATTGCTTATGTGTGCCTCAAGCAGGTCAAATACTTGCTTTCTAAAGTAATTCAAGTTGACATGTGACAGTTTTGTCTGGAAGCAGACAAACGGTATGCACAAAAAACCAAACCAAACCATGATCAATCAGTCAAAAAGTTGTCAGTGAGGACTGGAGGCCTCATGTACTGTCAGCAGGGTAAGCATTCACAGTTGCAAACTCCAGCTTCACTTTCTGCTAAGATCTGTTTTGGGACATCACCCAAAACAAAATTAAAGGACATTCCGTGGGCTACCCATGGCACGTCAGGTTGATTATGCTGCCCCTTAACATTGGTCATTTAATTCAATGACTCCACTTCCTGCCAACAGCCCATAAGTTCTCCTTCTGGTATGGAAATGTTTAAGCAGCTGGTATTGAAGAAGGGACAAGCTGAGCATTAACAGAATCCTGCCACCTCAACAAGCAAAAAAAAAAGAAAAAGGCCTACTTATGCTACATTATTCAAAGCTGGGTTTATGTGCCCTTAGTTGACTGCCTCCCTTCAATCAAAAGGTACTCAAAAAGTGAGGGAAGGGCCATGGCTGAGAGGCAAAACAAATGCTTTGGATGAGAAAAGGCTCAAGTGCAATTCTTGGTAGGGCTAAGAAAGGTCTTGGTCTGAGGCCTGGAGAACTGGTGCCAATCAATGCCAACAAATCTGGCCACAATGGACAAATGGCCTGACTTGGTAAAAGAAAAAAAAAACCTCCTGTATTTCCACACATGCCACATTTTGAAAGTCCTAGAATTGTATCAATTTTTGATTTAGCTTCATAATATTCAGTAGTTTCTTGGCTCTTATTAACTAAGTGAGGGTGTGTTGGTACAAGAGAAGGCAGGCATAGGTATCAAGCCAACTATTCCAAACATTCAAGAAAATTCAGCATGACAATTGTATCGTAAGATCCCTAATTCCTTTTTCTCAGTATATTTCAGGGCCATTCCAGGAAACGATGGCTGGGAATGATGGCTGGGAATTCATAAGCTTATTTAATCCAAGGAAGATACAATCTAACCACTTCTTAAGGCTATTCCAAAAAGACAGCTAAGGACATCAGGCTACGCATGTTCAGACAGAAAAAGTCCTGCACCTGCCAACATTTCCCTCCCAGCATAGGAATGCTTTTTTCTCTCTAAACCTGCATAGGATTGTGTGCTTAAGCTGCTTCCAGATTAGCCTTGTATTACACCATTGCCATGCCTCCTTCTCTAAATTACAGAAGGGAGTCTTGAAGATGTCATCTTCCCACACAACCCTTCTGCATCTTCTGACCACTGCTTCCCTCCTTTATTCTCAATGCAAAAAATCTGTTAAGGAGAGCAAGACAGAACAGTGGTGTGATTTGATGTGGATTTGATGTGGATTTGATGTGGATCCTGGAAGCATCCTGAAAGAGGTGACCATGCATTTGTTCATGGATCCATTGTTAAGAGTTGCCCTCAAAGTGCAATATGAGTACATAGAAAGCTTCTAGAACAGAGTCTTTCTGAAGATCTTGTACATGGAACACATGGACTCCACCCCAAGCGATAGACAGTTCTCTTCCAGTATAATCTTCATATACGCCTGAAAACAGGGTTGGGACAAACCGTAGTGGAATCTTTCCCTCTAGTGTTCACAGGCATCTCTCATGCTCTGCCCAGTCAAGCCAAGCTGAGAGGAAGTCCACAAACACTTGTGGACAGAAGTTGCACAACTGTCAATCTTCTTCTGCATCAGGTGCAGCAGCACAAAGGCCACTGCGTGTGACGAGGAGGAGGGATGATGTTTGGAAGATGATCACACAGTGCTGAATTCCTGGTGAGTCCAGTGCATCCAACCTCCTTCTGCATCAGGCGCAGCAGGCCAAAGGGCTGCTCCATGAGGCATGGGAGAGAGATGCTGCTAGCAATCTGTGGCAAGCCCCAGGAGGCTGCTGGCAGCATCCCTCTTCCACACCACGTATTGCAGCTGTTCGGGCTGCTGCGCCTGATGCAGAAGACAGATGCTGCTTGTGCAACATGTCAGGCTCAATTCACCAATGCTGGGTCCATGTGCCAGGAACTCAGGCTTGAGGCCACTGCAAAGTGTAAAGCCCAGGAAACCCAATGGGTTTCCATCTCCAAATGGGTAACTCACACATCCATCCTTGAATGTCAGCGGCTGGTGAACATAAGGCAAGGGTGCTATTTTACACATGTGCAGCACGAAGGATGGACCCAGCCTGGAGGATTGGCCACTGTGGGTCTGACCCAGCCCAGATTTTATTGACATGAGCACATTTCTTCCCTTCTTTTTCCTTTCCAGCAGATTAAAAAAATGCTTATTGAATTCCTTTATTGGAATGTAACAGGTTTTGCATTGATACAAAGCATTTGCATGTGAGCTGTTGGCAAGCTGCACAGGCCAAAGAAACAGTGCTTCTGATCTATGGGAGTGGCCTCTGTCTATGAGAAGAGCTGATTCCAAACCAAAATGGCCTGTCCTCCCTTCCTTTCCCGAGTCTTGACTCCACTCTCAGGATGTTTCATGCCACTGTGCCTAACAGCAGGAGTGCCTGTCTTCCCATTTGGTCTGGTGATGACTTACTTGGTCTAGGAATTCATTCTCTCTCCCTCTCTCTCCTCCTCCCTCCCCTTCTCCATCCCCAAGATGGTTCTCAGTCACTGTCTTCGAAATATTGCTCGTTAAGCTTGACTTTTCAGAGTCAGCTGACAACTCATTCCTTTCTAACCCATTTTCTTCCCCTTGCAAATCTGGCTGGGAATGCTGTGCTGTGAGAAAGCTAGTCCTCCTCTCTATACTTTTATTATTAAATTTCCTTGGTTTTGCTTGCATCATGAAACACCTGTTGGGTGTTTTTTTTTTTCTTTAATGCCAGAACCAAAATTTGAAGAAATTCATCTCCACGGTCATTGACGTCCCGGACTTACCTTCATGCCAAAGGTAAATATCGTAATGATGATTTTAAAAACCAGAGCCAGGGCAAGCTGCCACATTGCCATGTACACTCCTATCCCAGCTGGCCTGTCCGGAATATCGTCTAGAGGACGAGTCATGTTGGGATCATTTATATAGTCACAGAGCTGAGAGGATTCCAAAGCTCCACAGTCGTTGAAGAGTTCTGAGATGAGCTCACTGGTGCTCCTCCGTGTGTATGGATTGGGATAGGCAATAATAGCAGTTATAGCAGTTACTGCAATGACCTCTAGGACTGGGTACTTCCCGAGCCGTGTGGTTTTACGCCTCCTGCACCAGGCAATGTTGCATCGGATGAAGAGTGTCCCCCACAAGCCTCCAAAAACGCCAAGCAGAATAAAGGGGAAAAGCTCGGCCATGTACCAAGGTGTGTGATATTCTACATAAAACAGTACCAGGCGGCTGTTTCCAAATGGATTGATGGACCTCAGGGTAAAGGCAGCAACGAGGGCAGCAAAAAAGGATCGCCAAAGAGTCTTCAAAGGAAAATAATAGCTCACCTAGGAGAAAATGGAACAATCAATTCCAGCTCTGGCGCTTCCAGTGGTTATTTGCAGCATAAGCTGTGGTACAGTGGATTTTAAAACACATCCATCTCTGTTACTTTAAAAGGCATTCTGCTTGTGCATGAGGAATTGGCAAGGATTCCTCGGAGAGGAATTGCAGCATGTGCAACGGAAGAACAATATCACTGCATGTGTGTGTCTTTTTGTATCTTCAGGTTTATGCAAGCATATTGCAGAAGGGAACCAACTGTTTCAAATCTCCAAGCAGTGCTGGGGTAAGGATAGCATTTATTTTGTTTATTTATTAAAAGCTTTTCTATCCCACGCCCTACTGAACATCTTGGGACAGCTTACAAGTACACCAGAGGCAGCAGCTCCAGCATGAGTTAAAGTGCCAGTGCCAGTCCACCTGCCTTGCAAGTAAGAGTCCCCATCACCACTGCTTTGGCGTCTGTGCACAAGTGCATAGTCATATCTACCAGTAGACCGGCTGGCTGACCTGCAACAGAGTGGTGAGATTTTCCAATTCCCAGCTTTCAACAACAGCAACAGGGGTGTCTTCCCCCAAACCACTCTGTTAGAATCCTTGAGATATAACAACTGAGATGCTGATTTGTATTTTCACTGAAGCCATTCTTTCTGTTCCTTACACCGCAATTTTGCATTTGGCTTTGCTCGCCTGGCTACTGCTAGCTCTGGCTGGTGAGCCTCTAGATTCTGGTAAAAGCACGTCTGAATTAGAATGTTCTCCTCCCAGCTTCTCCTCCCAGCAATCCTACAACAACACAGGTGGAAAGCTGCAAATACCCACATTGCAAGTGGTTGATCTCCAAGGTAAGGGCACTTTGTGAGTTTGGTATGAAACAGAGGAGGAGTCCAGAAAGTGGCTGTGAGAGGCAGGTGACTGTATCCAGCCCTTGTTCAGGGCCCAGCCAAGATATGTTGTGGTAGAATACCAATTGGTGTTCTATGCAACCCACACTCATAGTGCCCAAGGCTGGCCGCAATATTTTGACACCCAAGGCAGAAAATCCCACAGGTTGCTTTTCCTGGCAGTAAGAATACAGCTATAATAAACTGATTCCCCTGAATCTCATGAATCGTTCCCTGCCCTCTCATGATGCACTTGGCACAACTGCCCCACTCTGCCCAATGATGGCGCCATCCCTGCCTTCTACTATATATTGTGGAATCCACTTCCACAACTGAGCTGGGCAAGCCCCCATTCGTAGAAAAGTCTCCCAAATCCTATCTGTTCTCCACTACCTTGTTGTGGTTTCTGAACCAGGTGACATTTTATGTTTGTCATGTATCCTAAAGATATTTCGAAATATATGTCCTGACATATAGTGCCTGCATGACAGTATGTAACCCATGTAAATACCTCCCTGTGCATAGAAAGCTGGATGTCAAAGAAAGGCTTTGGCAGTTATAGGCGACCTATAAATATGTGTATCAAGAAAGGAAGGACGGACGGATGGATGGACGGACAAATGAACATACCCATCAACTATATAGCAGGGATGCTTCCCACTGTTGTAAGGCCCCTAAAACATAGAACTGGTGAGGGCAGGAATATCTTACGTAAGGAAAATAAACATGCTTCTCCCTGTCACCCTAGTTGTGTGTGTGCGCGTGTGTGTGTGTATGAGTAGTGGTGCTTTACTCCCATGAGGTGTGTTCATTGATCCCCCACTGCCTCCTACAGTCTGAAGTGGAAGCATCCAGGAATGGTTGTCCCACATCAGCACTTGTTTGCCTACACAAGGCTTGACTCAGTTCACTCCTTTTCTTACTAAGTGTGCCATGCACAATCCCTTGTTTTCTAGGAGGCACAGCTCAAATTGCTACTTACCTCTTCCAGACTAAAGAGGACACCACCAATTGGTGCTCCAAAAGCAACAGACACCCCTGCAGCAGCTGCAGCTGAAAGCACCTAGTGTGGAAATATTGACACAGGAATCAAGAGTGTGCAGGAAATATACAAAGAATGTTACAGGGTGAAGTGAAGAAACTGTAAAACCAACTGTACCTCTCTCCTCTTTCCTTCATTTTTGCTATACTTCGAGAAGAGGCTGCTGAAAAAGTTGCCACAGCAACAAGCCACATGAACAAGGGGGCCTTCTTTGCCAAGGCTGAGTCCTGAAGATACCACCAGAACCAAAGTTACTGTTTTGATTAAGAGGGTCCATTTGCCTAGGTAGCCCCTAATTATGAAACCACTCAAGATGGTCTTTATCTGAAAAGCAGGAAGAACAACAGGGGTTGGCAGTGTTTATTTTTGTGCAAGTGATAGGAATTTTGAAAAGGTCAGCTCTGATTATTTTTATTTCTTTTAAAGTTTATTAAAGTTAAGTCCCTAAAAATACAAATAAGATGTCACTTTCAAGGCTAAAGGTTTCTTAATTTTGACTCCAATCAATTCTGTTTCAGCAACCCTCCACCCCCATTTTTAAACCTTTGTTCTGAATTTGCCTGAAGCATTGCAAGATAGAAAATTATTCCCATCCACATTATTTTCCAAATACATGTCAATCCAGTAAGAAAAACTTACCTCTGGAATTCCAGAACCACAGGCATAGGGAGCAAATACTCGGACAAGGGAGACAGCCAGGAAAGCAAACAGCAGAGCCCACAAAATGTAAAGAAAATAATTTAGAATGTAAGCACTTGCACCCTGGGGGAGGAAAAAAAACAAGAACAAACAACTGTTAAACCAATCCAAGAAGTGGCATATTTCTGCTGGCTGCTATATAAATATGGGACAGTGTGAAGCTGGGCCGCTTCATTGAACTTATTAGCAGGGCTGATGCGGTATATATTACACAATGTGTCTTCAACAGTACAAATATCCTATTTTTATGGTTGCAGTCCTGAGGATGCTTATCTTCGGAGTAAGCTTCACTGAGTTATGCTTACTTCCAAGTAAACAGACATAGAACTGAGATGCATGTTATCAATGTGGGATCTAAAGTATAGCAATTTATGAAGACAATGGAGTGGGAGAAAAAATATACCCCAGATTCTATGCATAACAGTGACAAATATATTGCAAAGAATATTCAACAAATGCTGAGACATTCTTGAAACCTACATGATATTTGGAAAATATGTGTTTACTGCTTTTCTGGCTGCACAAGACAAAAACCATTCAGCACAATTAGTGTTTTTCCCCAGTTCACATAAATCTGGGAATATGGCGGGACAATATGCAGCAGATACAGCTGAAAAGAAGGGGGTTCTTAAAATGTCCTACATTCCTCCAGCCTATCAAAACTGTTTTCATATAAACTAATGTGCCTCCTGGTGCCAGAGCTTTTTTTGTGTGAGGCTATTAATCTGCTGTTTCCAGTTTAAGTTTTGTCTTCAAACTGAGATCCAAGCACTTTCCTGCGTTTCTGAGACATAACCTATACGAGGCACTGTAATATAGCACATACCAATATAATATAGACCAAGATACAAATGAGAAGAGTGTTTTCTTTCTAATTTACAGATAATACCACATGTTCCCTGCTCTTTAATACTAGGAAAGAAAAGAAAAAGAAAGGAAACCTCACAGAAAATGCTCTTTAGACACAGAAACAAAACTGCCATTTGAAGAACCCATAAACAACCAGGAATAGGATAAGGATGAGTACATGTGGAAAAGGTCTCAGGATACAGAAGGAACCTTGCCTGGAAAAACAAGAGGAGGAAGCAACTTAGGGTAGAAAACATGCCTCATTCCTGCCTATCGTACTTCTAGGACGGGCTGTTAGTCCTATGTCAGTGGAGCGCCTTATCCATTGCAGCTTTTCTTTTCAGCTTTACAAGAGCTATCCATGGTCCTGCATTTCATCCCAAAGAGGTCCATGGATAAAGCTGAAAAGAAAAGCTGCAACAGTTGAGGAATCCCACTGGTACATGAATTGCCGACTTCCCTGCATGTTTGCTTCAGGATCAGTCATAACACATGGCTAAATCCATATGAAGAAACCAAGATGATGCTCCTTGGAAGTGAACAGGAATGGCATTTCATGCAAACCCAGAAACTCTACATACTCTTAACTTTATGCCAGTCAGGCTACTCAAACAGTAGACAGGATTTGCTGCTGCAAAAGCAGTTTCCCTTTGGTCCGACGTCTCCCACAGAATTATTTTTAAGTGGGTAACTCTTCTGCTCACCAATTTTGACAGCTGGCATTGCTTATCGAATGAAATGAAGAGATTAATGAATCTCTGTTTTGACACTTACTGAATCCGTGAGTAATTCTTATTGCTACAGCTGAAGAACGTTTGTTTAAATTTCCCTGTGAATGTCTTTGTGGAGTGCTTTAAATAAGAGACAGCTATGGCAATAATCATTATTCCTGTACAGGATGGACTTTGTTTGCAATCAAGGTTCACACCAATATGAACTGAAAATACCCTCAGTGAGAAAGGGGGGCTGCTCTTGAAAATCTGGTTCTCAAAATCTTGGGTAGAATGTCTATTTATTCTCTAAATGTAGCTGCATTATGCTTATACTTCACTCCTTTCATTTCAGTCTTAGAGATAAACTTAAATGACTTATTTTAGAAGATATATTTTAGGCAAGCAATTCTCTCAGGAACAGTGGAGTTGGTTTGAATGCACATTCTATGCTCTGAAAAGAAATGCAAATGTGCATAGCACCCAGTCCTGTCACACTAAAATTGTTACATCTTTCTTCATCCTGCACTGAATACACAGTTGGACTTTAAGGCCTGTTAGGCCCCTTCCAACTGAGTATTTCTATGATTCTAAACTGTAGCTAAGTTTAAGCAAGACTTATTGATTCAACCCAACTTTATAAACCACGGGTTAAAGTTGGCTTCTTTCAATAATTAACACTAACCCGAAGTTGTCCAAATTTGAACGTGATGACATGCTGCAATTAATAAAAAATAGAAGTGAAAAATGTAGAAGAGAAAAAACAAGTGATTCTCTCCTCAGAAAAGAGAGGTGCACATAAGCTTCAGGCTCATTTATGTACCTCCAAACCATAGTTTAACATTACATCCAACACAGCCATTAACTTTTTAGTCATAGCTGAATACAGCACCACATTGCCATCCGTCCTGCATTTGTGTTTATTTTACAGCTATAGGGCATAGCCACTGCAAAATAGTAACTTTGCAGTGGATGGGTGAAACAACTTATCTCACTCATTCAAGCACAATTTTGATGTGTGATCTTGCAAAAATTGGTCTTGGAGTGTCAAAGCAGTAGATTGAAACTGACTCAATGTTAAATGTCCAAAAGTACTCCTTTGAGTGCTGCATGGGCTTAATAAGTACACATGGTAATATTAATCACTGTGTAGAATCGAAGGAAAACATGATATGGTATATGTTCAGTTTGTTTCATTGTTCTTCACATTAAGCATCTGCTTTAGTGGCTCTTTCACACACAGAAAAGATAATGAAAACAATTTTGATGGATGTCAGAATGTATGACTTCTGTATGATAAGACACTCTGAAGCTACAAAAAGGCACAACACCTCAGGGTAGATGGTGTTGCAAAACCATCCATCTGTATATGTGTGTGTGTGTTTGAATTGTCACATTCCATCAGTTATGAAAAGCAAAATTCATCAGGTGCAACAAGAAAAAAAGAAAGAGGAGTCTGAACAGATTACATATGAGGCAATGCCCTCTAAGAACTGTCTACATGAAGCGATTCAAGAGTTATTCATTCTTAGCACTAACAGAGTTTTTAAAACCCTAAGAAAGATGCAAAATGTATATGGCAGTTCCTGGGAGTTGTGCCAAAGTTCAGCTATCTACTTATATGGCTAAGGAAAGGGGCATATATCCATAATGTTCTTAAGTGCTCTCTAATTTTATTCACACCAAGTAATTCTTCTTGCACCTATACTGCAAGCTGAAGCCAGCATAGTATATTGTTAAAATACTGGACCAGGTTTAACCTTCTCCCATCGAGTAAACCTGCACTAACTACTAGCCCATCTTGTTGTTCAGTTGCAAAGTCATGTCCAACTCTTCGTGACCTCATGGACAACACTCCTCCAGGTTCTCCTGTCTTCCACCATTCCCTGGAGTCCACCCCACCCCACCCCACCCCACCTCCCCAGTGACCCCATCCAGCCACCTCAACCTCTGCCATCCACTTCTCCTTTTGCCTTCAATCATTCCCAGCATCAGGGTCTTTTCCAATGAGTCCTTCCTTCTCATTAGGTGGCCAAAGTATTTGAGCTTCAGCTTCAGTATCTGTCCATCTAAAGAACAGACAGGGATGATTTCTTTGCCTATCTTACATGGGTGTTAACTAGGAAATTACGAAGGAGAAAGACAAGGATAATATGTAATAAATAAAGTAATGACCCTCTGTGTAATGCATTTTTGTTAGTTCCTAGATAGATGACATTTTTATCGTCTCAGTTTCCACACCTATGTGCAAATCTTTGCACATGCTCAACCAAAAGAAGCAGGTCCAGTAAGTGGCAGTATATTTCTCACATATTTTAGAATATTTTGCAAACTCTGTGTTGTTTTGAATTAAACAACCTTGACTGTAATCAGGGGACAGTTTAATGAGAACCTTTAACAAGAAAGCCAGCATGTTTTTCCTCCTACAGAAATCTTGTCTGCTGCTTATATGCAGGCTTCCTTTCAGGTTTAAGTACTACACACTTTTTATGAGAAATCCTTGTTAAAATATTAACCAGGCAGGAAAGAATAGCACGGACATTACATGGGAAATGTAACCTTACCTCTGACTGGTTAACTAGAAGTTCAGACCATTTTTGCCACTGGGGACATTTGTCCCTGTCCTCAAATGTTGCTTCATTAGATGTCCAGCAACACTGCTCGTGGCTGTACCAAAATGCTGATAGACAGACACCTTCCTTCAAATCAGTCATCCAGTCCACGGCTAAATCTATCACTCCAGCCAATGTGCCTGTCAGGGGGGGAAATGGACATTAATAGAGGGACACAAAATATATGCCTTAGGAAATAAGACAGAGATTGGATAAGGGTGCAAAACATAGGCACACAGAAGTGTCTTATCAATATGGGTCGATCCATGAACAGGGGGCGTTGACACAACTCCATGGTGAGCCACCCTGCAGTGAACAAAACAAGAGCTTATAGCATCCCACTCTCTGAACTGCATCTGCAGTTTACAACTGCCCATCTACAAAATTGTCTCAGAGCCACAGGATACCTTCAAGAGTATGCATTCTTACAACACAACATCAGTGGGATGGAAGAGACCTGAGCCAATGCAAGATAAGAAATATCCCTTTTTTTAACCTTCCTGTGTGATTTACTGTGCAATGTAATGTTTCTTTTTAAATACCATCTGCTTTTCTTGGCTCGGCACTGCACGTTTCTAAACAGGCCCCCTAATCACACACAAGCAAACTTATTCGTCTAGACAAGAATATGTTTGCAACACAAGCAAATATATTCTGTCTAGACTACTTCACGAGCCAATAAAATCAGTGAGGTCAAATTTGGTGGCGGAACTACTGTTCGGCTCTAACTTTAAGATCAGGTCACCAGAACAAGGAAGCACCATGTGTGTGTGTTAGTTACAGCACACTGATTGTAAAATAGCGAATGATTCACTAATAAATGTGGGAGACTTTTATAATTTACTTACAGCACACTAATGCAAATGTAAATGGCTCTTAAATGTTCTGGCCTGAATTTTGCTTAATCCTTACAGCATTTTCTCTTTCTCTTTTTCACACATCTGAATGCTTTGTGTAGCGACACAGTGCACGAGTGACACCAAGTGGTAGATGATTTCAAAGAATGTGTTTCATTCTGAGACTGTAATAAATAGCACTTGGAAGAAAATCTTTATACAGACCATTCAAAATAAAGAAAAACAGTTAGTTCTTGATGATTTGCCAGTTCTGGATTTCAACACTTCATTTCAGCTCAGGGATCCTCGCATGGGTAGGTTTTCACATGTGTTACAATGCTGTGGACAATCCTAGTATGAACTCTTAAAACTAACCAAGACAGTGTATTGTGGATTTTCCTAGCTTGCTCTGCAAATGGGTTAGACTACCATTCCTATCATCCTACAATCAGTGCAATCAATGGCTGGTAGAGATAGGAATTGTAGTCCAACACATCTGTATAGTAAGTCAGAGACCAGGTTGGGGAAAACATGCACTAAAGCACTGTCTACATTGAAGGGTGTTGCTGAATACGTTACTGTGATACAGAGAATTTTATATATGCTTTCCCTTACTATTTTAATAGATTGCATTTTAACAGTAAGGCAAAATATCAGAGACAAATATTCTATAGTCATTGATTAATAGTTCTGGTCTATGCAAACTTACTAATGATAACTCTTTATTTTGTTGAACAAATGCGGCTATTAGAATTTCATCCCAATAATCTAGTTATTTCTCAAAATTGTCATTAATCACTTGTGATGACTAAGTTATATTATCTTATAATAATAAATTAGGAGAAAGTTCTGTTTGTATTTTTTCTCTTGGTTTCTCTTTTTACTTAAAAAAGAGGATAAACTGATAATAGTAATGCTTGACTGGCGATTTAGATGGTTGTTCTCAAAAGATCTAAAATGGTATATTCATAGTAAATTAGAAGAAAGTTGATTGTAGCATATGCATTGTGGGATGCTGGAACAAGCAACTTTTCCTTTCTTCCTTCAAAGGAAAAGGTACACCAAGCTCAGTTCATTTCTAGAAGATTTTGGAAGTTTTGCTCCAATATGTTATTGTTTATTGATCTATCAGAGTTAACCTTTTCAGTGAGCACACTGGGAATTTTGAAAGAGTCTCACAGGCACTCTTACAATTGGAGACATGCTCATTCATAAAGCAGCTACTATGATACGCTTGGCTAGCTACAAAACACTGATTTCCCAGAAGGCAAATTTGTAGGACTAGATAAAAAGTCGCTTGCTTAATAATGTAAGTACTTTCAAAAGATGCAGAAGTAGCATCTTTTGAATGCAGAAAGCGATGGCTCTGGAAAACAATGCTTTGCTTTGCAATATGCAAAAACATTCGATGCAAAAACATTTTTTAAAGTAATACAATAACAATCAGGAGGTAGGTAGCCTAGCTGGATGTGTACATCTCTTCAGCAAAATCTATTAGCTCCTTCATTTTCCTAAAGCCAAATCTGAATTTCATTTGGTGTCTATACCTTTCCCAGTGTTATATGCACTCCCGCAGAAGAAATGACCTGGCCCTTTAAATAGCAAGCATTGCCTTATCAATTTAATCTTACTGAATTACAGGTTCTGAATTCTCTACTATGTAAGAAATGAACAGATTTTTCTAGGAACTGAGCAGATTCTTAAAATATTCACCTCTGAAACAGGAAGGTAATTCAGAATAATTTAGTATTTTAAAAAGAAAAGTGCAGATAAAGATGATACCTATATCCAGTGAGTAGAGAACAAATGCATGTGAACCATGATAACATTTCCCTTTATAAATGCATGTTTTTGCAGCATTAGTTTGATCAGGGGCAGGGAAGGGAGTTATAAGTATAAAAGAAAAACGCCCAGCTTATCAATGCATTTCTATTTATGGGCATATTTTCACAGAGAAAGCACATTACTTGTTAATTTTCTTTTTCTAGGTCAACGCTCAGCATGAGATCTCCCATCACAGATCAGAGATCCATGTATCTTATCTTAATCATACTGAAATGAATCACAGCATTCAACCCAGCATGTGCTGCCAGAGCAAAGCTCTAAATATTTATACTGGTCAACACAAAACGACCTTACACGTTCTTAACAATACCTGCCAGCAGTCCTATAAGTAGCATCACAACCCAGCCTGACCAGGCATCCAGTAAACTTTTTATGAACTCCCATATCGACTCTTTGCTTTTGTTTGTAATCTGGAAAGGCAAAAAAGTAAAGTTTAGTTGATGCATATATTCTTCTTTTTATATACTATATCTAAATAGACAAAAAGGAAAAAATGACTTGATCACATCGTATTTACATATGCTTACAATGCTACTTATTGATATGCAAGGCACATAATATGGAAGGATAAAGAAGAGTTTCTGTTGACCAAAGCTCTGATTTATAGGTGACCCATTTCACAAAAGCACTACAGCTTATTCATGCTATGCTAACTTGGTTTAAGGCATGGCATATCTTGGTTTGATTTGCCTAATTATCACCCAGGTACAGCTTGCCATGTTGTCTGACCAGTGGCACAGTTTGTTTAAGGAGAGAACAACTTTCAAAAAACCTCAAAATAGGCCATGGGGTGTTTGAAGGTTGTTTCTCCCTCGAACAAACCATGCCACCCAAGAGCAGATGACACAAGCCATACCTTGGTAATAATCAGGCAAATAGTGCCACATACAGCAAGTTAAGTTGTAACCATAATACAAGTTGAGTCAATGACAAGAAAGGAAGGGCAAGAGACATGAACAGGCCAGGATATATTGAAACATGTTTATTGAGTTTTTTATTTCAGATTATACTACATTATGCACTCATTTATTATTATTATTATTATTATTATTATTATTATTATTATTATTACATTTCTATGCCGCCCCTTGCCTTTACAACAGGTAACAACAGAACGCAGGATACATTTTCTTGAAATCATACTTAATCATTGGTAATAACCAGTTTAAGTCCGCTAGAAGGGAATTTGAAAAAAAAAATCAATTTCTGTATTGCCTGTAGTCTCTTTGGGTGGTTCACAACATTACCTCACCCATCTATTCAGGCCCAACCCTGCTTAGCTTCCAAGATTAGGCAGGATCAGGCACTTCAGCTTATAAGGAAGGCAGACTGTACAGAAAATATGTATGGTGTTAGACTGCCAGTTTCTTCATTCATTTTTGATGGTAACATTTTGAGGTACAATAAATTAATGGAAGACAATCAATCACCTAACATTTAACCAGCTGTGCAATGTGCTGTTGGCTCTTGAAATATCATGTTCACATACCTTTCGATGTCTGTCTGTGTCACGTGATTTCTCCCTTAACCAATCAATGGTATGAAAGTCTTCGTAAGTCCCAACATCAGGGAAGGGTTCATCCAAAAAATCCATCAGATTTCCAGAACCATTCATGGTTCCTGCATTAACCATAGTAGTACCTATAAAGAAAGCAAAATAACAGGCCACTTGCACTGAAATAAAAATATTTACACCAGATGACTCCCCCTGTCATCTGGACCACCATCTCAGTTGCATTTTAAGTACAACTTGAGAAGCCTACTTTCACAGATATTTAATGGACGTGAATTAGAAATACCAGTAAATCCATTCCTTTCAAGTGTATTCTAATAAAGAAAGCATGCTATTGCACTTGCGCATACTAGAAAAATAAGCAAAATCTTTTTCTAGTGTCTTTGGTGACTCCAGGCATTTACTAAGCTAATGATTCTAAATGGAACACTTGTGCTTTCCCATGGATGTCCACCATGAAGGATTTCCCAGTATGCAATTGAATGATCTAAATTTATAACCCTCAGTGAAAGGAAAAGAGCAAACAAGCAAGCAAGCTCTTTTAATTGGATGGTGTTTATGTTAGATATGTCTAAGTATCAAAGTATCTCTGATTTATGGCAACCCTATGAATGAATGCCCTTCAAAACGTCTTGACCTTGACAACCCTGCTAAGCGCTTACAAACTCTAAGTTGTGACTCTGAGATCCATAATAGATCCATCTCAAGTTGGTCATCCTCTTCTTCTGGCATCAGCCTTCCCTAGCATTATTGTCTTCTCCATTGTCTTCTCCATGTTGTACCTTAAGTACAACAGCTTCAATTTCATCATTTTGCTTCCAGGCCAAGTTCTAGCTTGATTTGATCTTGGATCCACTTATTCATTTTTCTGTGGTCTGTGGTATTCTAGGGACTAAGCTATTCACAAAGCTTTCCTCCAGCACCATGTTTTGAATGCATCAATTTTCCTCCTGTCAGATCTCTTCATGGTGCCATTTTCAAATCCATTCAAAATGATCAGAAATACAAGGGTGTAGATTATCTTGGCCTTGGTCTCCAGTGAAACATCCTTACAATTGATGGTCTTCTCTAGCTCCTTCATTGCTGTCCTTCCAAGTCACAGTCATCTTGTAATTTCCTTGCTGCAGTATCTCTTTGAAATGCTGATTGAGCCCAAATCTTTCACAGGTTCAGTTTTTTCATTGTTAACGTTAAAGTTGGGAAATTCTTCTTAGTCTTAATTTTATTTATTTATGTAAAGGTTTTATATGCCATCCCAATACTAAAAGTCTCCGGACGGCTTACAAAAAAAACAAAAACAAAAAACAAAAACAAAGAAAACCTGTATAAAATGTTTTATAGATGGTATCTATCACCAAATAGATTAGCTAAGATGTTTCCAAATATGTCAAATGTATGTTGGAAATGTAAACATAAACCGGGTACCTTTTATCATATGTGGCGGACCTGTGATAAGGCAACAAAATACTGGGTCAAAATATACAAATGGATTGAGGGAATGTTACAAAAACCTCTAATATTTAAACCTGAAGTTTTCTTATTAGGCATTGTACCTGAGGATGCTGGTAATCAAGCAATGTATCTGATTCTACATGTAACTACTGCGGCGAGGATTGCATTTGCCCAACTTTGGAGGAGTGAAGAACCACCTACCAACGAACTGATGTTAAAAAAGATCTTGGACTGTGCCAAAATGGACAGATTGACTTTATCTCTGAAGAAGAAAGAAGATACAGACGTCTATCAAACTTGGATTTCCTTGTATTACTGGCTAGAGAAATGGGACTATGCATAGATTAAATATGTTTACGGATTATCATAAAAATTATGGGGGGCTGACCCAGTAGATCTGATGCTTTTGATGATTGATGATTTTTTAGTTTCTTTTTGTTAGTTTTGTTAGTCAGTAGCAAAATAACAATAAAACTTATTTAAACAAAAACACTATTCAGCCAAAATCATACTTTTGCACTTCCACTTTCATTGTTGTTTCAATTTACTGCTCTTTTCTGCCAGTAATATATCATTTGCATATTAAAGTATTGATCAATTCACTGCCAATTTCCATGCCTTCTTTCTTTGAACCAGCTTTTCTATTATGTTCAGCATATAGACAGAACAGATAGGAAGATAAAAAAATACCCTAGTCTGGTGCCTTTACCTGTAGCAAACCATACTGTTTCTCCATATTATGTCCTAACAGAGGCTTCTTGTTCACAATACAGGCTGCATTCCAGGACTACCAGGGCCTGGGGCACGCCAATTTCTTTCAGAACTATCCATAGCTTCTCATGATTAAAGGTGAAAGGCTCTGTTGTAGTCCACAAAGCATAAACTCAGTCCTAAATTTGCTGCACTCCTTAGCATCTCCTTTCTTGGATACTGGAATGTACATTGAACATTTCCAGTCTGTGAGCTCTTTGTTTTCTTTACCATGTTTGTAGACATATTATCCTTGTTAGGAATTGGACTAATTCAGTATATACAGCTTGTAATTGTTCTACTCCAGGTGCTTTATTCCGCCTAGTCCCACTGCTTTATTCCTTCTAAGTGCTCTCAGAGTAGCTTTTCCTGTTGGGCACATAATACATAAAATGGCTACAGCTGGGATCCAAACAATCATACAAATAGTTCCAGATGCCCAAGGAAAGTTTGGAATTGATTTCGTCCAAGAGCTGCTTCCCATGCCACATGTTAATGTTCTTTTGAAATGGAAGAGAGTTTTGTAAGCTGGTAGTGGTGCAGGACTGCACATTTTAAAGATAGAATATACCGAATACATATTCTAGTGGGTCTAAAATAATTCTCTGAGCCATTGCCTCGGCCATAATTCCTTCATAAGTGTGTAAGCATGCCCTCTCTAATGCTCCATTTGCTCTGATGGGACATGGGTAGGCTCCTATGAGAGAAAGCAGTCTTTCCAAGACAGGATATTCAGGCATCGGGTCACTGTATATCAGAGATGACTTGACAGCATATAACAACATCAGCAAAGCCTTTGAAATAGCCTGATCTCAAGCCATTTTCTTAGTAACAGCTGTTTTAAGGTGGCAAACAAAAGCATTAAATGAACAAATGTACACATCTGCAAATTCATTACTCAAGCCAGATTATTGACTCAAAAAGTAACACAAAGAAGGCAAATAGATCCCACAAAGGATGCCAAAACAAAGCAACCTCATAACAAAATAAGAGTAGTACTTGTAAAAAATTAGGAGTTACTTATACATTGCACAGACAATAGGAAGTATCAAACTGTATCACTAAATGTGGGATTTATATTGAATGAAGACACATTTACTTGGACTTTCAAACATGTTTGGACAGAATCTCTCATTAAAGATACCTGTGCAAACTCCGCAGTCATGGAATAAGAAAAAAGATCCTCTAACAGATCAATAACTGGTTAAAGAACAGAAAGCAGAAAACAGAAATGAATGTAAAGTTCTCACCTTGGAAGGAAGAAAACAGTGGGGGTCACAAAGGGACCATCGCGGGACCTGTTTGTTTTGTTTTGTTTTAACAGCAACAACTTGAACTGGAGTAAGGGCAAGCAGAGAGGTGAGCAAGGTTGCTGATGACACAAAAATTATATAGGGTAGTTAAAAGAAAAATGGTCAGAAAGAGCTCCAAAAGGGCCTCTACAAGACTGGGAGAAGAGACATCATGATGGCAAATGTAACCAAGAAGTTCTTATCGGGGCAAAAAATCCTAAAGTCAGCTGATCCTGGAAAGGCAACTTGGATAGCTTAAGCAAAATGTCAATCCCGTGTATAGATGCTATCAAAACAAGAATTTCTGCATTATGGATCCTTAGGACAGGAAGTGCAAATAACTTCTCTGTCAGGATAGGTTATGCAAACTGGGTCTCTTAATTTAGAAAAAAAAAGGATGACTAAAGGGTAACATTATAGAGGTGCATGAAGTTATGCACAATATCAAGTTGTTGTTTTTAAAGTTATATAAAAAGCCTATGCATAACACTAGAACAGGGAGACTTTTATGACAGATAAAGGGAAATACTTCTAAATGCAAAGCATGGTAAAACCACAGAATTTGCTTCCACAAGATACAGAGTGATAGTGATAGCCACCAATTTGAATGGCTTTAAAAGGGGAGTATTAGTCAAATTTATGGGAAAGTCTATTTTAAGTTTATTTTATCACTGGCCTCATTACAGAGACTGTTATTTGTTAGAACTTGGGGGTTTGCTTTTTTCTCACTTTAACTGGAAAGTCATTTCCTATCAAATAGTCTTAGTTTGGCCATAACTCTAGTCGCAGTGGGAAGTTTCTTCCAGACTTGAGATGCAATCAGTTCATATCTTGCTATGTCAGCATGAAGGCTGGAAAAACTGTTTCCCTCATACATTCACAGCTAGTATTTTTGCAGTGCCATAATTCACACACAGTTGGAGTGAAAGACTTCAGAAGCCATTTGTGCAGTTGATCCAAGAAAGTTTTAGTAAAATGTAGCCTGTTTAAATAAAACAATTCTTTACATTTGAAAGTTAAGGAAACTTCAAGTCAGAACACACACACATACATATCTGAAGGCATTTTCTTGGATTGTTTTAGGAAGCAATAGGATCCAAAACTGCAAGTGACCCTGTGGTCTGCACTCCAAGACTTTTTAGCCCAGATTCCTTCCCAATATTTGTTTAATACATTCCATAGCTGCATCCCCAAGGTGACTTACAATATACAACAACTATAATATTTCAGTATAAGAAATTCATAACCCCTTTATAAATGTATTATACTTTCAATCAACCTCACAGCAGAGTTTGTCTCAATAGATTACAGAAAGTCAAAGAATAAATTGCACAAAATAAATTAGTCATGAAAGCTAAGAAAATAACAGACAATATAAAGCAGCAGAGGTTTAAATATAAAATATATAAAGCCACCCATAACATGGGAGAAAAGAAAGGCTTTCCTTGGCACTGAAAAGATATCACTGTAGACTGTAGATACCAGACAAGGTTCTCTAGGGAAGGTGTTGCATCACCCACCACTGAGCCACTGGCTTGCCATTAAGAGTTAGGTCACCCAGAAGAGGGCTTTCGAAGATGACCTAACTCTTAATGGCAAGCCAGTGAGTTAGCACTTCAAAGACTCATATGAACATAGTTCACAGGTAGGCAACTTGGTGTCTCTGGGCAGCCATGAGTGCCCAGATACCTTTGTCAATGCCCGCCAAGGTATCTTTGCGCCCGTTCCAATTAACACATTTTCTTTCCAGTAGCTGGTGGTACAGCAGAACAGGTTGCTCCTGTTGCTGCAAACTGTAGGTTCAAATGAGTTTTTCAGTGTGTTGAAGCTTAGATGCCACATTTGCCTTGTAACCTGCTGACAAGATTGAGTATTTGTCTTTTGCCCTATCTCACATAGCAACCATTTTGTGGTGGTACCCAGAGCGATTTTCCAAATTGCCGGATGTGTACATGATCCAAAAAGCTTACCTATCCCTGATGCAGGTGGTTCTTCAAAGAAGCTGGACCCAAAATGTTTAAAAGGTCAAATTCAGCAATTTGAATTGGCACCCAAAATTCTGCTAGTGTAGAATTCCCAGCATAACCTATTGCACATCCTGGAAAATGATTCCCAAATAACTGTTCAGAGGCATATGGATTTTTTTTTAAATCTGCCTTTTCATGTTTACAAGGAAGCACTGTGTGTGCACAAACAGGCCCTAGTGGATCCCACCCACCACCAGGTAAAGGGGGATATTATAGCCAGTGAGAGAACACATGCCAGCTTGATTTCATTATAAAATATCATAAATTGGGAGGTGGAACTGGGAAAGTCACAGAGATCTGAGCTTCTGACACTTACATTAGACAATAGTGAGACAGATAAGCATTCCCCAGCTTCAGATCCACCAATGTTTTGGACCACAGTTCCCATTAAGCTTAGCCACCTGGTATTGAGATACTGAGATCTTTCTGACTGTGCCCATTATAATGAAAGACTCTTTGATTTACCAGAAGTTTTTGGAAGCAGAAAGGGAGGGAGAGGGGCTTTCTGCAAATACCCTGTTTTTTCTGCAGACTCCACACCATCTTTCACATAGTTCCAAAGGGTCTCCAAATTCTCCAAAGCAGATGAAAGTGTGCAGGTATTTATTATTTATTATTTATTTATTTGCATTTATATACCACCCCTGTAGCCCAGAGGGCTCTCTGCGTGGTTTACAAACAGGTAGCTCCCAAAGATAGGGTAGATCAGCAAAATTTGCCTCCTGCTCCTGTTGCTCACATCAGCACCAGGGACACAATTTGATGCAGCCCACTAATTTAGCTCAGATTTTAAAAAACCCTACACAGAGGAGACAGAAAGTGAAAGCCAGCATAGCATAATGCCAGCCCTCTTAAGATCTAGTGGGTTTTGCAGGTTATAGAATCAAAAGCTGACACAAACTTGGGGCGGATGACTACAACCTTAAAGCCAGACGGGCCACCAAGCCCCAGCCTCAGGGCAGGAGCTTCCATGTAGCAGTCACTGTGCTCCTCCCTCTTCATTTGACACTTGCCTCTGGGATCCCTAATTCGCACCCTGCCCTGTCATTCGAAGGCCCTCCTTGAGCATTAGAACTATTCTTATCTATCTTCAGCTCCTGCAGTCTTGACTGCTTAGCAGCATCTTCCTCCTCCCAGTCTGACTCAGAATCAGTTCCCAGATCTTCCTGAGGTGACTTTGCAAATGCATTCCTTACACCAGGGCCACCATAATTCGTTGATTACCCAGTTGTATCAGCCAGAAGTCCATGGCTGTTTCAGCCATTCTCTCACCACAGTTAATAAGCCACAGAGAACTATGGGCTACTGAGTGTGGGTGTTCGCTTGCCCACATGCACATGCACACACACTCCGTATAAGCGTACTTGCATGTGCATGCGGATATATATAAACATACAAACACATACACACTGTGTGTGTTCTTTATTATTGCAGTCAGTTGCAGATTTGCAGAATTTGCAGAACCAGCAGAAGTGTAATTCCATTAAATGTCAAAATGCAGTGATCCATTAGCTACTTATTAAAACTATTAATTTATTTATTTATTTAAAACATTTCTATGCCGCCCCCATTGCAACAAAGCCTCGGGGTGGCTCACAACATCCAAAATAAACATAAAAATACAATCAATAATTTAAAACCTGGTACCATCTCGGCAATATATATTAAAATCTATAAATACAATAATAATAAATTAACAGTTAAAATAACTTTTAAATAAAAAGGTCTTTGCCTGGCACCAAAAAGCAAATAATGACGGCGCCAGGCGGACCTCTCTGGGGAGCGCATTCCATAGGTGGGGCACCACCGCAGAGAAAGCCCTCCTCCAGGTACTCACCCTCCTAATATCCTTTACAGAGGGTTCCTGGAGAAGGGCATCCGCTGCCGATCGTAGCGGGTGGGCAGGCGGGCATATATCGTATTATTCATGTTCCAAAATTCCTGTATTTAGTTATCATGCAGTCCACAAGAAATAAGTCATTTAGTTTCTATCCCAGCTTTCCTCCAATGAACATTTGGAGGATATCATACATTTTATCCTCACAGCAATTCTGTGAAGCAGGCAATGGTTTTTGATCATCATCAAAAGTATCTCATCACTGAGTAAACCCTTTCCCCCAGGCCCTGCTCCTCTGGCACTCACTGGCTGTATATACATCACATTTCTCCTGCTTGTGTGCTACCCTTCACCTCTGTTCACAGTCCTTCCTTACTATCTGAGGCTGATAAACAGGGTTTCAGATAGTAAGGAAGATATCATGCAAGTTCATAAAGGAGATACAAGTGAAGAATATATCCTGTATGAGGTGGGCTAGGGAAATACTCCACCTGACCATTTCTAAATGACATTCCTGTGAATAGTAGCAAACAATACATTTTTATTTTAGAAGGGTGGGCAGCTGTCTCAGATGAAATCCAGCATGTCCACTGCTCCATCTTGGTTACACTGACTAGCAGTTACCTTCCAGAATTTCAAACCAGGGGCTTCCCTAGCTCTAACTAAAGATGTTTTAGGACTGAACCTACGCAAAGGATTGGCTTCACCTTTGATCTCTTACCTTTCTCCATATTTTCTCTTTCTAGAACTTACAAAGAAGTAATACTTAGCAAAGAAAAGATAAGACCTCTGTCAGTATAGCCAGTTTACAGGGATTATGGGAGTGGTAGTCTAACACATCTGCCTATCTAAAATATCTGCAAAAGCCTACTAAAGAATTCTCCACAGTGGAGAATTCAGCATGTGCCAGCAGCTTATGCAGATATGACCAAAATAATTTATCAGCTTAATTTAATGTATGCCTCTTTTCCACACTAAATCCCTAAGCCAGTTTAAAATAGGGATAAAGCAAATATCACAGAGCAAAGCTGCAATTTAAAACATAGGTACAAGAGCACACGTGAGCAAAAAGGCAGTGCTTCTTGTGTGTGTGAACTCTGAATGGTTCCTACTTGTATCTTGGCCATGAATTGCAGATGCGAGGAGAGCAGACTTCCCTGCCTCTCTGTGCAGAGAAGACCAGAAGGTGTCTAATGGCTGCCTGGAGCATGCTGGGAACTGAAGGAACTTTTTCCATATAAACATACATAAGGTTGCACCCTAGATGAAGTAAGATCAAATGACTGAAATCAGTATACTCACAGTGTATACTCAGTACCCAGAAGCAATACATGTTAACAGGCTTTTTGGGAATGCAGGTGAAACACAATCAAAGTCACCTGCTTTAGCAGCTCTAACAGACATCAGGCCTTGTTTCAATTATAAACCCAAAAATGAAAATCCTTCCTACCTCATTCCTTAGCTTAATATATAACAAAGCCCAGAACAAGTTTTCTGTGTTCTAGTGGTGTGTTACAATGACACAAAAAATAAATTCTCAAGAGCATTGGTAGTGTGAAAAATCCCCACTGATTAAAAAAAAAAGAACAGAAAGTAGTCTGTGTTCTTATGCTACTGAAACCGAATCATGCTTTTTGGTCTAGAAGAGATCGGTTTCAACATGGCCTTTAAGCAGCTGAAAACTCTTCAGTTGCTGCATTGTTGTATTGCTCTTTTATGTTCATCCCTCTCTAACATTATTTAACATATTGACAAACTATCCCAATACCGTACTAATTAATAAGGAAAAATCCTCTCACATAAGCTGCTCAAGCTAATCGGAGTAATTAAAAGCAAAAATGTAATTAGATGTTTAAAATATATTTCTGCAAGCCGTTCAACTGCAGCAGGTGCTTTGCATCCAACCAAACGATCTGCACAGCTCCATTTCCCACAAACAGACACAAAAAAATTGAATGTGCGGACAAGAGACGCACAGAGCTCTCTCCCCCATAAAATGGGTTTACTGGGGAAACATGGATGATCTCTAATGCATCAGTATGTTGCAAAGGCCACACAAATTTCAAATGATGCCATTTCTACATAACAATACTATCATTCCCCACCCCCACTGCAAAGGCTACTGAAAATGTAGCTTGTTGCGTCCTAAAACGCTGATGATGACTGTGAATAGGCTGCTTTCATTGCAGATTTAACGCCCCAGCTAGCAGGATTGCTTCTAAATATGCCAGCGGAAAATCGGAAGAGCAAGTAAACAATCCCTCCACCTGCAATGTTCATATCCACAAAAACCCTATCATGAGGTTCCCTAAACCCTCCCCTAAAGCTTGAGAGCTATTGATTTCAGAGGAAGGGCACAGGCAAAGACTTACAAATCATGCTATGAAACATGGTCTTCTCTTACCTGCAATGCAACATCATTTAGTTCAGCCCCAAAGACACAGGCAGCATCCTCTCCTCTCTGGTATGGCTGCAAAGGGAATGATGTCATGTGGAGGAAGCAGTAACAGTCACATGACGATGTGCTTTCTATTGGAATGCTGCTATAGTGGGAAGCAGCAGCTGATTTAGGATCCTTCAGGGTTAACCAGGCGATTCAAACTTCCTTATACCTTTGCAACTCCTGCGGCAATGCTTTCCTGCCCTGCCATTATGCTATGAATTGGGTGCACATTTCTTAACCAGTCTGCATTTGCTTTTGATTTCAGAAAATGGAGAAGTGCTAGGAGAAAAAGAGTATTAAGTGAAATGTGACACAAATGCAGTCGAACTATTTTTATTCAGGGATGTACAGAGTGCCTAGTACAAAGGATAGAAGTGACACATGTTTTTACTTGCTGAGATTTTATATTCAAATAGAATCTCATCAAAGAAATTTGTAACATCTTGTAACATTTGTAACATTGACAAATTTATTTAAAATGTAAGGTTTTGCACACTGGAGTCCACAGCATCAGATGAATGGAGTGATATCATCAGTCGCAGGCACAAGTATCATGTTGGAAGTAAGGAAAATGAAATGAAAATTTGTACAAATAGTGACAATTAGAGATTGAATGCATGTCAATTGAGCAAACATGTATTTGGCCTGCTGAAAGAAACTTGTTATGTCACATCTAACACCAAATGTAGAGTTACAGCCTGTGGGTTATCCCACAACTGTTCTCAAAATCAAAAAAAAAAAAAAAAAATCTGCATGGGTTTTTTGCCACTTTTCTCTTTTCAACACTGAGACTTAAGTATATACAACTCCCTGCCACAATGCTGTCTCAGCTACAAAAAACCTTAAGCATAAAACCAGCATATACCTCAGCGTTCTTGGTATGAATCAGCTGAATTTGGGTCTCTGTTTCAACATCTGGCACCTTTTCTTACATTCCCTTCTCTCAGTAATTCTGAAGATATGTACAGTCTTTTAGGGGAATTGCCAAGAGGAAGGGACTTGGGAAAACATACCAGCTGCCAGAACAGAGATCCATAGATGCCTGATTCATTTGATAAAAAAAGATCTTGAAAACCAATTAGTAGTCGATACAACCAACAGAAAATTCTGTGAGTGTGAAATGAAGGTTTTACGGAAAGACTTGGTGTTGATCCCCACTCCCAAATGCAACTCCTTTAAATCCATAGTAGAGATGCATTTTTTATTTAGGTAGTGCAGATTTCCGACTTTTCCAAAGGGAGTAAGTCTTTCTCTTCAAAGATCTGTCTTGTTCAAACTTAGATCCATTTTTAAGCCTACATCACAGTCCCAGAGTTCTAGTATCAGAGAAATTTGTTACAAAAGAGGTTGAGGGTTCTTTACAGTATAGGGACATGACATAACCTCACTAAAGAAGTAGGGCACTGCCAGCCTTGAATGGCTACAAAGATGTAGTATTTAAGTTGATCTATACAGCACAGCTTTAGTAGTTTTAGTTTGAAGGCATTTATTTAAGGAATCCTTTTATCAGATCTATAACACCATCCACTATAGAACGTGCCAAAAAGCATCCAGCTTTTCAGCTTACACAAGAAACTGTATCGGCAATGGATGAGACACTTCTGTCAGGGAATATAAATATACCCACATATGACTATTTTGCTGAAGAAGAGTGAAGTTTCTAGATTTATCTGCTTCCAAAAATACACAAAAATGTATTTCCTATCCCTGCAAGATCCATTATATTTAGATGTAGCTCTATTTTGGAATGTGTCTACATATGTAGACTTCTTTCTTAAATCCTTTCTCATATATAGAAGACCCCACTCAGTTCCTGAACTGGCTGGCTAATGTACTGGAAAGCTACAAGATAGTTGTTCGGTTACACTGGATATTATCTCACTGTGCACAAATATGGCACAACACAAAGCTATAGAGTTGACTCTAGCTAAGATAAATGATGTAATTGCCACTCCTACAGACTTTTTGTGTTCAATAGTAGAATAGCTTCTGTTAAAAAATCCTGTTCCAAGACAAATCTTACTGGCAAATTTCTGGCACAGCTATGGGTTGTAAGTTTGCACCAGAACTGGCCCATCTGTATAAGGGCCAGTTTAAACAGACCCGAGCATTAAGTATGAGGATGCCTCTTTCAAACACTCTATTGCCCTCTACAAGATATATTAGAACCAGATTTTATATTATGGAGAGAGACAGAACTCTTCTTCAATTTCAGTAATATGTGAACATTAAACTATCAAATTTGAAATCAATCACAACAAATCCAGACTGAACTTTTTAAATATGGTAGTTATAGCTCAAACTGTCTTGCTTACCATTTACCTGTATCAGAAAACCACGGATGTTAAGTTTCGTTATAAAAAAGGATATCCATTTTTGCCCACATGAAATGCAATCTGCCCTGTTCAGCAAGTCAGACTGCATAGAAACTGTAACAATACAAAAATATCCACATACAACACTACATAACTGTATGCAGTATAACTGCCAATTAAACTGCTAAGAGGGACCATGCATATGACCTTAAATAGAAACAGGAATGAACAATTCTGACCCAGAATTTAACACGTGCCTGAAAGGATGGTGGTCCCCACAGCTTATGATGGATATACCAGTAAAATATGATATTTTGTGATACGGGATACCACTATCTGTTGAAAGAAAAGGTTCTCGGGGCAGCCATGTTTGCATATAAATAGAAACTTAGCTATATTTGGTACACAGTATTTGCAGTCCTAAGCCTTCTTCATACTTATACACAGTCTGCTGGTTTCCACCATGGAAAGTTTCTGGGTGTCTTTTACAGTATTTTTCCAGCTGTATGTAATCTTTTATATGATGTCTATTTAGTTTTAATCTGCTTGAAAATGGTAAAAATATCTTCATGTTGCTTTTCACAGCTTTGACCGACTATCTTGCTATTCTACAAATTGAACTAAGGCTGGATTAAGGCCCCTGGGAAATTGCCCCTTATGTACAGTTACATGGTGTCAATACGTATTTAAATATGAGTACATAAAATATCTAAATGCATGTCCTTGATTTGGAAAACAAGTGCAGATCTACTTGACCAGCAAATACAGGCAGACTTTCCTTTGACCCTAAACCGATAAGGAATAGTTAATACCGAGAAGCTCTCAAATCTACTTTATGACATGTGTAGCAAGGGCAATCCACTCACCTCATACTTGCCCCATGTTACATGTTGGTATTTCCTCTGAAGTGTACTTTCTTATTCCATTATCCTGTGCAGCTGCAGCGATCTGTAAAGAGGTGGTTTTTCCTTCCTAGTTTTTGTTATGAACAGTGGACTTACACTACACCCAGGAGTAGCAGTCTGTCTGCCTACTTCTGCTTGACAAGGACAGATCTAAGATCTCATTTCCTGTGCATATGTATAAGCTGCTTGATATTTAGCTGGAAATATGAAAATATAACAAGTGCTCTGCCCTCCCAATCATCAGAGTAGCTGAATAAATTTTGTACCATGTGGGCAAGCAACTTTCATTTGCCTGCTGTATCCATACAACTCATCCTTTGGTGATAAGCATCTTCCCTTTTCTGGAGTAAAGCTCAATACACCCTATCAAGTATAGAGGAATTATGATAATGAGAGTCAAACACAGATCCTTTCCAACTGCATTTCTGAATGCCTCTGAACGCTGCATCATCTTAAAATATCATCCCAGGAGCGCACAGCATCCTCTTTGCTCCATTCCAGCTGCACACAAATTTTGTGAGGTTAGAGTGAGTGGCTGAGCCAATGTCAGCCAAGTGAGCTCATGGATGAGAGTCTCAGCTATTGCTTGGTAGAAAAATGAAATAAATCAATCAATGACTGTGTAGTATATCATACTGTGAAGCCTTCACCCAAAAAGTAGCATTTTCTCCCCATTCATGGTAAAAAAAATAAAGATCTGCCAAACTGAGAATGATTCTTGTAGCATAATTTCTCTGTACCTGCAAAAGCAACCTCATGCATTTACAGGGAAACATAAGAGGAGATAAAATCTTTGCAGTATTCCAGTTAAGATATTAACGAAATCACACTGCAGAAGAAGATACACCTTGTAATGTTATATAAACCTTCATGATTTTATCTAACTTAAAAAAGTAAATTTGGCCATAATTTTTGACCTCTGTATTTCAAATCTGAGAAGTTCTTCATGTGCTGGTCATGTAGTATCATTCTAGGGACCTTTACAGTTTTACCATACTCAAAAAGGGAGGATCTTCATGTATCCCATATTGCTGTGATTCATATATCTTCATAAAGCAAGTCAATTATTACTATCTTTCTATTTCAGAAAGAGGCAGAGGAAAGTAGTTGAAGCTGGTAGAGTGCAGTTTGCCTACCACCACCAAGTGAAATTTCTAGTAACCTTTGTCGTCTATGTATTTTAGCAATTATGAACATTATCTGAGAAGAGACCTCTGCACACTCTTGTGGCTTAGACATAAATAAGGGTAATACATGCATGCACGCACATACGAGATCACTGCTGGTCACGAATCTGGGTATTTCAAAGGCAAATACTATTGCAAATGGAATTGTTGGCAGTCAGGATATTGTCTTTGGCATCATAGTCCTTTTGCCTGAACACTTAGTTAGATAACATAGTATCCAGCAGTGTTATTCCACTGCACTGCACTAACAGTAGCTAGGTTCGAAACTATGTGAAAGAGAAGAGAGAGAAAGAGAGAAAAGAGAAAAAAACTAAAAGTTCAATTACATAAGTGGCTGGATATTAGGTTTCTACTGTCAGATGCATATGCATAACATACAAGTGAAAAAAGTTGGCGAAGCTCTGCTACTTCTGCTTAAGTGCAGAAAGATGCAATCGGTTATTGCCCATTGTCTTGATAAGATCAACACTGAAACCAGTTTCTGGTGGCAGGCATCTTGGCATTCGTTCTTTCTACTTGTTGTAACTTCTTTACTAAATTGGGTAGAAGTGGCCTGCCCAACCTGGACAGACAACATTGTTTTTGAAACTATTGTGAAGCAAATGATAGCATGGATACTGTCATACTGGATGTGACAGACATGACCAATAGCCATAAAAATATCTCAAATGTGCCAAAGTTTGGAGAAAACTCATCTTGAAAACCAAACCTTGTACCTTGTAGAATGTAGCCTATCTGCAACAAATAACATTTCTTATAGGGTCACCTTTTAAAATTATTTTTAAGCATTCTTAACAGTTTAACCATATCCTAGAATTTATTTTAGGAGTGTTTACCTGTAAAATAGATACACAAAGCTGTATGTATGGCAAGTTTTTCTTTATTTTGCAGAATACTTTTCAAATACAAATGACACAATCATTCGGAAACTGTGACAAACACAAGATATGAATACTGCAGAGCATATTACTTTTTAACACACCAAAATAGTATTCATTTTGACAGTCAGAATCTTGTTCTCCCTAAAAATTTTGGGTATACAGCACAGTGGCTATAACTCAGGAATATATTTTTATCAAGGAGCCCTCAAAACTTTTTTTATATTCCAATGCACCAGTTATCATTTATGGAATACAAAATTGGCATTCACAAACAAAAATAGATCATGATTTGTCATTATAGGAGGCAAAATCGTTTTGAACTGATTGCTCTTTATCACAATTAGTGTACACAAAAGGCAGTGGAAAATGTTCTGCATAAACAATAATCCTTTTTCACATTGAAAAGAAATGTGAATCTATGTCTACAACCTTTTGGAAAGAGGACTACAGCTGCCGAATTGTAACCCAAATGAATCATATAGGAATAAAATGCAGCAGTTCTAGGCCATCCCCAGATAATGGTTGGAAAATACTGACACTTTAAAAAACCATATAAGCGACTAACTCGGAGTCTTCCTAAGTACTGAACTACTAGAGCAATTGCCAGATGATTTTCCTTTAGGCATCAATATCAATATTCTTCCTATTAACTTTTTTTTGTATTCTGGGATCACTTTTGTAGACACAGGACACTTTTTAATACACCCAGCAGATATTCTTAGAGCAGTCAGTGCTGATAATGCCAAACATTCCTATTTTTAGTTTCACCAGCTCTGGAAAACTTGCAACATCTGTCAGGTGAAGCATGATCTTCCAAAACATTAGTTTAACATGCACAGTTTGAATTCCTATCCATATTTGTACAGATACATCACTGAATTCAGTGGGCATTACTTGAAGAAATGCACAGGCCTGCACTGTTAGTCTTTAATCTGGAATTAATAATTTACACTATATGCAGTTTATCACTACCTCAAGATGCAGATTATGAAAAACAACTTAATGATTGTGTTCTCATGATCTTAACACAAAGCTTGAGTTCCAAATACTATAGGGAACGTTAGCTTGTTTCTAGCCTAACAGCCTTCTTTGGTATCAGGTCTCCCTAAGGCACAGTCTGATTTTATTTAAGTAAAACCAAAGTTTGACTTGACAGAATCCTATATAAAAATTGTCTTGACTACTTATTAATGTCCCAAAAGGGTAGCTGACCTTTTATAGGACAGGTTTCTTTGGGTATCCAAAGCTTCACAGAATATTACAATTCTTTCATACATTTTCAAGACACAAAGTTGTACTTTCAGGAATTTAAGGTGACAGCCTGATTTTAACTAACAAAAACTACGAGTTACCCTAAAGCCCAAGTGAACTTCTTCCAATGCTATGGAATGCATTGAAGAATGACTTGAAGAATGAATAATTTTTCTAAAACAACTCTAACTACTTTAGCATGTTCTTCTGTCCTAGCAAGAGTGAAAATGCACTCAGTACAACAGTCTCAGTTCTATGTGAGAGAAAAATACTATTCAACAGCAGAAAACTTTAGCATTGGAAAAAGGGAAAATGTACATTAAACCTTTCTTGATATTTAGGAGACAGCCAACACTACAGAAGTTGGGATTAAATTTTAACATAGTTTAGTTTGAGCAATCAAACAATATTAAAGAAAAAAGAATGGACATGAATAGAACCAAAAGAAAGAACTATACTAAAGATTTAACAAGGCATTAAAATGCACCACAAATATACCACTGTTTGGACAGTAGCATTTTGAGGAATATTTGTAAAATTGCAAAGAATATTCCACATAATTAAACTTTGCATAGCAGCAGATGTGGAATCCTGAAACTCCTGGGTTTTAATTAAAGCAAACAATGTTGGAAGCTTTATGGAAATTGATAGCAAAAAACCTGAATATCTCAATGGAGGTGCTGTCTGTTAATGGCTCAGAAAGAGAAGAGGTTTCTAGCAGGTATACAACTTGGATTTTTTTCTATTGTCCAGAGTTGATACAGCCTTTTTTTAACTATTGCCAACATTCACATCTTGGTTATGATGCTTGCTATGTGAAGTGTTGAATCTATGGCAATTACTCTCCATGCAATATATGTCCCACTTTGCTGGACACAAGGACCAGCACAGGATGCACCATGGTTTTAAGTGTTTTAAAACACACTTTAAGATGCAGTTTGTTGAAGATACTGAAGTTTGGAATGCAAGATCTATGAGGAAATCTAAGGAAACTCAGAGTCCTGTGTTTGTTGGGATGATTCCCTAAATGAGGTCCTAAACAATTATGGAAAAGACAAATAGTAGAACTGTTCAAATAGTACATTACTGATACAGGAAACGCACAAGCACTTTCCAAAAAAGAAAAGCTACAGAGACATGTCACCTTCTTCTTTCCCTCGTTAAAACAAAACAAAACTACTTAAAAATTATAAGACATATTTGACACAACCGAAGTGAGAAGAATTTACTAGTGCACAATAAGAACATGCAGTTGTGCCCTGCGATGCTTAATGGCATTTTAATAGATTCTTAAAAAGAAACATTGCAGGTGATATTTTGATATCAAGACAGTGCCAAAAATACATTATAAGATGCAGACAATAAAGCTAATTAAAAAACTGACAAATTTAGAACATACTATTTTCATGTCAGCTATCAGAAACAAAACCTGCTCAATGGTTCCATTCTACTGTATGACAAATACTGAGTAACAAAATTTTCTGTTTTTTAAAATACATCTTAAAGTAAATATTTTCCTTCAAGGAAAACAAATTACTATAAATAAATTACAATACAGTGAATTTGCCTGAACTCACTTTGTTTCTGTCTTCCAGCCTTTTAAATCAAATAAAACAGCCTAAAACCTGTACACGCTCTAACAGGATAGTTGATTTGTTTTAATATAAAATAAGTTGTCTTCAGAGATGTCAGTTTCACAACAAGGAAAAACCAAGCCTTGCTGTGGTCACTATTATAAAATATATATGTATATATATTTATATATATGTTTTTGTTTATTTTTTACAAAAGGTGTATATTAATATTTTTTGCACAAAGATTTTTAAAAATAAACTTAACTAGTTTAATAACTTCATTTTAAAATAGGAAGAGGCAGATAAATACTTCATGTTTACAAAGTAACAATTCATACATCATCAGCTGGCAGAGGTGGTATGTTGATCCTTGGCCTTGTAAAGAATGCCATCTTCTCCCTGTCATTCATATGAAAAAATACTGTATAAATATTGAAATATTGGTTGGCTTAAATTTTAAACTCTTGTGAGTACTCTTCAATCTTTTAACAAATGAAGTTACCTAAACAGCTGAATTTGCTTAACTAAACATTTGTGAACTGCAAAGCCTTTAGTAGTTCAAACTGCATGTTCTTAAAAGATTTCTACAATGGTTCAGTCTTTCACAGACCTCACTGAGAGGGATTTTTCCCCTAAAAAAATAACCTGTTTGTTGTCTACATGATGACACAAGTCACATGGAGAGAGAGGGTGAATGCTAATATGATTCAAGTACCTGTAAGCAACCTGTTTATACCAAAGCATATATTTCAAACCATTTGGGTTGGTTCACACAACATGGCCAGCACATGCCAGAGTAGAACAGCTATCATTTGAATATACAAGCTCCAATTGGTAATTGCGGCATCTCATGTGCACCTGGCTACTATGGGTTGCTCAAGGGTTAAACAACACCTATAAAACCTTATGAATTAAATGTATCCATGTGTGTGCCTGCACAAATGTATTTAAATGCATATGTGTCTGACTTGTGTATGGACATATAATACTGACACGTGTGCTACTGTGATGTGATTCACACACTGTGGTTTACTTAATTCATGATAAGCTGCAGTGAGCACTGGGTAAATACAGGCACCATTTTAAATAAGCAAGCCCTAAACAGGGTGATAGGGGATTGCAGCCTGATGTGTGAACTCAGTCAGTTACTGTGGATTCCTCACATACGTATTTTAAAAAATATTTTAAATTTACTTACCGGAAGGTCTGCACCTGGATAGGTTCCTTCTGGTTTTGACCACGCAGTTGGTATACTTCTTTGGAGGCTTTTTTAAGCAATTTTTCAGCTGCTTGTTTTTGATGATACTCAAATTTGGTCTGTCTTGTCTAAAGAGGAAATAGTAAAAGGAGAATACTGGACTTGCAGCTATAATGAAAGTGTTATTACCTTTCTTCCAGTGAATATAGAGCCATCCTCACATAGGTTATTTATCCAACTTTCTTCAAAAGCAGGGCTAAACATATTTCTTGATGGGGTTTAGGTGGAAGTAAATGCCCTCAGTAACAGGTTGCTTATTTGTAACAGTCGTTCTTCAAGTGGTCATCTGTGCATTCACAAATATGGGCTCTGCAGCTGTGTGGAGCCCATTACCAAGGAGATAGCTAAGAGCATTTTGGTGGGAACCCCTCCCATGTCCCAGCATCTCTATAAAAAGAGATTTTTTAGCCAGAGAGGATCGGAGTTGTATACCAAAACACTGGGAGGAAAACAGGTCGATGAGGATTGAACAACAGTCAAGCTGACAGTCAAGCATGGTCAGGCCAAAACATTGAGTTGCCTGGTTGCAAAGGCTGCTCTAGATACCTGATTCATTAACTAAGCTTCAGACCTTAGGCAAAGATATCACTTAGCTGAGGCCAGAACAAATATAAAATTTGTCATAGCTCAAACATGTATGACTATATTAATGAGAGCAGATTCATAATCTACAGAATGCAAAATACAAAACTCCTGCTGAAAAACAGTCTCTGAAAAGTTTAAACTAGGTAAGAGTCTGGCAGCATGATAATCAGGGAGGTCATGCACATGACTCCAATACTGGTCTTTCTTACTAGATCATTAAGAATGACCACTGTAAGTAAATTTAGGAAAAATAAAAGTACTGTCAGAAAAGTCAATACTGAATCAGTAATATTTACTTCTTCCCCAGTGATCCCAGTGTGCAAATTACCAAGGGAATCTTTTCAAAAATAACTTTATACACAGACTGAAACCAAATCTGACATATCAGTAGTTTTGTAGCAACTTCTTGATGAGTGGACCTTGGGCAGAAGAAAGGAAATGTAACAGTTCTAATGCTGAGAGCACCAGTTGCTTGCAAAACAGCAGTCTGAGTGATTGAAATGTTCAGAAATCCATGCAAATGTTATGCTCTGCTTTTTGCATGAACACAGATAACAAATTACTGACAGTAAGCATGGTTAGTACATATACCGGCAAGCATATGATAAATGCCTATGCACTTCTATGTTAAAGCTGGTTCCTACCCCTCCAAGAGCTCAGAATTCAACAGAGATTTCTGTTGAAGGGATTTCTTATAGTCCGTGTATAAGAGACAAAGTTGATATCATAAAAGAGAGGCAGTCATAGTTAAGTCCTATGTGCTAAAGCGGCATGCCACATTGCTTAATGTAGCTCTAAACTCCTGTCACTGCAGAAGACTTAAGTAATCGGCATTAACGAGTTTAGGGGAACCCTGAACCAGGATTTGAACTAGTTAGGAATACATGAAAACACTGAACTGCTTATGACTTCTAAGACTGAAAGAACCTTCAACTATGTCCTCAATAAACTCTCCCAGAACCTTATAGGAAACTATGGAAAGAACAAAACTCTTCATTTGAATGGCTTTTCAGTCAACTTAAACCCTATTTACCCTTAATGGGTAGAAGAATCATACTTCAAAGTATCCAAGAGAGAACAAGATAAAACAAACAGTAATACTCTCTCTACACATATCTTAATACAAGAGAGATATATTGAGAAGAGTTAACATTTAAAACTTATTCCTTTATATCACCATTTATGCATAATGTACTACTTCTAAATGCATTCTTCTGCACATCTCTTAATACCATACCTGCCTTTCTGCCTCCTTCAGCAAATTTCGGAATCGATCATCCCGAAGGACCCAATGAGGCAGATCTGTTTGACCCGTTAGCTGAGCATCCTCCAGGCGCTGCCGCAACTCTCTCAGAATAGACAATTCCTCATTCAAGTGTCTCTGCCGTGTCCTGGATGCCTGGAGATCCAGCTCCAGGTCTAGTGATGTCCTTTCCATAAGGTCAGCTAAAGATGATCTACATGATTGCTACAATAATAATACAAAAATACGGTAATATCTCAAATGCTGTAAAGCAAGATGAACAAATAGCAAATACAAACCCTACCCCCTTCAATAAAGTATGGTGCTATCATATGCTTGAAAGGTACCTGAAATAGTGAAACAGAAGGAAATAAATTAAGGTCAGTTTACCTGATGCAGATATACAGCAAAATTGTAATGGGAGACATTTGAACAATGATTTGCAAAAGCATGAGTTGGCACATATCTTCATTTACAGGAGAATTCCCTTCCTGCCAAATCCTCTTCAATCAGGTTTCATTGGCACACATCAAACACAATTCTAACTAACAAGGATTTCCACGGTTTCACAAAAAATGGGTAAAATTATCAAATGTTATTTAATCACTGTTGTGCTGGTAATGCCAAACCATTGTTTAATGAACTATGGAATGAAATAAGGCATTCATAAAAGAGGGAAGTGGGGAAGAGAACAAAAAACATCCATTGTCTACACCAGGGTGGGCGATTTGTAGGACAAAATATCTGGAGAGCTAGATTTACCATTATCCCTCATGACTGACTATGCTGGATAGGGCTGATGAGAGATGTAGACCTTGACATCTGCAGGGCCTCAAGTTGCTCACCCCTGGTCTAGGCAAAGCAGGGTTTACAAACTGTTAGGTAAACTCTTCATATTAATGGATCTTAGCCATTCTAATCTGATACTTTAAAAAGATGAAATTTAGCTCAAAGATTTTGAATTTTATTCCTCTATATCAAAGAATGATACAGGAAAATCTCTCCTTTTTGTGCTGTGGCACTAGCAAATATAGTTGGCTCGCTGGTGAAAGTTGATGGCAATCCACTGCAGAACTTTAAAAAGTCGTTGCTGATGCTGAATTGTGTAGTAACACTGGTCATGAATGCATTCCAGTTTTGGGTGGGAATGTAGATGTCTGGAAATCTGACCCTGGACTGCCCCAAAACATCCCTGCTTTATGTAGATGATGTGTTGCCTTTCAAAAGAAGTCTTTATAGAAGAATCAAGAATTAAAGTGCTAGGCAGCTAATTACAGAAATGTCACCAAAACCAATCAAAACATTATCCAGCCACCAAGACGGGCTAAATTAATCAACTCAAAATTGAACTAATATTCAGTCCCTTTTTGTAACACTGGCTGCATTGCATGAATATAACCCACACACTTGTTACATTGCTATACCAAACATTTTAATGGTGTTCTAACAATGTCAAAATCTAATTTCCATGTATAAAAATATCAAAGCAATGCAAAGTATAAATGTTCTACAGTTTACTCTCGTATTTATACCTGCTTGTAACGCAGTGTACGTCTTTCCAAAGTATTTCGGATGAAGGGTGACTTTCTTGGCAGAGTAGAACTGTCACTATCACTACGATACAGCTAACAGAAAAAAAGATATAAAAACAGTAACTGATACTATATAATTAAAATTAATAAAACACAATTTTAAGACAATTGCCATGAGATAACATGGAGAAGACAATTATATATGACATCTTGGTCTCAGTTGGAGAAAAAGTCAGATATATAATATTTATATTAATTCAAATGAGTTATTTTTGGAGTTAGTCTGTTAGGATCCCAGGGTTTAGGAGTCTTCTTCAAAACCATTAGAAATATTATTGAAAGAGTGATTTAAAAAATGCCTTCAGAAGCACCTCTTTCTTCATAATCATGCTCAGGTACAGGGACATTTGGCAGAAAATGTTCTAGGAGACTAATGACATGGGCATGTCCAAAAGCAGACTGCAATGATCCTTCCCATTAAAAATTCATGTGGATAAGCAATTGTTAGTGGAAGACAGCAATGCGGTTGACTGTAGTCTTTAAATGTATTCAGGGAAAACCGGTGTCTGTATAGGCAGATGGCTTTTTGATCCCTAGACAAGGAGGCATATGTGCACACTGGGGAATGGAGCATGAGATGCAACATTCTGACAGCATGAATTTTTTCCTACTTCTATTATCAGCCTTCCTTAACTTGGCTACTGCCTGAAGATGGTGGGTGCTGTAGCCCAGCACATCTGGAGAATACAAGTTGTGGAAGACTATTCTATAGCATACTTGAATCTGTAGCAAATGTAATGAATATAGTGGTAGCCTTCAGCTAAACATTTTTTTTTTTTATGATTCAATCACAGAGACATTGACAGTCTTGAACAGAGCACTGAGTCTCAGGAACATGTGCTTTTCTTTTTTGGTTTTCTCCCAGCTTTGTTACCTTGGAGGTTTGAATAGAGGATGCTAGAAACTGAACTTGAAAATGCATACAAGCAGTTTTAGTGCTAAGGTATATTACAACATAAGGTATTTTTAATATAATTTAAGATAAGTCACTGTTCCAGGCCAATCATTCAGTAAGAATTTCTACTCACTCGACAAACATACTGACTTCGGGCACCAGGTGAGAATGTCTGTGAACGAACAATTGTACTACTACGAACAAAGGCAGACCCTCGGGATCGACGGCCAGTTCGGTTTTTATGAAGCAAAACTGCTTTTTCTGGGAAAAGATCTTCTGTATTAGTCTCCTTATCCACCTTCAAAAAGAATCAAAGTCTCATGATTTACAGTGCTTACTTCCATAAAAAAAAGCACAATAACTCTGGAATTAACAGAATATATAACCATTCTGTAGCGATATAGTAATTATAAAACCAAATTTTTCAAATGAAGTAATCTCCATTATAGCAAGTTGAAAATCTTCAGCCAGACATCAAAAAGTTTCTATAAATATAACATGGACCTATGAAAAATGTTACCAGAATATCAGAAGTTGAGAAAGCAAGAATTCCCCCAAGAGATCAGACTGTTTAAGAGCTGAACAATCAAGAAGATCTATAGGCTGACAAAGCTGTGTCCCATTGCAAGACAAACAAGAGTACTGAAGGCAAGGGTCTAAGGGGGAAGAAAATAAGAGTGCATGACTTGGAAGATATCCCAGACCTAGCTCACTTAAGGATTAGAAAAAACTATAGCAGAAATTACACTTTTCTCCACTTGCCTTTATAGGGGGAGGCAGGACTTTTCCAGGGGTATACTGATCTGTCTGAGGTGAATACATATGGCCACGTAATGATTCGCCACAATAGGATTCTGGGTGTGGACTGATCTGCATGCAATTACTACATCCACTGTCAACCGATTCTGCTTGCCAACTCCTGTGAATTAAATGTTTACAATTATTTTATACCTTATCTCTTAAAAGTTTAGACTAATAACCAGAATCTTATGGTTGATGTACAATAAATCAAAAACAAAATATAAATCACTAACCTATGGGCCAGTCCGCACAACCTAACAGTCTACAATGAGTCTTTACCCTCAGGGGGGCTGAGACCCATGGTGGTGTATAAAGCTGCTGTTTTGCATGGGGCAAGCTTGCTCAGGGGTTGTATTGACATACAAACCTGGTGAATATGGGTTCTGTGAAAATTAACCACTCAGATCATACTCTGCAGGTTTGTGTAATGTGACAACCCCAAGCAGGATACATAAAGTGGTGCTTCTGCCTGCTGCTGCTCATCATGTTGTGCCAACCATGTCAGTGGCAAGAGCATCACATAACATTACCAAGATAAAAACAGCAGTAAGGAGTAAAAACATGCAGCATATAAAACTAGTGCACCAAAATAAATAGAAAGCACCATAAACATAAATGCCTTTATCTAGAGCTAAAAAAGATTGTAATGTAGGTGCCATGTGAGCCTCAATGGAAGATTTCCACAGAGAAGAAGCTACCTTGCAGCTATCTGCATTGCTTTATCGGGAGCAACTGGGGCAAGTCCTTGGGATCTGAATATGTAACAGTGGAGAGATGTCCCTTTATGTAACCCACCACCAAGCCATTTAAGGCTTAAAATTTAAAAAAAAAGTTGTTGAACTGAGCCCAGAAATGGACTGGCAGCCAAGACAGATGGCAAGGTACTGGCACAATAACATCACACTGGACAGGTATTAAAAATGTATCCTGGTAATTAAATGTATCTGATTCTCCTATGACTTTCCAGTACATATGTATCAGGAGTGAGCAGATACTAGCATAGAAAAAAAACCAGATGGCTCTCATGAACACTGCATAAGTACTCTTCTCTCTATTATAAATTAGTAAATCCTATCTTCAAAGAAATAAATATGGGATATTATAGGGTAAACAAGAGCAAAATCTCACATAACAAGAGAGCAGAGATTTAGGCACAGCTTAACAGATTATCAGGGTAAGTCTATGAACAGTTTTATTTTTACTAGTACTAGTGGTCCTAGAAAATTTATGAATTTCTTACTTTTGTACTAATGTCAGATTTCGAGTAGTCAAACCTGGACTCGTGCCTACATACAGTATTTACATTTAGTCTTATTTCAGATATGTAGTCTGTAAGATTTGACACTATTTATTCACAGTCCACACAATCATGTGAACACTGATAGCAATATGAATAGTCACGGTTCTGTCTTGCCGGCTTTTTAAAATTACCTCTCTGATACAGCTTCCAGCTGATCTTCTTTTTGCTCCATCTCTAGAATTTCTTCTTCTGTGTACTCCAGTTTCACTCTCTCTTCTGCTAGCTCTCTCTCCACTGCTTTCAGCTGAGCTGTTGTCCTAGCTAAAAGGGCAGTCACAGCATCCTAGAACAGAAAATTCAAATAAAATGTCACTCATTTTCTTTAAAAGAAGAATGAAGGTTAAAACCTTTGAACAGTAGAAAAAGAAATACAGAAGTACAAACTGATGATTGGTTGGGAGTTTCTCTGAACAAAAGGTAGCATTTTTGTTGCATTTGAAATGGCTTTCTTTGTTCTTCTGCCCTTTCCCAAAAAACTCACAGTAAGTTAAATTACAGCTTAAATAGTGAGAATTGGAATGACTAAAACATTTCAAAAGACTCTACAGAGATGATAAAGAACACTCTGTGCAAGCACATACAGATTTGGTTGCACTCCATTCACTCATAGTGCTTCATCTCAACAACCAATAACTGAAGCTTTCTGTGTAGTTCCCAGCAATTCATAAATCAGGTATAATAATAAACATAAAATACAAATATAATAATAAAATTCTAATACAGTAAAATACAGCATAAAATACATTATACAAAATTTAACACAGTATGAACAATTGAAACCATTTCATAAAAATTGATCAGTTAAGACAGTTGATATGTCTCATCATGCATCATTAAATGCCTGGGAGTTATTAACCTGGCACCAAAAGGAGAATTGAGTTGACATACCAAAAGAAGGACCTCTTTTTTGTTGCCACTTTGCCAAGCATTGCACCCCTACGCCAGGCAGGATTTTATAGTAATGACCCTGAGGTAGGTTTTGAAGCACACAGTGCAGGTGGACCAAAACTGATCTCTGGCTCTTCTAGTCCCAGTTATTAATCTGGCTGGATGTTTTGCAAAATCTGCCGCTTATGAACATTCTTCAAGGACAGCACCACATAGAGTGCATTGCAATAGTCTAACTTGGAAATTACCAAGTTAGTCTATATTACTGAAGCCTGGTTATCTCTGTCCAGACAGGCACACCCCTATGCATCCCTAATTATAGCCCACAAAGTAGAACTCAAATGTATCCACTAGAGGTTTTTCTCCATCTGGACTCAAGCTGTGCCATTTTGCTTCACTGCGTTCAGCTGCAGAGTATACTAGAGTCACATGACTTTTGCTGTAGAAAGAGTTTTCAAGAACGATCATGTCAACCACCCAAGTCATGTCTTAATTTCAGAACTCCACCATATCAGCCATATATCTTCTTAGAGCCCTCTGGAAACTATGTGGATCTGTCAGCTTCTGATGTATAATCGTAGGGTCCCCACCCTTAAAAAATGCCACCATCACTCTAAGCCTCAGTTACAAATGATCTCTGACAAAGGAACTGAATCAAAGTCACACATTCATTTAGGTCACCAGCCCCATACCTGGCCAACATCAAGTCTAAAGTGTGCCCTGCTACATGTGTTAGAGTAATAACATGTTGGGACAGTCCCAAGGTTGTCATGGAGACATAAAAACCTAAGCTGCCCAGCCAACATAGCCTCAACATGAATGTTAACGTTCCCTAAAACCAGCGGCCTGAAGAACCTTGGTGTCACACTACAACTGCATCACTCAGCTAAGATAAGGATCTACTGAGTAGCAAACTGGGCAGTGCACTCTAATTTCTCACTGCTGCAAAATGCTAAAATTCCAGAGCAGTAGTCAGATGAGCTGAGAGCCTATACACAGAGGAAGAACAGACCATGGTGACATGCTCCTACCTCCATGACTGTTAAGTCTGTCCTGATGCTGGAACGAGTATGCCAGTGAGAGCAACTGAGACAGACTGATTCCTTCCTGTTTGCCTACCCAGGTCTTCGTTGCATTTGACAGATTGACTGCCTCATCCAATACTAGATCATGAAGGAGGGAGTCTTTGTTCTGCACTGATCTGGCATTCTGAAGCAGTACCCAGAGACCTGAGGTCAGGCTGACAGGGTAGCCACCAAACTTTCAGTTGCAAGAAGGGCTGAACACCACCTGTCTGGGGGCATATTCCTCTCACCTGACTGGTCCTTTTTTCAGTGCCATATCTCCCTCTACTGTTATACACTGATAAGAGTGTCCCCACATCTCCCTACTTAGCTCCATATTCTTAGCTCCTTAGCAGGCTTCATAAATCTGCAGGGAGTGAAGAAAATATTAATACTCAGTGCTGATTCCAATCCTTCTCCTTCAAGATCTCAGCCAAGCACTCCAGCCACTCTGTTTCATCTACAGGTAGACTGCAATTTTATAGTTCAACTGATGAAAAGGAGCTCTCACCAGTGCAAGTATCTTTGGCCCTGTTTTATTGGTCATATCATGCTATAAAATATTTTCCTAAACCATACCTCTTATCAACTAACAGAATAACACGTTTTGCACCATATACATGAGAAACATTAATAGGGGACATAAAGGACCATACCATTTTCACTGTACTTTTGTTTTCAAAAAACTGAGAAACACTGTTTTCACACTTGGCTTTGTCTTTTGTCTCTTCGTGATCTGAACCAGTGAAGATCTGGATAGGGAACCAATGAAGCTGCATTTCGCTAGAACTTTCATAGTCAGCTAGGTTAATCTGTGCAATGCCCTGTGAAGGTGTTGAAACAAAATATACAAATATAGTATTAGATAAAACATGTCTTATTTCCCAAGCTACTCCTTATCACAGAATGTTATATTACGTTATGTTATTCGTGAAATCGTGCCCAACCCATCGCGACCCCATGGACAACATTCCTCTAGGCTCTCCTATCCTCCACCATCCCCCAGATGTTCATCTAACAGCAGTTGTTGCACCATGGAGATAAGAATGAACTTTCAATATTCAGCGTTATGATGAAGGGAAACAATCTGTGCTTTATTGTTTTATGGACAGCTGTAAACCACCTTGAGAGCTCTGGCTATAGGACAGTATAGAAATTAAATAAACAATGACCACCATCATCAATTTGCATTTCTAAGCCATGGTACATCAACTGTATCTTGAAAATGAGGACTTGGTTGTATTCTAACCACAGAACTGAGCCTACAAGGTAATGGCAAAAAATGTATATTTAGATTAACCAATTGTATGACTAACACTAAATTTTGTTTAACTTGCTCAACATTGTAAATGATCATCTCATCGTATAACTTTAAACTGAGTCACAGCATCGTCAGATGTATTGTCTACAAAACAGGAATTATACTGGCACTTGCACTAAATTTCAGCAACCCTTGAAAACAGGACTGTGAAAAAAACAGGAAATTACTTCATGTGTAATTTAAAAGAAATGCATAGCAGAAAGATCTTTACAAAAAGGTCCCCTTACCAACAGTTCTTCTTGCTGATGTTGGCCAACTGAACAGATATAAAGCTGCAATGATTTTAGCTTCATGCTACTTGAATGTATAGGGATCTGGAAGACTTCATTAAATATTAAGGGAGTCTGGAAATCCAAAGCTCTAGAACAATAAGTGGTTGATGTGCCCGACTCCAGAGATGGTAAATATATTCTCACATGTCTGAAAATAACAAAAAGGAAAGTATTTGTTGGAAAAATAGATATAATTTTAAGTTGCTAAGTAAAATGGGGCAAAACTTATACAAATGTTATGTTAGCCTGCACGTGCTGTTCAAGAGGCAGAAAATCTGAGTTTCAAATACCTCCAGTTCATGCAAACTTTCCCTGACTTGTAAAGGATGCGCCATTTGATTGTTTTCCAGTTTGGTAAAGTTGGTTTTATTGTTTGTTGGTTACCTTTGTTGTAGTTCTAATTGTATACTGAGTATTTTAATAGTAATTTTAATAGCTGGTAATGGGAGATGTAAACTGCTTGCAGATTTTGTTATACTGAACAGCATACAAGTACAAATAAATCCTAATTAATAAATATGAATGACAGTCTGAGAATGACTTTTAGGAGTATTAAAAACAAACTATTTCTCCAACTTTTTAAGCATACAAAAGGACAAAATTGCAACTGTATGAAAATGTCCAGCAATATTCACCAATCTATCATTATCTTTGGGTCTCTGTCTGCAATAGTCAGTATTCTCATTTCAGTCATTTGAAGTTTGTAGAGCTTTAGACATTTTTGTACTTTATGTTCATCCCTGTGCTATCTGTGCTTTTGTATTGTATTATTTTATTTCACCTTTTTACCCATAGAATATCTTTTATGAAGCAGATTTTTTTAAAAAAAACTATAATGTTACATTGCTTAAACATAAAAGGTTCTTGTTGTCAGTTGATTATATTGTCTATCCATAGGTTTCATTTTTGAGTTTGTGTATTTTTACTGAGCTGTATTCTTCCATGCTTTGGTTTTTGGATATACTGTGAAATGCCTTATGTGCCTCACATTGGAACATATATTACACATACCCACACATATATGTACACCCCATTATTTTTTCTTAAAGTGCTCAATTTTATAACATGTTAGTGTTAGTGTTAATTAATCACTATGTATCAAAAAACCACAAAGCCAAGTAATGCATTCTGCATTGACTTTTGGAGGAATAAGCACCATTGTATCAGATTATTCAGGTATTTCAGCTTACATTTTGCAACCTTCTTTCATAGCAATGCCAGTAAAATTCTTCAGTTGCAACACATGGACCAAGAGACACTCGCTCCCACAGTCATGCCTGAAAAAAAAGTTGTCCAGTTAATTGTCAAACCATCCTGGGACACAGAAGCTAAAGAATTGGAGCACATTTGACAATCAGGATCATAGTGCTTGAATCACATTAGAATTTTCAATCCGACCAATGGATTCCTGAAGTGCTGTCAGTGATAGACCCAAGGCTGTCAAGATCCAATGAAGTTTGCCTACTTTTATACGCACATTTTTACACCCATTTATTTAACTGACAAACACGAAGCTATAAGCTATCATAATGATGAAGTGAGGCTATCACAATATACACACAATGAATGAACACAGAAAGGCAAAAACTACTAATAGCCCCTTCTGGCACCCTCCAACCCGAAACCTGGTATAATTAAAGCAGTAAATGCATCACAACCACAATAAATTGGTTATTTAACAAAGAATCACTAGAACATAACTTTTCCGCATGTGATTATTTTCTCCACACCATCATATTCCTTCTTTTGTGAAATATGTATAAACTAACCAAAATAGAGGCCTCCCAATTCACCCTCACTACTTATCAATAGTCCTAAATGTGAACATCCCTTAACCATTAAGTATATTTTGCATGTTGGCACCCATCAACATTTACCAGAGCAATAAATATTGTTCCATGAAGCAAGGAATACTCACAGAAATCCAACTTGCATTTTTGGCTCATCACTACTGAACGCATCACTGTACAGCAATTCATCAACATCCTCATTCCTATGAAATAAAGAAAAGAAATGATTAAAAGCCAGCATTAGAGGAGTGCTTCGGCATCACAAATTATATGACCAATCCAGGAAGAAAAGCCATGATTTGCTGTTTAGTCTTGGACTCCATCTGGGTTGTTCACAATTATCAATTTCCAGTTAAACCACAGTGCAATGTTTACAATGTAATGACAACTCACAATCCAACAACAACCCACAATACAATGATAGCCCACATGCAACCTATAGTCTGGGTTGTTGTTTCATGCAAACCAGTCCTGTATCTATTGCGAATAGGTCATTTAAAAAACTTTCAGTAAAATCATAGGAAGTTTCCTTAGACTAGTCTATGTCATTCCTCCTCTCCAGATGAGTTGGAATGCAACACATGGCCACACAGGCTAGGAATGCTGAGAGTTGATATGCAACACATTGAGAAGCCACCAAGTTGGAGATGGCGGCTCTATGTAGTCCAGTATCATCTTCCCTGATTGCAAAGAGCTCTTCTATCCCCAAATTCTTTTAGCTGGAGATAAGGCCTGAAGCTTGGAGCTTCTGCATACAATGCATATCCCACTCTATCTAATATGCTCAGACTCTTACAAATTTAGAAAAATCAAATGTTGCATGCTGTTAATAGCAATGAAATGATTGCCACTATATGTGTTTTACACAGTTCTTTATTACGACAAACAAAATGTTGGAACTAATGGCTTGGATCTTAAGAATAGTAAACAGTTCAGGTAAGGGGACTTTTCTGTTCTCTTCCTTACTGTTTCCTGGATAAAACTTTCCTGAACAGACTGGGATCAACTACAGCAGAAAAACAAAATCCCATGAAGAAAGAGAGGGGCAGCTTCAAAAGTGCAGTTCTGTGTTCCTTTCAAAAGTGGAGCTCTGTGTTTGCTTTTTCCCTCTGGTTAGTAGTTATTTTAACCGTTATTAATACTAACTAGGGTTCATTCCTCTCCAAAATGTGAAAGTCATTAATAAACTAGTAGTGGTACAGTTCATCAGCCTGAAAGCAAGCAGCCAGAAACAGATTTCAATTTGGCCGCACAGCTTGCAGATGCAATATTGGCTTGGATACAAAGGTGCCTTCTTATTTGAGAAATTCTTTTCCATTCACAGAAGATTTCAAACTTGGCATAAGGGTGCAGTGGATTAAAACATGAATTTAAGTTCAGACATTTAATTCCCTTTTCAGAAACACTTGCCATTATTGGACCCATATGCAAAGCCAACCACAAAGACTGGGAACATGCTGTTCTCTGTTGTAAAGCACTGGCACAAGCAGCTTGCAAGCCACTATAGATGTCCAGTTTCCTAGTACTAAACAAGCCTTGTGTAGTAATAGTGAGTATTCTAACTACTATGACTTGCTTTTAAATGGGAAACTACATCCACTCCATGTGCAGATATGAGATCTTTGCATTCCTATAAGTCAGGCTCCAGATATTTTATTGTGCAAAATTTTATGCTTTGGACAACAAATAGCACTAGGAGTGAATTTATCCCACTCACTAATTTTGGATCCAACTTTTAAGTGGTTTTACCCCCTTTTCTAAAGGGAGACCTTTTAATTTGCAGTTGCTATTCTCACAAACAATGGGTGCTTCCAAAGAAAAAGACTTCCAGCAGTTCCATTCTGAAGGCATGGGGGCCCTATTCTATCATAAGGTATTGTCTATAGTAAGAGAAAAAAATGGAGGAAATACTGGGAAAACATTGAAGAATAGACAATGGCCCACAAGATCCCTTGTAAAATTACAGGAATGAGGCAGGGTTATGGTGTCATAAATCCTCATCTGGAGACTCCTGAAGGATTCTATCATTTTTAAAGATATATTTTATCATCTTTTATTGCTTTCTAAAACCAAATTTATTGCTTTCTAAAACCAAATTTAAAAATTATTCACACAACAGATTTCAATCGCTATCTCAATTAGAAGAGAAAGTTAAATGAGTGTGCAAGACATAAAGCAGTTATTAAGCAAGTTAAGAAAAACAATAGCACAAAAATACTATAGTCAGCCAGCAGCCAAAGTGACACAGAGTAAAAAAAATCTACCCTGTTAGAACATTTTGAACTATTAGCAATTTGCAATATTCAGTATTTAAATAAATAAAACTTTACCAAATATTTGTGTTGCTTTTAAGTGCAGGATGTTAAGTACAGTTCCAATTTACAACACATTTATACAACCTGACCTTTTGCTTAAAGCTTCAAACACGCCACTGTCACTAGCCAGTGAATAATTGGACAGACATGCTGAGACTCGCCTGGCTCTTCTTTCTGACCTTCTAACACTGTCTTCCCGTAGGGTCACCGCTGCAATGTGGGAAAACAGCAAAGACAATGTCAACTGAAGGTATTCACATTTATTAACATGAAAAAAGAAAATTCAAGCTAAGTAGTCAATACATTTTATGATTAAACCTGCTGTGATTATATCCAGCTTTTAGATACTGTAATTTCACAATAATATAGGCCCATTTCAATGAAGAGTTGAGCACATCCTTATTTTGGCCTAGATTGGGCTATTTGTTTCTTTCATGACATGCTACTACTTTGGTTTTCTTTTGTTTTTGAAAGATGAAGATATAGGAAAAAAATAATTGTTAAAGCCAATGAATATGCACCTTGAATACAAATCATTATGCCACAAGAAAACTACAGTGTACAGCTCTTATAAACAGTGGATTGGATTCAGATTAAATTAGTTAAATTTAGCGTTCACTAAAATCAAAGGGAATCAAATTAAATCACAATTAACTTGTCTCAGTGATTTTAACTCAACTCTAATAAATTTCCCAGTCTCTCACAGGTATAGGCACATATAATGTTTATGGGTCTCAGACATATTAATCCTAAATAAAATTACTAGATTATGGGTATTCAAGTAAACAAATAACTAAGTCACTGGCCCATACAACTAGTTGGTATATGGGAGAAAAATAATATACTGTGTATCTTGTGCTTACTTACCTCCACTGACTTCAAACAAGTTTATACCCAAGTAACTATGCACAGAATTGTAGCTTTATTAATATAATTACAGAGTATACTGACTGTTCTTCAATATTCCAAACAAAATCCATTTAAAACACATGCAAGTGAAATGTCAGATTCAAGAAATCAAGAAGGAAACACTAATGAACCAAAAAAATAGCATTCATGACCTGCTTGTCAATTTCCTATAGGGATTTGATTGGCCATTATATTAGAACAGTATGATAGATTAGATAAGCCTTTGATCATGTGGCAGGGCTCATGTGTCCCTATGAATCAATTCCCTTATCTCCTACTTTTACTGTTTATATAATATTTATACCCTGACACATGACACTTTCAAGGCCTAATAGTACTTCTCTATCTATCTATCTATCTATCTATCTATCTATCTATCTATCTATTCACGTATTTATAAGCCTCCTATAATGGCCAAAATGGCCTTGGTGACTTACATAATAAAAACATTAAAACAGTTAAAAGACTAAAAACATACATCATTAAAAAATATAAAAACCAACATAAAAAGGTTCTTATTTGTACAGTAGTTTTTAGAAGACAGAAAAATCAATCTTAGGATAAAATCCAACATAAGTCTGATTCATAAGACTCACTGAAATGAATAGAACTTAAGTTAGTTACCAACAACATAAATCCTGACCATTTTAGTGAACATCCCCTTAGGGTCAGCACACATGTAATGGTGGCATGTCATGTGATGAAAAAACTCTACAGTTTACCAATATTGTCAGTACTTGAGAAAAGTAACATTAGGGACATCAGTTTCCCACAGTTTGGGGAAACTAGTGCTACTTCCATTTTCTGTAAACAACTTTCATTTGGCCCAATCAGAATTTGGATGTTTGATGTGCAAACCCAGACAACAAACCACACTACATGCAAACCGGGTCCTACTCTGACTTGGCTTAGCACTATGATCAACAAATCCGGAAAATAAGTTATTTTGAATATTTCGCAGGTAAACAGCCTTGGAAAACACAATGTTACATCCACTTCCTCCTCATCAGGGAGCAGAATAAATGTCTCAATCATGATGACACTAAAATACAGAGGAAATCGATGTCCCGGTGTTACTTTTCTCAAGTACTAACAGAATTGCTAAACTATAGAGCTTTTTAATTAAATTATGATGGCCTGATTAGGACAAAGGTTATGGCCACAAAAAGCAAGCAGGCTAACAGATTTCTTTCACAAGACTTTCATAAGACATGTTACTTAATCTCTTAGAAATTGTAAGGGAGGATATGTTGCGGAAGATAAACAAGATGCCAAGACAAAAATGTTACTAAATGCATACATGTTATTTATTTTGCAGCTTATTATTTTACTTGATGCATGCAGACCAATAGTTGAACATCATTATAAATTATACTGGATGCTAGCTATAAATCATGCAAAATTAGTAGGAATATAGTGATACTGAAGAATCGTGTATTAAGCAAACAAAAAACCTGCAAAATTGCATTTTAACTAAAATAAAAAGTCAACCCCCCAGGTTGTCTTTCCTTGCTAGAAAATGTACATATCCAATAAATGAATTGACATTAATTTTTGACAGATCACTATATAGATCTCTCACTAAGAGATCATTTATAGTGATCTGCAGTGTTGCTATAAATGTACCATAGGCAGTTTTGACATGTCCTATAGTGTAATTTAATTGAATTATCATGAAGCCTGAACTGAGACATCAGTTGATGTACACCAATGGTATCATCAATATACACCACTCTGATTACTTTTATTATAGAAACATTTACTAAGCAGTATGAAAATGCTGTGAACTATGAACTTTTTTCTGTTTTCAGGATTTTATTATTTTTTTAATCTTAAAAATCTTCTTAAATACTAGCCCCTTAATATATCTATATTGACAGTGATAGCCTTCTAATTCTTATTCACAGCTTATCAGCATGTTTAGGACAGCCACTGAAGCTTCAGAGTAGAAACATAAGATGGTCAACAACAAATACTGAAAAAAGATTATGTTAACACAGTGGTGTATGGAAGCAGAAGTGCAAGGAAGATGGAATCCAGATTTTTTTTTCAACAGAAGTTTGGTATTATGCCATATATTGATACATATTTAAAACTAAATAAATGGATTGAATTATTGGAAGTAATGAGTGATGACAGGAATTGCAGCTGTGCAATGCCTAGACAATTATATGTCCCCCATTCCAATTACACAGGCTGTCATGATGAGTTATGCACACTAATATTTACCACTACACCACTGGTTGACTGGAAAGGGCTATAATGGTTCACATATGAAGATTCTGAATGAAACCAATAAAGTTCATATTCTATCTTCCAACATGCACAAAATACAGAACAAAATTCAAAAGAAACACATATACAATAGGCTTTATGGGCAGGGGGAAAAAAAGATCCACAACGACCAAAATAAAAATCTAGATTCACTTACAGCAATTTTTTCTGTTGTGCCAGATGAGAAACAAAATACAAGAATAATTTAAGTAAACAATTAAATCAATTAGTCAAGAAGAACAATCTAAAAACTGTGACTATCTATATCCAGTGACAATGAGCAATGTTTATTAGCTGATTTTCAAGCATCCAGGGTAAAAATAGGAAACCATGGATGCTTATGAAACCAAAATTCTATGGAAATAAACAGGTCTTTAAGCCTCACTGATTTATTCAAGACATACAGCACTATCTCTGTAATGACCCAGTTTGGAAGATGGAATAACCCATGGTAGACAAACTACAAATGAGACTTCTAGTTCCTTCCTGTTCACCTGCTTCCACTTTCCAAAACCCTTTATTTTTGTTGATAAAAACTCTTTGAGTTGTTTAATCCTGAACAACCTAAGTGTTCACATATGATGAGAACAGGAAAATCCTGGGCTGTTTCAAAAGGCTGAAATGGGTAAGAAGGCAGGATACAGCAGCATACATGCATGGTGGCACTAAAACAATCCATGGTTTCTCAGATTGTTGAAACTGTTAAAGTTCCTTAAGTGGACTTTATTCCCCACTGAACATACCCAAAGATTGGTGCTTTACACTCACATGATTGCTTGTTAAAATATTTCTATATTTTTATTTTATAATTTAAATAAAAATAGTTAGAAAAAAATCTCAATGCATCTCTTAATTTTAAATTGGAAAAGCAAAGGGCAACTACCGTGCAAGTTTTACAACCTGTTATGATTAAAATCCCCATGCCCTACTTTGCAATGTGTCTCCTTTAAGGTCACTATCATAAACTGTACTTGTAGTACAAATCATGCTCACATAATAAACCCTATCGATGCCTTTTTGCATGGTGATGTATTAATGTAAAGAGGCTTCTATACGATTTAGACTTCTTTTGCCCATATCTATACAGTCTGCCTCCTCTGGAGGAAGTTTATTGATAGGTTTACTTAGAGAGCACACCTTAGTTAATACTTAGCATATGTACTTCAACACAGAGCTTATGTAGTATAGTGGCTTAAGATACTGGGCTGAATCCAGTGTTAGTCTAACTTAAGTCCCATTCATTTCTGCAAATGTACCACAAGTAATGCTAAGACAGGGTACAATCCATACTGATCCAGATTCAAAACTGGATTCTGCCATGGACTCACTAGGTAGCCTTAGACAAACTGCTCCTTCTTAGTATCATCCTCCTTTCACCTACAGTCCGGGATCATAATATTAATTTATCCAACATGGCTAACACAAAAGTTAATCAATGAGTTTATATAGAATGCTCAAATAAACTTTGAGCATTATAAATTGTTATTAATTTTATGTAAGGGCAATTTTTTTGAGAGCGAGAGCACAGTTCCAAAGTCAGTTTACCAGAGAGATGTTGATGTGAGGGTTGCAGCAGGCTGGAGCAAGGCAGGGTCTACTTAAAGGTGGACAAAAACAGCAGGAAGGGCACAGGTGGGAACAAGGCAGGAACAAACAGGAGCAAAACATAGTGATTCAGGGGCCAAAGCACCAGGACAACTTGTGTTGTTATAGAAAGCAGCAGCAGTGGAGGGAAGCCTTTGATGCTAGTCTTCAGAGTCTCCAGCTGCACTGCATAATTGCTCCACAGGTGTTCCTTTCAAGTGCCCACAAAGGCACTCCCGGTTCTGCAAGCACTTGCAGAGTTTTCAGGCCCTGATCCTGACAGTGGCAGCCATTTAAAACACTGGGTACCAAGTTTTAAAATAAGCAAAGCAAAGCCACCTTTCATTTATTATCCTAACCTTTATCTATTAACCCAGTCACATGGGAGTTAATCAAAGAAAAATATAATTTCTAAATCACCTTGTGGGCAGGGACTAATGAAAGATATTCCAGACAGAAAACACACATCACACTGAGAGGGGTGCTGATACAGCGAGGAAAGTATGTGTAATCAGCCCTAATTCGCATGTTACAGTAATTTATAGGTTACCTCCATCATGTGGGAGCCACTCATGAAATCATTTCTCTGAATTAAGGAATATGGATGCTTCTGGCCACATATTCAACCTAGTAATTTATTTTCTCTACCAAATTGAGCTCTTAGGACCATCACACAAAAATCAAATTCTTCTTTTTGACCCACTCTTTCTACCATCTGAGCAGATAATTTAGAAGGGCAGGGAAAGTATTTTTGTTGTTGTCATTAAACAATTAGGAGTTAGAAATCCTTGATGATCTATTGCAAATAACCCAGAGATCTAGCAGTGTAGTGTATCCTACATTCTGTCCACAGCTGATTCAAATTTGGATGCTTAACCTTAAAACTGATAGAAAATAGTTACTTTCCATGTAATGGTTTTAAACATACAACATAGTAAGAGTCCCCTGTAGATTATCCATTATCTATTAAATGCTCTCTATTAAGCAGAAAGCAGGGGCAGAAGAATAAAATGAAAAATATACTTGTGCCAGAGAATAAAAAGTAAAGAAAGTAGGTAAAAACATTTTCATCAACCTGGAATTAAGAAGCCTACGGTGCACATATAATAATGACTGCAACTGCATTTTATTTATTCATTTCTTATTTATTTTTGGATTTATATTCTGCCTTTTTCCTACAAAGGGCTCAAGGCAGCTTACTTCTCCTCCTCCATCTTATCCCCAGAACAATCACCCTGTGAGGTAGGTTGGGCTGAGAGTCTGTGACTGGCCCAAAGTCACCCAGTTGGCTCCATGGCTGAGCGGGGATTAGTACCCAGGTTGTCTGAGTCCCAGTCCCATGCTCTTAACCACTACACCACACTGGCTCATTTGAGTTTAGGCAAAGAATGTTTTGGTCTTGATGAATTGTAATTTACTAGTAAGCACTGGCCACTATGCACATGTCCAAAGGGTACTCACACATTAAGTGTTTCAGACAGAAAAAATATATCATTTTAATTTTAAAAGAGAAAGCAAAAACTGGCTAGAAAGCAGTCCTGGAAAATAGAATTTGTACAGTTCACAGAAAAAAAGGTAAAAAGGATGAACGGAGAGCAGCAAGAAATGAAGGATGCAGCAATGATAAAAGTAGTAATACTTGTACTTCCTATAGTAACAGCAGTAGTGGTCTCAATAATTTGGAAGTGTGAAACAGATCGGAGTCAAAGAATGTCATCACGATGCTGTATTTTTGGATGTAAGAAATACATATCTTTGGCAATGATGTACTATGGATTTATGCACACCAATAAGGCTCCTTGTACTCATCACATACCTTCTCATTCAGCTCTAAGAAGAATGCAAGTACTGAAAAGAATATAGGAAAGAAATGCAAGAATATTTTAAAAGGAGTAAAGCAAGTCCAATGAGGAAGAATTACTGCAATATAGTTAATTTACAGGAAGAAACCTAAGGAACACACCTGACCTATTTTTGGATGTTTAATGTCAGAACAAGGACGAAAGAAGCTGTTCCAAATCCAAAGTTAATCCACTAAAATCCAGTGCAATTCATGGTATATACATTTGTTGCAACTAGCTTGTCTTAATTATTCCAATCTTTGCCTGACTAATTTTCTCTTGATTTGAGTAACTGTTGATGAAAAGTAATCTTTTACAGGGTTGTACAAAGGCAGCATTTAACAAGGTGCTTGGTCTTCTTACTAGCCATTTGCCTTCCCCTTCAAGACTATAGTAATTACCTGCCAATTAACAAGTTACACCATAGGTGCACTTACTGATCATTTTCATTATGACTTCATCAAGAAAAGTACAAATTACATAAATTAAAAAGCTTTAATGATAAGTTGTATTTACTGTGAAAAGTAAATATCTAAAAAACACTTTAAGGCCACCTATGCATTTTTGTTTCTTACTGCTCCTAAAGTCATTCAAATCTTTCCAAAATAACTTGAATGAACATCTTGCTTTTTGGTTGTGTTTTCATGTTTCTGCTACAAAGGATTGAAGGCTAAAAGATAACCTACCTCCAGAGATTGCAAGATTTGTCATCTGCAGCCCTGATTCCTGAAGTCCTTCATTGCCTGTGGAATATTCAAGAGCCTTAGATGACACCATTTCTTGTGCTTTATCTTCACCCAAAACAGAGACCTGACCTCGGGGTACTTCTAAGGCACCTGTACCCATTATCTCCTCATATCCTTCGGACCTTTGGGCCAATGGAGAATCCCGAGAAGCAGATAGGAAGGGAGTGTCTAAGGGTGAACTTGGAGGAGATAATGAAGACAGAGACGACCGTGAAGACAGAGATGCCAGGGACAGAGGTGTATCCAAAGATCTTCTTTGTTTACTGCTACTAGAAGTCCCAATAGATTCAATATATTGTATGTCTTTGCTATGAGAATCAATTGGTTCATAGCGTATATGCTGCCCATATTCTGTAGCACTGTCCGTTTTCTCATATTGAGGAAGACCATAGATGTCTGTGAAACTAACAGAGCTAAGAGAGCCCCTGCTGGATGCCAATGATCCACGGCTGGATGCCAATGACCCCCGACTGCTGCCAGAGGATATTGTCAGGGTGCTGGCAGACAAGCTAGAATACAAACATATACATGTGTTAATTACATATTCAGGAAACACAAGCTTAAAAACTGGAATTCATTTCATCAATAAAGGTGAAAAAATATACAGATTTAGCAAAGGAAGTACTTTACATTTTATCAAAGGACTGAAGGCTGCAAAGAACACACCAGATCAGGCAAGAAAGCCGCACAATAAGTGATTAATGCTTCCTTCCTACACATGTAAATAGCTCAACAAAGGTTACACTCAGTGAGCTGGTTCAAGTGTCATGCAGGACAATCTTGGGCTTACATACTACTTTTTCCCTTCATCCATGCCTGTATTTCTTCTTCTTGAAGCACACATACACACTGGCTACCTACAGTTTGCACTTGTCCTCCAAGTCAGAACTGTGCCTATCATGATCGAGCCATGATTTTCATTGTGCGTTAATGGAAAAATTCAATGTCAGTTTGGATCTGGATACAACAGTAAAATACAGTTTTGAGATAAACAGCCCTGGTTCTTCAGCCTGTGACTGGCCCAGCCTAACCCTAAGTTAAGCAGAGTGTATGCAACTGGCCCAAAGACACTAGTGAGTTTCATGGCTGACTGGGAACTAGAACCTGGAACTTCCAGGCGTCTAGATGCAATACTCTAACCACTCCAATATTCTAACAATACCACTGGATTTCTTACAGGCTAATGAATGTTATTATTTCATTTCTACACTGCCCAACAGCTGAAGCTTTCTGGGCAATCTGCATTAATTAGGATTTTTTAAATTTCTCCCCTTTACCATTCTCCAAGTTAAGCAGTTTCTTAACAGTATACATATTATAGAGTTAGGAATTTCCTCTTCCCACAAGTGTCATTAAATATTCTCTTAGAAACTGTTGATGGTTGAAGTATCAACCATCATTTTTTCATCTAAGCAATTTTAAGCTTAAATGTAGGGCATATTCTGACCCATGCTAAGCCTGCAATTTATTGCCTTTCATAATAACCATTTATAACATTATTACTGCTCTATGCACACACATGCACGCACTCTAGCTAAATATGATTTAATTGTACATAATCCAGAGCCAAGCCTCAGAATCTAGAAATTAGCCAGCAGCATATGAAATCCACATGTTTACTTCTTTCAACTGTATTCTGAAACTTAGCAGCTTTCTAGGGTTTTGCAGTTGAAAAGTGATTTTATTCTTAATCCATCAATTTGCCACAAAGCAATATGATATCAACTGTAATCATAACACTAAGACTGGACAAAGGACTCTGTTTCATTTAAGCTAGAAGATTATGGAAAAAACCAAGATAGCTAGTTCTATTTTATTGTTTAGGATGCAAAACAATCTTAATCCCCAGACATCCCATCCGGAAGGCATAAAGATGGGGTAGAGGTTTCTCTGCAAGGGTAGAAAGTACCTCTGCCAGCAAAGAGCATGGGCATGTGTAATCTGTTAGCCTTCTGTAACCCTATGGGAATTTTCATTGCTGCAGACCTACTACTGATAGTAGGACCCAAACCAGGGCATTCCAAGGGATAAATGAAATCTTCTTCCTTCCCTTGAGAGGCCCCAGGATCAGGCACATCACTTATGCAAGTCTGGAACTGGCATGGATGTTTTTCCTCCTACACAAATCTTTGCAGAGGGGAGGCGTCAATAAGAACCCCACTCCCTGCCGTGTTTATCCTAGGAGCCAGCAGGACAGTGAAAGTAGCAGTTGATCTAGCATTACATTCCCCACAACCACTCACAAACACTTAGGACTGCTCTGTCAATCATGATTAGCCAGAAATGCACAACTCAGTTTCTCTGAAGTACTAACCTTTTCAACTGAGAATATAAATAGGAAGTTAAACGAGTTGCTTCTTCCAACTGCATGAGCAAGCAATTTTTCTTCTCCTGTAGCAGTATCCTGTAATACAGTAGACACACATGGTCTTACTTTGCAAACCCAAATACATCTTTCTCAGTGCTTCAAAGTGAAATCTTCATCTACATAAAGTCCTACTTTTATTAAAACATTACACAAAGACTTTTAACAGTGCTGATAAATCATATGAAACCCATCCCAGACTACCAGGTGAATACTGCATATGAACAATTATGGTCTAAGCAGGCCTCACATAACTTAATTTCATCAAAATGTATAAGCAGGCAGAAGGGCATCCAGAGCCTATGGGAATGGGGCAGCCTATAAAAATTAAAATAATAAAAATATACACAGGAGTTGAAAGTTAGTGGGCACACTATTGATAGTCTTCTGCAGTGGCGTTTTTATCATATTACTGTAAACTAACATCAGGAGAAAACACTGCTCAGAGTTATTTCTTATATCTCTACTGTTCAGCATTAGGCCTCTGGGCACAAAACGCATGGGACAAACAGGCAATGATTATTGAAATCAGCCTTCCAAAAAACATGTACAAGCTAATTAAAGTTACTGACAGAAACAGAGATATGAGATAATGGGATAGGCTTGTAGTATAACTCAGTATGGCAATTATTATGGGCTTATATCTGTGAATTCTAAGGGTTCCTATCCTTTTTGAAACAGCTGCAGAAAATCCAGCTGTCACTACTCCCATAGTTACTGTTTGACTGTTATCAGACAGGAATTATATCAGTTTATTAAACAGGCTCTAGAGACATAAAAAAAATGGATAGCACATGAGAGAAAAATAGCTGTTAGCTGGCAGTGGTAATAGTATTTACCACTGTATTGCTATAGATTTATAACTGCATCATTATTCCAACACATCTGTCATATATCCTCTAGCATCTAACAAAATCAATTAAATTCTCAAACCTTTCAGCAGCACCATAAGAAGAAGTGGCTTGAGCCTGCTGGATCTCATCCTCGAGGCGCCTTTTCTCCTCCTCTAAACGTTGGATGTCTTCTGGGGACCGCTGCTGCTGACTTATGAGTTGTAGTTCTTGTAAAAGAGCTTCTTTCTCTTTGATGAGCTGAAGACGGTCTCTGTCAGCCTCCACTATTCCTGGCCAATATTCATGATCTTGTAGAGCCAATTGTTGCTGTATACTGAAAACCCTTAGATATACAGAAATACAAATAAATGAAATAACAGCAGGAAAAAAACAATGAAAATCTCTGCAAACAGATTGGTCATAAAAGTCCTTAAAATGTATTATACTAAGAAAAAATAACACCACACATTTTTATCTGCCTTCATGAACATTAGGAACTAGGAATTTTATTTCCACTATTTTGAAGGTGTTTTTTAAATTATCCTGAGAGATGTCTTAATACTCTAGCTGCATCTCAAAATAGATCTGGGACCAACTCAAACTAAAATATAGTGAAACCTTGTTTGCATGTCAACTGAACACAGTGGATTTTAATTCAAACTATCAGTTGTAGAAGTAATAAATATTTAATATTTGTTTAGCATCCTCAAAGAAGGGTCTGTAAGGAACACATATGACAATTCTGTGACTGATCATCATACGGTTTAATATACATAGAAAAATAGCTGCTTATTATATTACTTCTGTATTTTTTTAAGTCTGTATAAAAGTCTCCCATTAGTATTATGCTCATGTGTTACGAAAGACAGGGTCTTCTGATATGTTAGACTCCTTTGAATTGCTCACAGTAAAGGGCCACAAATAAATACTCCATACATTGGTAAGGTCCTAAACTAAAAAGCTGAAGCACCTAAGAGTGTATTTTTTAAGGATTTGCTTGACTTTGTTGGTGTTATACCATGCTCTTTCTTCACTGGGGCTAAACAAGGAGCTTGCTTAAAGTAGTTTAAATATACAGAAATACTTTAATTTTATCAATTGTAGATTTAAACCAAACACAGCACATTCCTGCACCCACACTGTGCAAATGCAGTAGATGTTTTACTAGCAAAGAAAGGGTCAACACATAAATATTTTGAGTAGACAAAAGCCCTACAGAAATGTCAGCAAGCTAAGGGAAGGAATGCATGATAAATGAAGAATGTGACCACAAAGATAACTGGTAGAAATATATGTGCTCTGAGCTGTTCAAGGTTTTAAAAGAACCCTTTTACTATTAATGCATATTTAGTAAACAAGGTAGAGGTTTTCTGAGGAAGAGGCAACAGTTAAGGGTGCAATCCTATGCACTTTCAGACAGAAAAATGTCTAGAAATGAAAGCCGTGCCCAACCAGCATGGTTGGTGGAAGCATGCTATGAGTTGTAGGACTTTCTCTTGTTAAACATGCCTAAGTTTGTGCCCTAAATCACAAATGAGGGGAAGTACTGTCTTCAGAATGGAAACACTTTACATGAAACATTTCAAATATCAGGATAGAAAGTACCCTAACATATATCATTTAGCACAACCTTCTCCAGAATGATAGTCTCAGATAGGTTGAAGTGCCATTCTTATCAGCACTAAGGCCAGTGGTTAGGAATGCTGAGAGTTCCAACTGCTGTAGTTCAAAGCATCTGGAGGACATTAAGTGATCAAATATATGAATCGCACAGATTATGTGGCTGTATGCCTATGATAAATTTTCTGGATATATTGGGTTGGTTGATCACCAAACGGATGGTGTAAAAGTGTGACATACAAGCACAGATTATCTGGATCAGGTTTATACCCACTCCATTCTGAGATGATCTCCGAAAAATAACTCGTTCCTATCTTGTTTCACTATGTTAAATCACAACAAAAAGGGACAACACCTTTTTTGATTAAAGGGCTCTAGTGATCCCCAATCCCCACAAAAAGCCCTATCTGTCCGACAGTTCTTGGGCTCAAACATTAATTGCAATTTGTTCTTTAAGCATCATATTTCCATTATGATGCAACCCACTTATAAATATTTGGTGGCCTGAAATCAACAGCAATTTACAAGTATCACTTCCCCACATATATAATGTCATCCGTATCTAGGTATTATGTCTTATCCAGTAGATATCTGTTACCTGCAGTCAGTGGTGTTGGTATGCAGCCTATTAAGGGCCCTGCCAACCAACAGCCACTATGCACATAACGAATTTGGCTGGGTTTTATGCCCTAGATGTCTTGCAATTGTGTTGTACTTCCTCATTTTCACGTTTCACCGGCTCACCTACTGTATGTTACGTTTCCCCCATCCCACTTAAGGAGTTGCTTTGGATCAATTTTCTTGAGGCCTCCCAAAAGCTAGGGTTGGTCTTATTGTGGGTCTTCCAATTCAGTGTGCTGTCCTTTACATATATTTATTGTGCTTTTGTCTTTTGTCTTGCTAATGTTCAGTGTGATATCTAACAGTGCTAGATACCTGAATACACATGTGCAAATTTCTTTGTGAAGCCTGTCGGAACCAAGCACAGAACAACTGTGAGTAGACACCCTTACATCTTACATGTACTTACCTCTTTTTGGCCTCTTCATACTGCCAGCTCAATTTTATTTTGTCAGCATGTCTTGCTTTATCATCAAAACCAAACTTATGTGAGGCATGAAAAATAAAAAACCAATACATTAGAGAAATAGCAATACTATTCAGGGAAATGTGATTTAAGTACAGCTTCAAAATTTGACCTGGTCCAAAACTGTTTTAAGGTAGCTAATTTTACTAATACAGAAAAAGACTAAACTCACTCTTTCACTATATTGGTTCACAAGTATATATATCTATAACTATTAATTATGCTTATTCAAGTATCTGCATGCCGAAAATAATAAAAATATATCAAATTTTAGGACAATATCCAACAGAACTGCTGCTGACTGCCTCACGCCAATGGGATCCACTACTTACAAAACAGGGAGTTAATGCTTTGTAAAGGAATACTGGAAATGAATGAAATGCAGATCAGGACAAATCAGTCAATCTCCCTTCTGCAAGCTCTGCTGACCCACTCCATTCTAGAAACTTATGTTTTCACTCACTTCAGGGTGTTTTAATAATCACTAACTCTCTATTACACTTTTTTATTATAGGAAGTCCTTTGGTGCGGCACATTTATAATTATAAATACATTATATTCAGTTAAAATGTACATCTATGCAAATCTATGCTGATTCACAGTTGTTACTAATTTCATATTCAGAATAATTTCAATGGTATCAATGGCCAAATAACTAAAAATCAGTCTACATAAAGTGGGAGGACTTTTGAGCTTTTTAGGCTTTTCTAAACTTCCTATAATTAAACTCATTAATTTATTATTGAGCCTCTGAATCCCTAAACTTCAATTTTTACTGGCACAGAAACTAAACAAGAGAAGTCTTTTTCCTTCATGAAATACAATTTCATAAATTAAGCTACAATACAATTTATGCATACCATGTTGGAGTAAGAAGTCCATTCCTGCAACAAAGAAAAAATAATATATAGAGAATGTATTTGAAATACTGATTTTTTAAAAGAATCTGTGTATATTCTATGGTGAAAAACATGGAAAAAGTGCTAACATTAAGTTTAACATTAAGTGCTAACATAATATTTATGTTAGCTAGTTTAAGTACTAACATAAATTTCAGCCAGAGAAACAGATTCCAGATTACTGCCTATCTCAGTGATAGGGGCTGAGATAGGTAAGTACACTTTACTTAGCTATGTAAGAAAGAATCCACATCTGTACTGGGAAATTTAAGTTTTCTTTAAGCTCCAAGTCTTTAATAAGTGTTGAAAATTATTCCAATTTTATTTATTTATTTACTGCCTTTTTATAATGTGCACAGCCATCATAGCTCTCAGAGAACTTTAAATGAAACAGAGAAGTTTTAAGATGGCAGATGAGACTGAAAGTGAACAAATGTCCCTTTACTGAAACTATAACCAATTTAGGCCGTGTAAGAATATGAGTAGGTTTACTGGCAAATCTGAAATCAGGCAAATACAACATACTTTCTTTTCACCAATGAACTTATATAAGGCAGAAAAAAGGCTTGATGAGATAAACCTGAAAAAATGTGGCTTTCTTGAATCACAGTGGTAGTGGAACCAATTGTATAGCAAAGCTATGATGGAGAAATCCCTTTAGTGAGATTTTGATACCTGAATTGTCCATTATTTTTAACTGAGCCCAAGATTTTCAGGAATGAGATCTTTCAAAGACAGCTGGTATGCCACAGGTAACTGTCTTATATCCATTCATTTTTGTACACAGTGGCACATGTTACCTTCCTGATAGTTCTTACCACTTCAAAGCACTTTAAGGAGTATCTTTCCTACCCATATGGGTTCTAGTAATTCATGACTTGGAATGGCAAATTCAAAAGCTAACTTTCTAACTGGATGTTTATATTCTAAATGCAACCCCAAACACTGACACATGTGACTTGAATCTTTTGTGCACAGATAACACATGCTTTAGCATTCATCAAAAATCAAATCACTTCCATAATGCTAAGTGATTCCAATAGCAAACCGTTCCTTATCAAGGTTCCTGATCATGGGAGCCTTGTAATTGCATTCAGATGAAGATGTTTACAAGTCCCTACTCATATGTTCACACTCAAAAGCATGAAACAATTCACAGGGACATGTGAATGTTTGAGGAAAAAGTCTTGCATGGTCTCCCATGTTCTACCCCTACATTAGGTGTGCATGTGTTTCATGTAAACTCTAGTTTGGCACTATAGCATACCGGGGAATGATAGTACCATAGCAACTTGGCATAAGAAAAGTAGTTTGTTGTTAGTGGAAATACAAGATTTTGACCAAAACAATGGGGAATGTTTGATGCAAGGTTCACAACAAATGAACACATAAATAAGAAATCTATATCAAGTTCAATATACAGAAATTTAAAATTAAATCACTGATGTTTTGAGTAATTTAAGCTTATTAGGAGTCAAAAGTAATAAAAAATGTTAAATTTGTCTCCAGCTTGTTTTCCAATAAAAATATTAATTCAACATGGTTGGGTTTGCTAAACACTCTTAATAACATATAAAATGGACATGAATTAATTTTATAATAGAGACTTTTTGAATCTGTAATTATATTAACTCCATTCATAAATTTCAACACCACTATTTTGCTTCAAGAAAGTATTCTTCAAAAGTCCAATTTTTTTAAGGCATTAATATGTACTGAATGGTCTTTTGAACTGAACTGAAGATATGTATTTCAATTATGTCACCATACAGCAGAAACTACTTTTTTAGCATTAAAACACATACATACCTCTCCTATAATATCAGTTTGAGAACAAGCATCAGAGTGCAGCTGAGGTAAACTGGGGTCACTGAGTGACCCAGAGTTATGCTGAAGCTCCTGCAAAGATTCTGTAATACAACAGCTATTCCTGAATCCATCTGTCAGCTTTGCCAGACTCTTAAAAAGAGACATTAAAAAGAAAAAGAACACTCTTATATTTATTAGTTGTTTAGCTGGTTTAAAAAAAAACACCTGGAATTGTTAATAGCCCACAGATTTCACTTATTGGATTAGGACAGGATAATCTTACGGAACTCAACCATTACTTGCACAGAAAAAATTTCAGTTGTGAACTAAATTTGATTATGGAAAAGCTCTTGGGCACTGCATTGTAGTGGTGGATGGGGCCAAAAGAAATAAAGCTGAGGCAAAAATAAAAAGGCATGGGGCCAAAACACCAAAAATACCAGCCCTTTAGTTTAAAGCTCTTACTGCCAGTCATGAAGTCACAGTAAAAGCTTTTAGGATGTGGTTGTGGTGATGGGGGATGCAAAAACTGGAAAACTGGGGGAAGTGGGTAGTAAATGCTTTTCTTTGTAATGCTTTTTCAGCTATAATTCCCACATACAGAACAAACACTCAAGAACAAACATTAGTAAAAGAAACATTAATATGAAGAAATATATACTACAAGAAAATGAAACATGCTAAAGACCTGCATGTTTCAAAATACTGCAAATTACTAAATAGTGAGAATCATAAACAAATTTCCATGCGAAGTCACATCCAACCCATACCGACCCCATGGACAACATTCCTCCAGGCCTTCCTGTCTTCCACCATCTCCCAGAGTCCACTTAAGCTCACACCAACTGCTTCAGTGACTCCATCTAGCCACCTCATTCTCTGCCATCTCCTTTCTTCATTTGCCATCAATTGTTCCCAGCATTAGGGTCGTCTCCAGTCAGTCCTTCCTTCTCATTAGGTGGCCAAAGTATTTGAGTTTTATCTTCAGTATCTGGCCTTCTAAGGAGCAGTCAGGATTGATCTCCTCTAAGACTGACTGGTTTGATCTCCTTGCAATCCAAGGGACTCGCAGGAGTCTTCTCCAGCACCACAATTCCAAGGCCTCAATTCTTCAGTGCTCTTATAGAGATATGCCTTCTTATAAATTTTACAGTCTTGGGCACAACAACAAATGTCACTATTAAAAGCATCTTACCTGCATCAGGTCTTGCCTCTCTCTCTCACCCATACAAATAGCTTTCCTGATGCTTCGAAGCTCATTCATGATAGCTTGGGCTTCATCCAGTTTGTAATTCATCTGGGCATTTGACATCTTACGATCAATCCTAGTACACAAATATCAAAAACATTCTTGCTTTAGAATATTTGATCACAAAATGGATAGGGTCAGGAGAGTGAAACTTTCTCTTCTTGGTCAAATGTTGTATGTAAGCCTTAAGCAGCTTCCTACCCCCATCCTAAATGAATACTGAAACAGGGATCATGCAGAAACAGGAACTGAAACAGAAATAGCCTTCCTTTTGGGGTAATGGACAGAGAAATCAATACAGAACAGCAAAAGCAAGACAAGGGGTCCTACATGGAATTTTTCCTGCAGATGCAGTTGCATTCACACTGCAAGCACTACATGCGCCGTGTTCATGCTAAAACTCTTACCTAAAATGTAACTCATATACACTTTTGTCCCACATGGATAACTTGATTACCATGTATATTATCAAAAATTAGGAAAACATTTTCAACTTGCTACATTTCAACTTACTCTTGTAGTGTCTCTACTCCTTTCTCTTTGTACTGTAGTTCCTGCTTCATCTGTGTTAATTCTCGCTTTAATCTAGAAAGCTTGACATTAAAAAAATGGCAAGAGAAATGTTAGAATATTGAAATTGTTATTCAATGTATGTTTCTGTCTCTGTTTTATAATGTAGTAAAAAGCTTCCCATACTTATTTTATACTAGATCCATCTGGCCCTTCCATATACATTTAGCTTCCTAATAGGGTGCATAAAAATAAATGATTATATATTATCCGATTTTTATTTTAATTAGATTTTTAATCATAATCCAAAGGTTATGCATCATGAAATAATTATGTAGCAAGAGGTTGAATATTCATGCAGTTTTCATTTTTTTGATAAATGAATTCCATTAATCCATTCACAACATCATGCTGTTCCAGAGGTTTCTGTAGATTATTGGGCAATTTTTCTATCTAGAAGATATTATCACAGATGCTTAGTTTTACAGTTCTCAAAACTGTGAATTTGTCTCTGCAGAGATCACATGCCTATTCTTTACAAGAAAAATGTTATAAAATAAACATACAAGGTAGAGAAAAAGACCTTAATCCCATTAAAATATGTACACAGAATCAACCCCTTACCTCTTAAGTGCTAAGTTTCAAAAAAATCAATGAATATAAGACTGCTGGGAGTGGAATAGAACTGCACAAGAAGCTAAGTGTGAGGAAGGGTCAAGCGGTAAAAAATGAAAGTGAAACCTGTTGAGGAGAATACTCATGTCTGTGGATCTTTTTGTACATAGCCTGAGGTGTGTCATATTATTCTTTCCCTGGAGGAGAAAATCCATAATGGCAGCAGGCCATGAAAGAGACCCAGTTTGGGATACTTTAACATGCCTCTACCTACAGGTAAGGCAGGCATGTGTGCAAATTACGGAGAAAAACATGGGAAATCTAATCTTACTGACTAGTGATTTAAATCAACTCTACCCTGCTTCCTACCACAAAACTTAACATATGTTTGGTTGTTCATGTGTACAGAAAATGGATGCATGGTATGTGCACACACAGAGAAACAATGGTCAGTTTTACTGTGCTCTTTAGTCCATGTTGTTTTTAATATGTTTGTTCTCTTCTGTTTTAACATTAGTTCCTCCAGTCCAACTGGAGCTGTTTTACTGAACTTTAGAAGTAAAAAGATCATAACATGATTCTAAAACAACACCATCACATAGGCAATATAATGGCTTCCTAATCTATCTACTCAAGCAACTATCTATCTAGCTTTTTACTAAGTGGAATTACTACTGGAACTCTTAACTTTTTTTGTGACTATTGGGTCTGATTTTGCCAGTCAGTCTCTCTTAATATCAACTATACCTATAATATCAAATATATCTATTTGTTGCTACTAGAAAATTGCTACTTTTTGATGCAAATAATATACTGGGTAGTATAGAAAGATAAAACCCACACTGTCTTTTCTCACAATCAAACTAATGTGCTCACATTATTCTGCACTACATGATCTAGCTGGCACATCTCTCACAGTAAATCCCTCTCAAGGTGCTTCAGCAAGAGCAAAAAGCTCCTATCCTAGGTTTAATATGTTTTGCTTTCCCTTGTCTCATTGCAAACGGCTCCACATTAAGATTTTTGAATATGTGTAAAAGCAAGGGTAGATAGCTAAGAAACCATTAGGAATGAGCTGGAGCTCAGTGGTAGGATGTATCTTTTAAAAGTAAATAATTTACACTCAGTTCCAGGCATCTCCAAGAAAAGCTGGGAAAAGCTCTTGTTCAAAGATAGGAAAGCCTATGCCAATAAATAAAGACAATACACTAGTCAGACTTTCTATAAGAGATCTTCCAATTTTCTTCTGTTACATTTATTTCTATTAACTTGTCTGCTAAATGAAGCTTAATAAAAAGTGTGCTTATTTACCCAATAGAATTTTTTAACAAACCAATAGGCAAAATCCAATAGGGCACTCCTACAAGTTGAGGAATAGCAATTTGGCAGTTCTAGGACAATCCAAAACAACAATAAAAGTTCATTTCTGAAAGAAGGCAGGTTGGTAGAGCTTACATAAGCAACCTCTCCTGGCTTGCCTCCTCTCAAAACTCAGTATTTCCAATTGTTTTGTAGCTTCCCCCTAGAAAGTGCTAAATCTCCCTTACATAAATGGTGGACCTTGATTGTGCAATCCAGCAGGACCTACCATATACAAAACGGAACAGGTCAGACCATCATGCCCAATGTGCCAATGCTTTGCCTATACTGTTTATTCAACATCCCTAATTCAAGGTACTAATATTATATAAATATGAGTGCAAATAATTCATTTGCAGCATAAAGTATTAGAAAATGATTACTTACTCTGTCACGTCGACTTGCTATTTCTGCTTTAATTTGACATGGGTCATATTTTGTATTGGTTGAAAATCCAGAGAATGCTAAACACATGGAAAATGTCTTAATGTTAAAAATAAATCCTACCAGTAGCATAATATGCACAGAATAGAGCTTATGTTCAATAGGAATCTCTTATTCTACTGTCACTAAGGGGCGGGGGAGACAAAATCATGTTAACTGTCCTAAGGGATCAGATCAACTAATACTGCTGTATTCCATTAAACAAGACACAGTTTTAGTTCTCTCCTGCAAGCCTGAGTTTGCTATATGCTATATAATCATATGCTATAATTTAAAATGTAAGTGCTTCCATCTCACCAATATCAGCACACATAAATTACTCTGGATTGTATGAGTTCTGACTGTTCCCGTATCTTAATTATTAAATGAGCTGTAATTCTGTCTCTAAAAAAGACAAATTCTGAGCCAGGGGTGTGCATCTATTTTCAAAGCAAAAGATACACATTTACTTTAAATTTAATTCAAATTTAATATCTCCCTTGTAATGTGGAAAAGAACATGTAGGATTGTATCTACAAGTAGGATTGTATCTACAGAAGAATCATGTAATTTATATAAAAAATGAACATATTTCATATACTTTTAAGATATTTGATTTGGCATACAGAAACTCAAAGAATTATACTATCAGTAGCAATATATAATTATACTATCAACAAATTTTGCACATCAAAAATATTTTAGTGAAATCAGTAGACCTTGATATTTAAACAAAAATCTACTTAAAACTGTGGTTCTATGCTCATTTAATTTGGAGTATGCCCTGTTGAGCTCACCAAGATTTACTTCGTTCAGTTCTTTAAATAACAGATATTAAAATTCTATCATGAAGGAAAAATGCCAGCTATATCAGCATTCCTACAAGGGGTAAAGGTTTAGCATGTTGAAACAGTTATATTTTAACCAGTATCAGGGACATTCCTTTATTCCTCTGGCATAAGAAATGTATTCACAACAACCCAATCAAATTAAGAAAAGACAGACTTTGGTTCTCTCAGATGGTACACCAAATAAATAAAGAAGTGTCCTTGTTCAAGACAACCTGCAACAGCTTAAAAAATAAATAAATACAGTTTGGGGGAACTACTGGCAGTTTTGGAAATTATGGAAAAGTATTTCATAAAAACAGAATGACTCATAGAGTAAAGCATCAATTATACCTAGTCTGTTTTTCCTGATTCTATTTCTGACATGTTTGGTACCATCTACATCTCACAGCAAAGGGGATTTAACTTTCACAGAAAAGTTACAGCAGCAACCCTGAAAAGTCCTAAGTACACGAGGAAAACAAAGTTGGTTTCAGAAATGTTATTATGCCATTAGTATAGAAATTGTTAAAAATCTGTATATCAAGAATGGAACATTTCCCAAACATTTTGAGTTATGAAGAGTCATTCAGGATTTGTTTTTACTGTAAATTATATTCTGGGATGATGCTGATCAGCAAGCTATCTTACATGTGTGCGTTTGTCTCTTTTTATTTCTATTTTTACCCACTTTTTACTTTTACAGAACACACTAATACTCCTATTGGGCTTACAAAAGGAGCCCAGCCTTTCAGATTCTGTGTAAAATTTTATTTGCTAGCATGCACAGATGAAATTTTAACACTGCTATTATTCTATGGTTCCAAGCCAAGGATATTTGAGTGCGATATCAAAACACAGAAGTTTGACTTATGTTTGTTTTTAGTTTAACAGTAGTAATCCTTCAATGTAGCACTACCTGCCGTTTAAAACCCTTAGTAGAAATAGGAATGTGATGCCATGTTAAGAGTGCTACTGTGGTTTTGCCAAATAAAACAAGCAAGTCACACAGTGTCTGTGCAATCCCTTGTGCACACATAAATGTTCTCTGGATAATATGAAAATCAACACATATTTGAGGCACAAACTTGTATGATGCAAAGATCACTGGGTTGGGTTCAGAGCAAATTAGTAGATCTTAGGTACCACTATACTAGTTAGTACTTCGCAGGTTATCGACATGGGACTTAACTTACATGCAACTAATTTATTCGGGTACCAACACAGTTTTTATTTAACTGCATTATCATATCTGAATTCTACAGAGTTATTAAAAAGAGCACAATGCTATAATTTTTCTTGAGTTTTCCTGTGCATAAAGAGCTGCCATAAAAAAAAAAAACTCAGGGATTTTTTAGTTCAAGAAGACTAACAAAATCAAAAATAGACTTGGCCAAGGTGGCTTCCTAAAATAAAGCAATGCATTTTTTACAATTGGTAGTTAGGAAGTGAATGTTCTTAAAAACACGCTTCTGAAGCAGCTTTTCATTAAACAAAAATATATCAGAATGATAGATGTGACTGTGCTTACATCTAGTTTGGTTTTTCAACTTTCAAGTTTTACCAGGTACAAAAAATTAACTGTTCGGTTACAATGAAAAACTAAAGGTTAAGTTTTTAAAAGTGTAGAATGATTAAAATAAGCTTTCACGTAACAAAAAACAAGTATTTACTAAAGGTCTACTTTAGGCAGATATCACAAGCTAAACTTCTACTGTTCATATGATACAAAATGAGTGAAGACATAGCTTTGCCACATGATGCTGTTAATTCACTGTGTCCACTTCCAGTGTCAGCACAGAACTGAGTTCTGTAGATTTTCCTTTCCTGTTTTTCTGCAACATAATCTCTAGGTGACACTGTGCTATACCAGTATAACAAGTATGAAAATACCGTTTTTGCACTTTTTCAAAAGTACCATTTTCCCTTCCTCTAAAAATTTCAACTCATCCAAGTGATGTTAAAAAACATAAATAAAACTGGAGGATCAAGACATTGTTTAAAGAAACGTTAAGCAATTATAAGGAATGAAGAGTGCACAATAAATTCCTAATGTAGAATATAGATCAAAGTTTAAAGCATTTTACAATCCTTGACAGGAAAGCTGTTTAGTGGGAAAGAAGAATGAATCCAGAATCCCCACTCAGCCTAATTGAACCAGTTGTTGGCTATCCGAGGACAACTGCTGGAAGCATTTTCAGTTCTTTATCCAGCTAGGAATGTACACATGAAAACCCAAAATTTACATGTGGATTATTTGGAGAGGAAAGGTAAACTTACAGCTGGCATAAGAACGGCTGTCATCCTCACACATTTTATGCAGCTGCTGGTATTCTTCTTGCGCTAGCTCAAAACGCTGCTGTTTAATTTGGTAAATTTCCTTTTTGGCATTAAGAGCTTCCTGGGCAACAATTAAATATTCCTTTAACATGCGTTCCTGCTCTCTTCTCCACTGCTCTCTTGGGTCCTCAATCTGTGTGAGTTCTGATGAGGAAAAAATGTTCAAAAATGATGGATAATATACACAGACTTATACATACATCACACTAACCACACAAATTCTTACCAAAAGAAAAAAGGGAGGGAGGGAGGGAGGAAACCTTTCTTTAAACAATTATTCTAATATACGTATCCCAGCCTCCCTCTGGGAACATCAGTGCAACATAACTGCCTGTTTTACAACCTACCTACCATGGTTTCCTTTAAGTGTAGCAGTAAGTTCTACTTTAACATTACGTATACTTACCTGCTCCCTTCTTCATTCTCTTCCTCTATCACAGCTAAAGGAGAGTGCAATATCCACATTTCAACTAACTGAGGTCTGACACAGCATTCAAAGTGAAACTGCAGTTAACTATGTCTGAACAAGCCAGGATGATATACCATAGTTCACTGTACTGACAAGTCAGTTTAAACTTCTCACAGTTGGTCCAGGTTTAGGTGCAACAAGTGTGTCATTGGTCACATAACAATAAACTAGCATACAGGGTTAATGACCAAAGACAATCACGGACTTGCTCTAATTCATTCAGTAAACTTAAGTAAAAGCTTCATCACACTTAACATGCAACCTACACACACTGATGTATTAACTGTGACCCTTGTTCAGGGTACTGAAGGAGAAAACAACTGGCAAACAGCAAGGAGTGCTGGCTAGTAACATTCCCAAGATACATGTCCATACACATTCCATAAATTTGGAGCACACTAATATGTGAACACTGATATACAGGCTGCTTTACCATCCCCGTTCATGTATTTAAAAGAGGCAAGGGACATTTGGGAATAATTTGAACAGGAGAGCATTAACCCCACCCCCACCCGAATCAGCTTCAGCTACCTATCATAAAATTATTTCTAGGCTGCCTTTATGCGTGGAGCCTTCTTCATACATGCACACATGCATTCTAACTTATGCCACTAAAAACACTCTTCTTTCAGCCCAGATCTTTAAGAAGTATGTAACAAAGAATAGAAGTGTTTCAAGTGATAGAGTCACACATCACAGCAAAGCAGGGGGAAGTTCATCAACCTTAGACATATATTGTTTTTGTGCTTTGCAAAGATATAATAAAATTCATGAACCGATGATTGTCTCTATCCCCAGCACATTTACTTCTGGGGCCAAGTGAGACATGAAATTAACACAAGTAACCTCAGGTCTAACTAGACATGAAAACTGAAGTAATGATATTGGAGTTCTCTGACAGCAGCTGAGAACTGCAGTCTGTGTATATGTAGGCATGCATGTGTACTGCACACACACCTACAGGAATGTTATCACTATATTCTCAATGCAAGTTGTTCCCCACCAAGTTGTGATTTATCCCACTAGTGCACCAACTTCTGGAGGAAGCTATGAAAAGGAAATGGTTGAAACCCCTGCAGGTGCTCTTTGGTCTAAATTCAGATCTGCACCCATTTACCAGCCACCACTACTGCTAACTTTAATACAAGGAAAAGATGCTAGCAAGTTTCAATCATGAGGCTTTCCTATCATGTTTACCCTGATTCTCACATTCTCTGGCTAGTAACTCTGTTCATTCTATCTCTCTCCCCCTCCCTCCCTCGCACTTTCTTCTGTCTTTTAAAACATATTGTGTTAAATATGACAGAATAATATTAAAATGCCCGGGGCAATGCAAATGTCTTTTACCTGGGTTTGCAAAGGTAACAGTGTTGGTGCCAGGAAATGGTATAAACACATCACCTGGGTCTGACCTCATATAGGGCCTTAAATATAAGCACCAACATTCAGAATTATGTTCATTAATAGAAGGGTCAGCTGAGTTCTTTCAATGCCAGTAAGTTATGTTCCCATCAAATGGTCTGTCAACAGTCTGTTACATGTATTTTGAACTAAATGAAGTTTCTAAACAGTCTTCAAAGGCACCCCAAATACAACCCATTATAGTAGTCAATCCTAAATGCTACCAGAAGATGGATGATGATGATTACATTGCATTCATATCTGATCTTCTCTTGTGAGGAACCCAAGGCAGCATGCATAATTCCATTTTATCCTCATAATAACAACCCTGTGAGGTGGGTTAGGCTGAGAGTCCATGACTGGCCCAAAGTCACCCAGTGAGTTTCATGGCTGAATGGAAACTAGAACCCAGGTCTTCCAGGTCCCCAAACCAACACTAACTGCCATACCACAGAAAAGGCTAATTATGAACAGCCTACCTCTCTCCAAGGGAGGCTACTGCTGGCATACCAAGCTCAGGGGACAAAAGGCACTCCTTCCCACAAAGACTACCTGGGCATTCAGTGACAAAGCTGAATCCAGAAGTATGCACACACAAATAACCTAATCCTTTGGTAGAATGCAAGCAAGCAGATACAATATCTCTGGACAAATGATCTACCCAAGTACTTCTATCTTGTCATGGCTGAGTTTATTGAATTTCAACCTTCAAATTACAGTTTCCAAGCAGTTCTACTGCCTCACCTAGCTGGCTTGCATTACTTTTCCTCCTGCCATAAGTTTCAACCCAGGTGAATAAGGCCATCTCTGCACTACAGTCAGGCCTGATACAACATTTACATTCGTAGGAAAAAACAGACAGGAAGTCTCATGAGTCAGGCAGTGCATGCTTCAATTGACAATTCTCTGAACATTCTGCTTTGAAATCAATTCCTCCCTCCCTCCCTCCCTCCCTCAACAGTAAATGCAGCCATTCAACAGGCTTTTTAGATAGATTTCAGTTTTTAATTTTTCAGCATCTCAGCCAGACATAGTCTGTCATGGAGAAACATAATGAGTTTGGAGGGGGAAAAAACTAACTAGGAACAGATTAAAATATAAAATTCTCAAATGAACATAAAATTTGTCGGTATGATTTTTCAAAGTTGGTGCCATTTTGTTTCTGGCATTCAGTACACACTAGGATCTACAAACTATGAGCCTGTCACATGACATGGCATGCTGCAATTTATTTCCTTTACCAGCTCAATTAGTTCCTCAGCTCCACTAAACTTGCTTATTTAGCATGCTTTACTGGGAATGAAACAGGTAATTAATGGAATCTAGCTACTACTTTCTTTTCTTCTTACTCTCAGTCTGGTTCTATTGCTGTCTGATTTCTGGTTTCTAAGTTAGAAACTACCATTTTTGTGTTAGGTGTCAAAGTAGCAAATTCCCTTCTTATATCTCATTCTCAAAAACTTCCCTTTGGATTTGGAGCTCTCTCTTCTACCATTTTGACCCCCTGTACTGTTTCTAATCCTTTTGCCTTTTATAATGATATAATCATAATAGGGTGCGTATCAATTGTTGTTACGTTGTTATTTTTAAGAGGAAAAGCAGTCAAACAATTCAAATGCCTGCAAAATCAAGTTCTTCGAAATTCACCACTTTTTTCTCTTCTCTACCTCAGGTTCTTCCATCCTTACACATTTCTTTCATTCTGTTCATGCTCCCCTTCTTTCCTATTAATGTTCTCTTTCCATTTATGCCCATTTATAACTCTAGGTTTTGTGTTCAACAATTTTTCCTCTGCCATTCTCAGGTCCCCAACTCTCTTGCCATGCAATCTGGTTTCAATATAACCTCTATGGCTCCTAACTAATGTAAAACACATATATTATAGACTCCTAATATTTTGAAAAATCAATTTCAGTTCAAATGTTTGAGAAAAATAATTTGTTTAGTCCCAGTAGCTTATCCACACAATTCTACATATCAAGGCTGCCAGCCAACAACTACTCTGTTGTCCCACCTGCTTGATAAAGTTATATATTATTATATAATATATACTATTTATTATAAATTATAAAAATTTACATCAAGTATAACAAACATTACGCTGAGTCTGTGGCAACCATATAAATTTTCCTATGTTGCAGAAACTGTATCCACCAAAGAGACAACTTTAAAATTTCATTTTTTTGCCCTTACCCAACACCATGCTACTAAATACATATTTATGGTTACAATATGATTTCTTATGTACAAGTGTGCTTATGTTTAAATGCCTATGCTTGTAACTTTACTTTAAAAAACCCTATTACTCACGATTTATATGGTCCATGTAATAAACACCAATCTGTTGGTCGTAAACAGTTTCCCATCCTAAAGGCAGTTCATCACCAACACAGTCAGCAAAAGTTAATGGCTTCGTAATCCTACAAATGTCACAAAAATGAAAATGTGTTCAAAAGTGCTGCATTCAACTAAATGACCACAACTATTGCCTATACAACAGATTAAATATGAGTCATTTAGAAAACCGCTATGACTTGCCTATCTTTTGAACATCAAAGCTACAGATGATTGGAAAAAGTACACACTACTTCAAGATACCTTGCAGAACAAGAGAGACAAGATTTTCTTTTTACATTCTAACAATTATTATGGCATGTAGTCCTGCCAGTTTTTCTTAAACAAAAAGGGCTGTGCTGAAATTCACCACTAGTATAAATTGAGCCAAGTATATCTTTTTCAGAAATGTTATAAGAATTTGTTCTGTTTCCTATAGAAGTCTAGAGGAAAGAGCCACCTATTCACAAATTTATGGTTAATATACTCATTGCAAACACATCATACTTTCACATCAGCTTCATCCTTTATACAACGTAGTAATTTTATGACAACAAACATGGACAAGATGTGATCGGCTTTGTTCAAACACTTTAACAGAATGTATCTTCTGCAGAAAATACTTGTAAATTTCAATACAGCATTTACTCCAGAAGCTGAAACTTAACAGAATAATTCTCTAGGGACTTTGTACTTTTCTAGTAAAAACAGTGAAACTGTATGATCGGATGCCTTCATAGACTGACTCTTATATACTATCACAGGCTTTGGTAGGAAAAGCACTTCATAACCCACCACTTTCACCATCCCTAAGAAACCAATAATAAAGCTGCACACCAGTGGTTTATTTTCTATGGTACGAACACCTCTGTTACACCTCATGATAGTTTCAGCCCTCCTTTACAAGGCAAAGAAATAGAAGAAAAGGACCAATTCTTAAGCTTCTGGAAGTTAGACTGTTCTTGTTGGGTGTGTGTGTGTGAGTGTGTGTGCGCACGCACGTGAGTCTAAATAACTTCTCAATCCTGTTTTTCTGCTACTTTAGGAGTGTTTGGCACCCACTGCCACCCACAACCACAAAAGATAATCCTGGCCCCAAGCCCAGGTAGGGAAACAGTGTCCTGGACTTCCCCTCCACAAGTTCTGCTGGGCTTGTTTTCAGAAGAGCTCCAATAACTATTTATCTCTTACTGCCTTGCAAGGCCCCCATCATGGACTAAATACTTATTTCTTTTCCTGTATTACTTCAAATCCCAGTCAGTTCCTCTACTTCATGTTCCACATTTTATTATCTGACCTGATTTGACTCCTATTCCGACACATCCATGCTGTTTTCCTTTTCCAGCCAGCTCCTTTCTCTGTCCTTCACTTTTGCTTTACCATAATTTGTTTCCGAAGGATTGTTTGCTTCCCCGCCCCCATCTCCTTTTGTCTTGATACAACCTTTATCATTCTCTGTCTTCTCTGTACTCCTGCCCATTTCCAGTTTTGTCTTGATACAACTTTTATCACTCTCTGTCTTCTCTGTACTCCTGCCCATTTCCAGCATCTGGCTTTTTAAAGTGGATAATCACTCTCCCTTTCCTGGCCAATCAGTTCTGCATTATCTGACTTCCAACTGATTGATTCATGAGTTCCCCCACCCATTTCTTGCATCAGCAGCAGACAATGCAGCTCACATTCTCAATTGTGCCTGGGAGAGAATATAAGTCCTCTGAACCCTAAGGCCAGATGACATATAGGAATGGTCACTGTCTAGTATCTACATGTATCCCATGAGAAGTATACCTCTGAAAAAGTGTATTATAATTCTGAACATGAACACTATCTCAATTTACAAATATTGCTGTTAAATATGCATGTCTAAAAACAACTGATTTTTACTTTTTCAGTCAGACTGGCTGCTAGTTTCAAAGTGCTGGTTATACCATAAAACTAAATAGCATGGGAACCAATCTACTGGAAGGTCCATATCCTCCCATGTGAAATTAGAGATTTTTTACATTAACTGCTCTAACCATATGTCATGTACTATTGCTTTCCGAAGTATATTTGGTAGCAACTCACAAGAACTTGCCTCTGGTACCACTACCACTGCCTTGTACACAAAAATCCCTTCCTCATTTTCCAGCATTTGAACAGGCATCTTTTCATACAAGCTCTGATACTACTGCTGCTTATGCATTCCTAATTTCAGTTCTCTGGACCTATTTTTTCTAAATGTTGCTTTTAGCCTGAATTCTTTTTGACAATTATACTAATGACAGTATTATTATGTTTTTATATTTGTGATCTGTTTCAATGACTATTCACCTCATGATAAGCAGATAAATAATTTTCTATGAATAAATAAATAATCTTGTCAAACTATAAACTTAATTCCAGAACACAGCTTTAGTTTTCAAAAGGCATCTGGCTTGACTCAAACACTTCCATGGAAATCTCCACCAACAAGCCATGCTTCCTGAGTTCAGACAACAGAGCAGGGACACCAGTGAGTGCAATTAAGCAAATGTAGCCATGATGCAACTGACATGATCATAGTGAAGAGAATGTGGTTGGCATGCTTGTTGGAGGAAAACTAGCAAAAAACAGCCCATGGATTATTTGAGGATTGCTGCCCCCTTTAACAAGTCATGTTGCATGGATTCATCTGACATGGCAAGCCATGCTCATGAAGATGATTAGGGAAATCCAACTGGCATAGACAGTGGACTTAAGAAGCTTAGCACTGGACATTGTTTACAGCCCGTTGTAAAGCACAAGGTCTTGGAAGCTGGTACTGGCATTTCAATACAGAAGGTGCTTAGGATAGAAATTGATGGTCTCACTGTGGTTTGGGATAGCAATACAAAGGTTGACAGGACCAATTGAGCTGATGATATGAAAGCAACATCAGGTATCAGCAGCTGAAAGGGTTAGCCTTCCCTATCTTGATCTCCTTCAAAGGCATTTGGACAACAACTCCCAGAATTCCAATCCAGCAGGGACATTTGACTAAGAATTCTGGGTGTTGCTGTCCAAATGTATCTGGAAGGCAGCTCTATGTGAAAGACTGTTTCTGTACCAGTTCAGTACTTCAGTCCCAAGATCCCAAACTAAGCACTTGTTAACCATATCAAAATCTTGTGGCAATGGAAGAGGAACCTCAGGTCTACAGTTTTTCCTGAGCTGATGTTCGTGCTATCTTGATACAAAGGTGCTAACTTGCTACCGAAATGATACTGGTGATTCCAGCAGACAAGGAAGCACGCAAAGTAGAGGATGCAACAGCTTAGTTCCTGTATTGCAGGAATTATCCTTCTTTCTTTTATTTAAGGAATGGGACAACTAAGAGCAATTCAGATTGAAAATTTAGATGCTCTCACCTTCTGAGGCCTCTCATAGGCAAAAAAGTAAAAGAAATGGCTGTTGGAAGTAAGAGCTTACCCCCTCATGTGCCCTATACCCTGCAGTGGTGAACCATCAGAAAGAGTGCAAAAATAAAATAAAATATTAATATAATTAATGATAAATAAAAAATGGCAGCAGCAATAAGAGGAAGAAGGGAAATGCCTTCACTTCAAGGCAAGAAACACAGACTGAAAGACCAGAAATTTCCTCATGAAGAAACTATAGTGGATGAAGACAATCTAAGGGAACATGGGGTCCCCACTCCAAATTCCTCAGCTTATACAAGTTTCCTGAGTTGAGGTGCTGCACAAGCACAGGGCCCATAATACTGATCCTCAGACAGCATGACAAACTCAGTAAGATGAAATTCTGAAACCAGGGTGCAGCATTTTCAACCCAGGGCAGTACTGGAAATATGCAACACTTTCTTATTGAGTCAAAACATATTATATTACCTGGCCCACTCACTAAAATAATTTATCAGCCTTTTACTGATAACCTTTCACCTGATAGCTATAGATCAACATGCAGGTAAGCTACTAGACTGGTGAAGGAGGGAAGATCTCTGACTTCCTCCTCTGTTTACTTTCCATGCTGGCTGAGAGGGAAATGAAGCCCATCCCACAGCTGTATCGCTACTCTGCCAGCCCTTTTTGTAGAAAGCTCCTTTTATTACTAGCCTGCTAAGAGACTATATCATATGTTTCCTTGCTGGCCATAGAGAAAGTGGCTGCTTCTTTTTTACTATGCAGGACAATTTTTTAAAAACCCTACATTTTTGTGGGCTTATTGACAAGAATGGAAAGTGGATTCCCAAATATGCCAAAAGTTTCCTGAATCAGTTAACTGTGCACAAAAATAAAAGTGTGTGTGGGAACAGGGATAGGAGGGTACCAGAGCTGTAATCTTAAAATATTTAGCATCATTTCAAAACTTTGCTACTGACAATTACTACAAAGTATTTGAGGGCTGCACAAGGTATTTCATGCTGATTTCGTGCCATGTGACATCATTATTTTTTGATGCCATCCACTTTGCTGTTAAGTCCCCTTTGTATTCTCCAAGTCAGACAGGCATAAAACCTAAACTAGAAATGGGCTCTTGTACAAAAACCAGCGCACCTATTCAGATTTCCAGCCACCCTAATCCATTCACACTCCCCCCTGGTTTTCTGCCTCTCCCACCACAGTCATTCTGCATCTACTCAAATGTCTTCACTAGGTGGTTTTAAATGGGAGGTTGGGCGGAATTTATATAGATCATTTAAAATCTTATAAATAATAATAAAAACAAGCAAACTGCCTTTCAGTATCGACCATACTCCTACATGTACATACGAGTATGATCAGTATCATACTATATATTTCTCCACATTAGACTAATCCTCTTATTACATCATAAACTGCCTGGCACCGTCGTTACTGGTTTTTCGGCACCAGGTAAAGACCTTTTTATTTAAACATCATTTTAATTGTTAAAATATATGATCTGGCCAGGGCAACTTCCTCTTCCTTCTCTTTCCTCCTCCTATATTCTTTATTGACTTATTTTATACTGTTAATTTTAATTTTATATTATTGTATCTCAGTGTATTTTTTGTATTTCTGTATTTATTGGTAATTTATTATGTTCTATTGTATTTCAATGTATCTTGTTGTGTTGTAAGCCACCCCGAGGCTTCGGCAAGGGGCGGCATAGAAATGTTATAATAATAATAACAACAACAACAACAACAACAACAACAACTTAATCCAGTCAATCACACTAAAGATACTTATTATAGTAACAAGAACAATTCACGTTTTCATTTTTACTTCTTTCTCTATTCCCAATTCAGAACAGCCATCTGACACCATCATTAACATTTACTTTTCCAAGTAATAGCTTTTGGAGCTCTTGCTTTCCTACTCTGCCACCACCATCCTTACTCCCTATTAATATCCACATTAATAAATAGTAATTTATTTCAAAATCTTTGAAATCCCACAGTAAAAAGTATTATGGTTTTCAGTGGCTCTTCTATTTTGGTTCTCTATTTGGTTTCTAAAGCAAGACTATACAGTACCAAACAAGGAATAAAAACACCTGTGGTTCACTTACTTGATCAGGGTTAAAGTTTTCTGTTACACTTTCACATGCACACACAATGTAAATATACACACACACACACAATGTAAATATATATACATTATGCAAATAGGAATTTAAACTTACATTTTATTGTTTTAAAAGGTATTAACTTAAGAGTTGATTTTTTTTCTTCAAAATGATGTAATTGCTTTCTACAAGTTTTTATCATTCAACATTAATGGGGAGTTCTAGATTTGATTCCACCAAAAGGTAACACCAATAAACCAAAAGGTATACGTTTATACAGAAACAGCTGAATGAAGGCAGTATAGAGACTTCCTTGTAACAACTTCACTCACTGCGAATGAAGCTCTGGATGCAATTCAAAGTGCTGACTGTAACTTATAAAGCCATTTGAAAGGCTGCATTCTGCCTTATGAACCTGTCTGAGTTTTAAGTTCCTTAGGCCCATCTCTCTAACCCATCATTATCAAAAACAAATTTCACTGGGATTAAAGACAAGGTCTTCTCCATGGCTGGTCTCAGTTCTGGAAATCACTGACAAGGGAAGACAAACTACCTCCATGGCCAGACAAGACATTCTTTTCTGAGACACTATTTGAGCTTCTACAATTACTGTTTGCTGAAATACATTTTTAAAAGTGGTGCTAATAACTATTTTTTTTCTGATGCGTTTGGTTTTTTTTCTATTTTAATTCAATGATGCATTTATTTGTATTTTATCAGTATCACAGGAGTTGAGTAATATTTTAGCAGATAGGCAGAACATGTCTTTAATAAATAACATATAAATTGTGCATAGCAACACATCTTTCCGGGTTAATAACTTTTGAGCTAACCTTGACAATGTTAATGCAGTGGAAGCACAAATAAAGTGAAGCATCTCTGAAAAAAAGCATTTATTAATTTCCTACTATGCTTTCAAACTATCCACACAATTGTACTAATGCATATGACCTAACATCTTGAATAGAATTTTTGTCTTTCAGGATTTACAAATATCTAAGTAAAGTCTGCTTAACATTCAAGAAATGCCTCCTCCGATGTACAGTATATCACAGAAGTGAGTACACCCCTCACATTTTATAAATATTTTATTATATCTTTTCATGTGACAACCCTGAAGAAATGACACTTTGCTACAATGTAAAGTAGTGAGTATACAGCTTGTGTAACAATGTGAATTTGCTGTCCCCTCAAAATAACTCAACACACAGCCATTGATGTCTAAACCGCTGGCAACAAAAGTGAGTACACCCCTAAGTGAAACTGTCCAAATTGGGCACAAAGTGTCAATATTTTGTGTGGCCACCATTATTTTCCAGCACTGCCTTAACCCTCTTGGGCATGTAGTTCACCAGAGCTTCACAGGTTGCCACTGGAGTCCTCTTCCACTCCTCCATGACAACATCACGGAGCTGGTGGATGTTAGAGAACTTGCGCTCCTCCACCTTCCATTTCAGGATGCCCCACAGATGCTTAATAGGGTTTAGGCCTGGAGACATGCCTGGCCAGTCCATCGCCTTTACCCTCAGCTTCTTTAGCAAGGCAGTGGTTGTCTTGGAGGTGTGTTTGGGGTCGTTATGATGTTGGAATACTGCCCTGCGGCCCAGTCTCTGAAGGGAGGGGATCGTGCTCTGCTTCAATATGTCACAGTACATGTTGGCATTCATGGTTCCCCTCAATGAACTGTAGCTCCCCAGTGCCGGCAGCACTCATGCAGCCCCAGACCATGACACTCCCACTACCATGCATGACTGTAGGCAAGACACACTTGTCTTTGCACTCCTCACCTGGTTGTCGCCACACATGCTTGACACCATCTGAACCAAATAAGTTTATCTTGGTCTCATCAGACCACAGGACATGGTTCCACTAATCCATGTCCTTAGTCTGCTTGTCTTCAGCAAACTGTTTGTGGGCTTTCTTGTGCATCATCTTTAGAAGAGACTTCCTTTTGGGACGACAGCCCTGCAGACCAATTTGATGCAGTGTGCGGCGTATGGTGTGAGCACTGACAAGCTGACCCACCACCCCTTCAACCTCTGCAGCAATGCTGGCAGCACTCATACGACTATTTCCCAAAGCCAACCTCTGGATATGATGCTGAGCACGTGCACTCAACTTCTTTGGTCAACCATGGCGAGGCCTGTTCCGAGTGGAACCAGTCCTGTTAAACCACTGTATGGTCTTGGTCACCATGCTGCAGCTCAGTTTCAGGGTCTTGGCAATCTTCTTACAACCTAGGCCATCTTTATGTAGAGCAACAATTCTTTTTTCTTTTTTTTTCAGATCCTCAGAGAGTTCTTTGCCATGAGGGGCCATGTTGAACTTCCAGTGACCAGTATGAGTGAGAGCGATAAAAGCAGGTTGCTTACCTGTAACTGATGTTCTTCAAGTGGCCATCTGTGCATTCACACATATGGGTTGCTGCGCCTGTGCAGAGCCTAGGCCGGAAGATTAGAAAGCTAACGGTTTTTGGAGGGAAAACTCCGCTCCCCTCCCCCTTTGTGGTATAAATAGAGCGGAGTGTCCGCCATTTTGCTCAGTCTTGAAGACCGCGCGTTCGCCCTCTAGAGGTTAAAAATAAAGTAATGATAAGACACCATTATATTCCCACGGTACCGATGTGAATTATAGTACGGTACCAAGAACAATCTCTAGTCAGCGATATAACCTCCCGGTACCGATGCCATTAATATTTCGGTACAGAAAAAAAATAACCACCCAGCAACATAATCCAAATGGTACCGATGCAAATTATACTATGGTACAAAGAAAAAACATGATATCCACTCATCGACACCGAGTGAGGCCAGCGGGTGGGTTGTGTGAATGCACAGATGGCCAATCGAAGAACATCAGTTACAGGTAAGCAACCTGCTTTTCTTCGTCGTGGCCTCTGTGCATCACACATATGGGTGATCGCAAGCTTACCAGACTCGGCGGAGGGAGGTATCATCATCGAAGAACGCATGAGAGAACAGCTCTACCAAAAGAGCAATCCCGTCTGGCACGTACATCAAGCCGATAGTGCTTGGTGAAAGTACATGGACCAGCCCAGATCGCAGCTCTGCAGATGTCTTGCAGCGAAACCCCTGCGGCAAAAGCAGACAAGGTCGCTACTGCTCGTGTAGAACGGCCAGTTGGAGAGACAGGTAAGTCTATTTTCGATAGCTGATAAGCCAGGACAATAGTCTGGATGATCCAATTAGAGAGTCTCTGAGATGATATTGGTGATCCCTTTTTTTGCTCGGAGTGTTTAACAAAAAGTCTATTAGTAGTACAAAAAGATTCAGTGCGGGATCTGTAAAAGGCCAAGCAGCGGCGAACATCAAGCATGTGTAAAGCACGTTCTATCGGGGTCGACGGCGACGGAAAGAAAGCCGGTAGAATGATATATTGATTCAGGTGGAACGATGTGGCCACCCTGGGTAAAAAGGAGAAATCCATCCGAAGGACAACTTTTTCCTTATGGAAGTTCAGAAATGGTGGGTATATGCGGAGAACACAAAGCTCACTAGCTCTTTATGCTTATGTAACCGCTACTAGAAAGGCAGTTTTCCGTGACACCGGGCGTAAGTCCGCAGTTGCTAAAGGCTCGAACGGTGGTTTGGTAAGCGCTTGGAGTACTACAGAAAGACTCCACGTCGGCATGGCAGGGCAAATAGATGGATGTAAATTTTGTAGTCCCTTAATGAAGCGCCGAACCAGCGGTTGTGAGAAGACTGATAACCCGTGTATAGTGCCACAATAATGGGATATAGCAGCTGCATAAACTTTGATGGATGACGGTTTAAGTCCCTCATGATGCAAAGGTAAAAGAAATTGTAAGATATTGGTGACTGAAGCCATTGCAGGGGAGAACGAATGGCACTCCGCAAAAGCGGAGAATCTTCTCCATTTAGCCGTACAGGAATGACGAGTGGACGGTCTTAATGCAGATTCGATAATCGCCTGAATTTCTCTGTCAGTAGGCTTCGGTATCACGATATTCGCTGTCGAATTCGAAGTCGGGGCTGCATATGCCGTGTGTTGAGTGAGGTCACCCGTAGCGTGAGGTGTCCCCGGTACCGACTCGATGACGTAAATCAGGGGATTCGCCATGCCGTCAGCTTCAGAGAGAATATATCCGGATGGCGGATCGCTCCTCCTTGTTGTGTTAACAAGTGCGGAAGAGTTGGTAGATGAAGGAACGTTCTTCTGGACAGCAGCAAGAGAGTGGTAAACCATGGTTGTCTCGGCCACCACAGAGTCATTAGTATCCCCGTGGCCCTGTCCTGGGCTATTTTTGTTACCACTCTCGTCAGAAGTGGGATTGGAGGAAATGCATAAAAAGTCATGTTGCTCCAAGGGACCATGAGAGCATCTCCCATCGATCCCGGCCCGACGCCCGCT